ACATGGGATACACCAAAAATGAAGTCAATCATCTTGGGGGAGCCCTTCTGAGACTTGACGAGCGCATCGGGAGGCTTTGGGTGGACGGCTCGGAATTCGGCCTCGGTAATGGGCTTGCTTGCGTCCTCCTGAGGGAAGACTCCCGACCCATATGCGAAGCAGTAGACTATCGGGGCATTGAATTGCCGCAGCATGAGACGTAGGGCTTCCTTTAATTCGTAATTGATTATCATATGCTGGTTGGCACCGAAAAGTCTGTGTGGGAGCTGATCAAATGACTGGATCGCGAAATCGACGGTGTCTTCCCAATCATCGCCGTAGAGGTTGAATTTGCCTTTGGCAGACTCACGCTTACGGGCGCGAGAAGAGGAGCTATCAGAGCTAGGTGTTGTGAAGCCCGGCGTCGAAGGTACCGTCGACGAAAGAGAGGGAGAAGCGGGTGGAGAGGGAGTTGTTGATTTCGTTTCCGAAAGCCATCGTTGCTGATCGCACTGAGGGAGGCGGCGGTAACCGAACGAATATTCGGAACGACGCGAGAGAACAGAAGGCGCAGAGTATAGAGACCGTCGACCCAGCGAGCAACGTAGAGGGAGGGAGACCACCTAAAGCAACGTTGTCAGCCCCGGATATCCGGAGATGCTAACCATCGTGATTTCGGGGGCGGACTCGGACTCACTCTGGAGGATAATCTGTTCGCCATCTTGCACTGTAAGATGTTCGGCCTCGGCTAAGCTCTATCGCAGTTTCCTGGTAGAGAAATGCTCTGTTTTCGAGATTGAGGGCCGGCACAAGTAGGGAGGGACAGCTCGAGCTGTAAGAGGTCTACCGAGATGGGTTCTCCATCCGGGGCGCGGCGATTGGCAGAAATCTGAAGGAGACTTATGAATCTAAGTCCAAAGAAGTCTACCAAAGCGGACAGTACAGGCTTGCGCGGTTGTTGGACAATCGCAATTGCTGGGGTTGAGTAATTCGAAGAATGGAGTTAAGAGCCTGCCACCTGCGATGATGCTAGAGCTTGTGGAAACGGTTGTGGAGCTCTGACGTGCAAATCGGCTTGATTGGCCCCTCATCTGGCCGATCCAATACGGTTTCCAAATCAGGTATTTAGTAAACAAGCCAAACGGCGCATATGAGCTCATTGGAATACCACCGACTGATGATCCAATTGATCCAAAACTTCCAAGATATCTGTAATACGACAGTAGCACCTGCAAAAAGGATTTTGACACTCATAGCATATCTGATTGTAGAGATTTCATCTGCTCTACCGGCACCGTTACCGTGGACACACGTCTCTGTCACGTGACCGGATCACCGTATGCTCCTACCCATTAAACAAACAAGCAGCCATTGTGATTGTGAAGATCATCGCACACCAGCTCACCTCAACCTTCACCTCACCAACTCGCCCAAAATGCGCGCCAGTGCGCCGCAAGGGGGCGACGGCTCCCGGAGCAGACAAAATTCACTTTCGAGGGGGTTTCGTGCCAGCACTTCAGTTCTACCTCAACCCCGAACCACCTCCCTACGCGAATCGCGGGTAAGTCAAACAAGGAATTAGCTGTTTCACACGGGGCGCTGGGTCTCTGGTCGGTGACAGTATCAGTATCGATGGGAAAAACTAACACGAGTCATCGTCTATTGTAGACCACATCATTTCGAGCCAGCACTCAACCAACATACGATCTGATCTCGGGCGTGGCATCAAACCCACGACCATCATCGAGGCACAGCATGGCAGAATCTGTACGACCGGGGTCTCGCGAAAGTTCTAAGGAAAACCTGGCACCCCCCGACGCGGACGAGTATGAAAAATACAGACGAGAGATCGAATCCTTAAAGGCAGAGATTGGGACCTTGCAGTACCGAATGCAGACTTCCGAGCAAGAGAAGGAGATTGCCCTATCGCAGCAAAGCAGTAAGGTCGAGCAAGCCCACAGACGTGAGCAAGACGAGTCGCAGAGACGCCAGGCTGCGGAAACAGAACGGGAAAACGCTGCTGAGCAGATGCAAGCCCTCAGACGAGAATTAGACGAGTTGAAAGATTCCGGAGAAAATGACAAGCGAGCACTTGAACGGAGGGCACGCGCTGCTGAAGACGAGGCACGGCTACTGCAGGAACAGCTGGAGGATCTGTCAACTGCCAAAGATGAAGCCGCTCGGATCGCAGATAAGAAGCAGAATGATCTCGAGATGCAAATCGCCGCAGTTCAAAGCTCGGTCCAAGAAATTGAGGAGGATGCACGCGCCAAGGACGAGGCTCTGCAGCAACTTCAAGCTCAAATGGCCTCAAAAGAGAACGAAATAACCAACCTCGAAGCCGAAGTCCTTCGTCTAAAGGCCCAAACTGGCGATGCCGAAACGATGCGAATAATTCAACGTGAGCTATCTGAGCAAGTGCAGTACATCAGGACGCTTGAGGGTCAAAATCGTGAGCAGCTATCAGAACTGAAACATCTGAGATCTGTCCACAAGACTGTTGAGGTCGTTGAGGAGGAGAAAAGATCTCTGATGAGGAAAGTAGAGTTGGCCGAGCTTCTGGAGCCAGAACTTGCTGAGGCCAGACTGCAGCGACAACGCCTGGAGGATGAACGTTTGGCTTGGACCTCGTATCTGAAGAATGCATCGGAGACTGGGGATTTAGAGTTCGAGTCGCCAGAGGCACTCGCTCGTGGGCTTGTTGAGGAGAGATTAACATCCGCATCGCATCTCGACAAGGTGGGCGCGTTGCAAGCTGAATTGGCCGCGCAGCAGGATACGATCCAGTCACTAAAGGAAGAGAAGAACCAGCTCAAGAGCCAGGTCGAAGAAGCTAAGACCTCTGCGAACGCTGCTACAGCTGATAAGGCCAGGTTACGTCTGGATCGTCAACGAGTGCTGGCACTGAAAGAAGTCGAGTACCTACGAGCGCAGTTGAAAACTTTTGACACCGAAGACGAAACGATGCAGCCAGAACAGTTTGACGAAGCTCGAGCGAACCGCGTTCAGGAACTGGAGGCTGTCATCGACCAGTATAAAACTGAGATACAAACTCTTCACAACGAACTCTCATCGAAGGAATCGTCTAGTCCTGCGCTCCAGCCTCTGGCTAGCGCTGGGAGCAAGCGAGCGCATCCACACGATGAAGAAGCTCAAGAGCAACTGGGGCAACTTAAGAGGAAGAATAGGAAGCTCCAAGGAGATCTGGAAGCTGCGCAGAAACAGGTTGCCTTGTTAGAGAAGGACCTTACCGCCAGCCGGGAACAGCTAACGGCTGCTAAAGAACATAGCCAGACCCGTGTGCTGTCGCTGCGGTCCAACCCAACATCCGACTACGAGGCTATCAAGCGTTCAACATTGGAAGCCCTGCAAAAGGAGAACAACGATCTCCTCGCCACTCTAAGATCCAATAATGCCAACTCATCAGTCTCGTATATTCCCACGTCAGTTCTCGGCGCTATGGAGCGAGAGGTTGCGGCAGCCAAAGCGGAGACGGCCTCTGCGCAAAAGTCGGCTCGCAGACTCAAGGAGGTCTGGGGCTCCAAATCCCACGAGTTTAAGGAGGCCATCTTTTCCACTCTAGGGTGGACGGTGACTTTTATCCCCAACGGCAAGATGCGTGTCGAGAGCACATTTTTCCCTTCGCAAACGGACGAAAACGAAAACTCCATCGTCTTCGACGGAGAGCGAGGCACGATGAAGTGTGGAGGCGGGCCCAAGAGCCCCTTTGCCCGACGTATCAGTGACCAGATTGGATTCTGGGTGCGAGAAAAGGGCTGCATCCCCGGCTTCCTGGCGGCTCTGACACTTGAATTCTACGAAGAGCACTCTAGAAATACAAAGGATGATTAAGCAGGCGCTGGGACATAACTAGAATGGATCTGGGGCAAGGGATGTGTAAAAATATAATTGGATTTCAAAAGCGGTGGGTTCGGCACGATATCTACTTCAGAAGATGGAGCCTACTGTTATTTTATCTTATACCCTGTCGGATGTAGAATCCGGCACTTCCATGCGATATCCCCATCGATGTCTTGATGATACGTGGGTGCAGGGCATACATACATAGCACATTGGTTTAACGACTTAATCAAGCATAATGAATCTTTCTATTTTCCTGATACCCTCTTCTGCTAGTTTCTACGCCTGAACCGAAAACCATGCCATTTTCTCGAAGAATTACAATGCAGGTAAGATTTGAATAGGAGAAGAAGAAAACCAAAGCAAGTCATGTCTCATTGAGTTCGTAAATATGTTGTTCAAAAGAGTGAATGAGATGTCATACGTAGATGTATGATTTGCGATACCAGCGCTTGTATTTATTGTACATATTATGCGAAAGACTGTATATGACGAAGATACAACCTGTTCAAAGAGGGGTAGGATGTTGATGTGTTTGTTGTAGTTGCCCTCCCCGTGGAGAGAGGGACGAATGGTGTACATGTGTAAGATTGCGTCTTAGGAGAAAGAGAAGGATTAAGTATGTATGTCTAGTTTTTGGTTGTGGCCCAAGGGCTCTCTCGATGACTCGAATTCGTGATTGGCCTTTTGTTTTCTTCATAATGGACTCTAGGTATGGGAAGAGAAGCCTGGTGCTCGCTCGTTCCCTTGGGAAAATCAAGATCATTGAACCGCTCAACTGGTGAAATTCGTTGAATCGCTGAAGTAATAGAACAATAGTATTTGCATGAGTCTCCCTCTTTGCGTCTTGACGCTCCATGGTCCTCAACCTCGGTTCCATGATGTTGCGAAGTTTGATGATACAGACTTTGAATCGATTAAAAAATGCCCATTTATCCCCGCGCCTTGTGATCCAATGCGATCGATGAGCGTGTGTGTTGTCTGGCCAGGGGAATTGTCCTCAGGCTCGAGACATAATAGCTCCTAGTAAAAACAATAGATGATAGGAAATAAAATAGAGGTTGCTCCTTGAGTTTTGCGTGATAGAGCGAACCATGTGTCCGTCCGATGTCTGACCATTAAGTTTGGCATGCTTCGCCGTATCCATCTAGTGTCGATATTTATCGTCGGGGTCGCTTCTCACGATCATTTCCCATGCTTCCCGCCCCGTCGTCTCCGCGCCTCTTCCGTCCGCTACTTTCCCTTCGTTCATCTGGTCGCGAGCCTCCACCTTCACGTGGTGGTCCTCGGCTTGCCGAGCCATCTCCACGATGCCGACTATCCCTTGCTCCCATCACCTCACGACCACCACTCGGGGGTGGCATGAAATCCTTTCCACTGGCGACACGCGTTGGTCTTCTAGACTCCCGCTCCTCTCTATTGCTTTCTTGACCTGCCCCTGAACGTCTTTCACGGTACTCGCGATGCTCCTTGGAGTCCTTATCGCGTGTTGCACTTCGCTCATGGTCCCGATCACGGCTGCTGCGTCGAGACGACCTGCTAGGCCTATCAGAGCGGGATTCGCGGTCACGACGAGATCGATCATGCTCCTCTCTTGGAGCTGCCTCGTCACCGTTGATGGGAGCCTTGTGAGAGGATTCGTGACGAACAGGATCTGGTCGCTCCTGAGTCGGGGTGGCCCCAGGAGACCCACCCGTAAGGACCTGCACATCCGAGTTGCCCAGCATTTGGCGTGGGCGGCTACCCCGGCTGCTACTGCTACGGGTTGGCTCAGGCTTGCTGGCTTGAAGCATGTTATTGATGCCAGCCAGTTGTCTCCTGCTCCCGCCTCGCGATCGTTCTCCACCCTCGGACATTGGTGTCACATTCATGTTGTTATTGATATTGTTCGAAGATCTCTGGTCAGAACGTGATCGATCGGGAGTCATATTGGAGCCCATTGAGTGTCGTCCATGTGGTGGCGGACCTCCTGGAGGCGGAGGTGGTGGAGGAGGCGGAGTCGGATGCGAGTTGCTTCCTGGTCCCATCTGGGCAAGTCGATCAGGGTGAACACCTGTAGCTGGAGATCCCACTTCTGGGCCGGCGCTGAAGTTCCTCATGCGATCATTGTGCATTGAGCCATTGGATGGTGTTTGGGGGGGCCCATGAGAATCATAACCACGTCGGTTTGGACGTCCAGATGACGAGGGGCCTGTCGGAGGATGTCTCTCAGGGGTGTCATGTGAGTATCGGTTATCCGGTCGAGATGGTGGAAGTCCGGCGTTCGGATGGCCACCTCTAGCAGCCGACCGGCCACGACCGCGTGGTCCCGACGGCGCATCATTGACGGCTTCAACAGGATTCAAGCGACCATAATTGGGCTCCTCAAAAGCTGGCCCGCGGTGTTCATGTTCTTGGCCACGGGAGCCGGGACGGTGAAAGCCCGAAGCATCTCTGCTCTTCTCATTAGCCCCGCGATCACCGCTAGGACGGTCAAGTGGTCGTTCTCCACGATAACTGCTAGGGTGAGGGGACCGATCTCGGGGATCTCTTCCAGAAGGGCCGCGGTGGTCTTGAGGAAACGGTCGTACTGGTCGTTCCTCATGGGCCGGTTCTGTTGGCGGAGGGTTATCGTGGCCATGACGAGGTGCATGCCGGTCTGAGTGGCCCCTTGCCGCTCGTTCCCGGCCATCTTCCCGTGGCTGTCGGCTAGGTGTGCCGTCTGCTTTATCTCCTATCAATGCAGCACGGTCTGGGTTGACATTGTCCAAAGGTGCTTCGCCTTGAGGTTGCCTTCGATTCCTTGCTGGTTGCTCCGCCTCTTGGCGACGCGGGTTCCAATCCTTGTTGTCTTGGCGGAACAGTGCTGCTCGCTCGGGATTCATTGCAGGCTCTTGAGAGGCTGAGGGTGATTCTGTCTTTGATGGTGCCACTAGATCCTTCTTTGGCTCTTCCTGGTTCTTCGCACCCCGACTTTCTCGTGGTGGTCGATCCCTCTCTGGGCCATTGCGAGACGAGACTTCTGGGCGATGAGGTTCACGGCCGTCATGCTGTCGTCGGTCGGTGTGTTCACGACCTCGGTCGTGGAACTCAACATCCTTTGGCCAGTTGTTTCGTGGGTCGTGATGTTCTTTAGGCTCACGGACATCTCGTGGATCGCGGCTCTCACGAGGTTCTCTCGAGTTCCAGGATTCTCGGGGATCTCGGGGATCTCTGGTTTCTCGGCGATCATGAGTGCGTGACTGGTTGTACCTTTCCGAGTAGTGACCGGGAATCGGCACGTCTGGGCGACTTGGAAGGCTTGGGGGCGGATGGTTTGGCAAATTAGCACGAGGGTCATTCTTTGGAGCCGGAGCGCGCGGTGCAGGTGCACTTGGTGTAGCCTCTCGCCTTGCAGTTTCTCGGCTAGGACCTGATGGCTTGGGAGGCAGAGAGTCATTGGAGGCAGTCTCATTGTTGCTTGAGGAGACAACTCGGGACTTTCGCTTCCCATCCTGAACCTCACCATCCTCTGCCTCAGCAGTCGTTTGCTGAACAGGAGCGCTGTGTCATGTTAGCTATGGCCAAGCCACGACTGGCATGTTGATCGTATTAAACTTACTTGGGAGTGGTCGGTTTAAATTCTGTAGCTGTGGGACGTAGGCTTGATTTATCACCATCTGCTTGGGCGCCGCCAACCTTGGACAAATGAGTTTCTGGCTTGTTACGTTCGGATTTTGGTTGCCAACTTACCGAGTTAGGCCGGAAAGCCTGTACCATAATCCACTTTGGCTTCCTCTTCTGAAGTTCAGATAAAGCACCCTGGGCTGCGACGGACAAATCCACACGGTGAGCCTCTTCCCCTTCAGTGGCAGTCTTGGAAGCCGCTTCCTGCTTGGTGATCTTCTGAAGCTGGCTCGAGAATTGAGTTGCCATGAAATCGATGGCCGGGAAAAAGTCCAGGACACACTTCAGCACCGTGATGGCATTTCGAATATGCATCCACTCTGTGCCCCCGAGGCATGACTTGAGGGCGGTGTTTAAGTTCTTGTGCCACCGGAATAAGTGACCCTGGAACTCGGCATGCTCGACAAAGGTCTCGGGCTTGCCATTGTCATCCACAGTAAGTGCGAAGCCCAAATGGGCTTGGTCACCCTGACCTTTGCCCTCCCTTTCATACGCCCCAAGACGTTGCCTGTCTCTGTCTCCTGGGATGGGATCGTTTTTGTGCCATCGGGAGAGGTCTTCCAAGATGAGTTTGAGGAAGCGGCCCAGTTGGTCGGCTTCTCTGACAGTGCACGAAAAGATGATTGACCGAAGGCGGTTGGCATTGAACAGTCGATCATACAGAGCCATGAGTTTGAAACCAGGTGCATTCCATTCATGGAGAGACTTGATAAATCGATACGTGTACTCAGCGTCAGCTGGTGAAAGAACAAGCCTTGGAAGGAAGCACTGCTCGAGGAGCAAGTCGGCGATGCTCTCGGCTGTCGGTCTGGGTTCAGGGAAGGAGGTTTGGAATTGTCTCGTTAGGTACCACCTGAACCGGGTTCGGCGTTGGATACGTGCGTTTTGCTCTTCTTGGAGACCGATAGAGAGATTCATGAGCTCCTTTCTCTTCTCATACTTGCGTTCTTGATTCTTGTGGTTCATACTCGAGCGGTCCCTGGAGAGGGCGAGCTCTTCATTCTTCACCCGGGTAATCTCGGCTTTGTAACTCTTATCGGGGCAGAATATATCACCAAGCTGGAGTGCCCAGAATGTGACGTAGAGTTCTGGCGTGAACTTTTCCCATACATCTGTGGACAAATTCTCGCGTACTGCTTCAACCGTTGGCTGAAGCATGGCTTGGATCTGAGCCGAGTCGGCAATTCGCTTCTCCTCTTCTAAAGCGGCTTTGTCCTTCTCTTTGGAGGAAGAATCTTGCTTCGAAGTTCCAGTGGGCTCGGCCATCTTTGCATCACCATCTTTGTCCACCTCGGTTCCCTTTTCTGTAGCCTTTCCCTCTGCCAATTTTTTTGACACTGGGGGGAACATCTTGGCAGAGAAACTGGCTCTGCCAATGAGGAAGGACAGGCTGGCGTCTAGGCCGAAAGAAGTCATGAGTTGAGGAATCAGCGGCACGGCTGCTTCGTATGAAGTTGCGTCGAGATTGCTCCAGAGGAAATCAAGGTATTGTATCAAAATTTGATGGGTATCGTCAATGAGAGAGGATAGATACTTGATATGTGCCTCATCTTCCGGAACTTGGAAGATTGCTGCCTGTCGGAATTGAGCAAGATTGACCAATACCAAACCAGCGAGTTTTGATTCAGTGAGGGCCTTTGCCAAACGTTGAGAGCTCCGAACATTGTCGAATCGTCGATCCTGGCCCCGAATAAGAGTGTAGCGGCGAAGCACCTCTCCACCAGCCATGGATAGGATTTGGTAGTCGGTGAAATCGGCTGTGTCAACAATACCGCCCATTGAGGAAATCAATTCTTTGAGAATGATCAGATCCGTTGAGTTTCCCTGAGAGAGTTGCTTGTTCATATATTGAAGAACCGGTGTTGGGCTAAGCGTAGCATATCGACGGAAAACCTTGCCCGTGAACCTGGAAAGGGCTGATAGCCATTTGCTAGTTGTAAGGGCGTGGTCTGCTTGAGTACGACTTCGAGACTTTCCGAGGGAATTCACCAATGACCAGACAAGGACTTCTTGTGATAACTCAGTGAAGTATTTGGCACATTCAACGAAGGCCTCGATCAGGTTGGGGTAGGATTCAAGCTGCTCGAAGGCAACTCTGAAGACAATTCCAGGAGAAGATAAACTTGTCTTTGCAAGTCTCTTGGCCATTTCACCCAGGTTCGTCAATGAAACTCGTTTCATGGTTGCCTGAGTCTCTGACTTGGCCCGCGCAAAGGCCTTTTGCATGGCAGGGATACGCGAAACTTGACCCTCGAACCACTCAGAGTAGATAGAGTACCTGGTTTGGATTGGATAATGCTTCAACAGAGCCCAAACTGCGTTGACGGCAGAGCCATTAGCCTTGGTATGACTTAGAGCAGGTACTAGCAATCTTCGAAGCAGGCTGTGCCAGCGGTTCAAATTATTTTCTGATGAATCATCATGTAAGCTCTTCGAACCGATTGTGGCCAATTTAGCAAGCAGAGCCTCATCCTTGCCAATGTTTACACCTGACAGGTTGATGAATGTGTCACACAAGGTGAAGACGTCATCTACACTTTGGCACACAGGGACGTTATCGGTCCACTCATCCCAATAATAGTGGTAATCTTGCGTCTCGTTATGGTCGTTCTTGTCGGGGGTAGGCCATCGAAGAATCTTTTTAGTTGTCAGAGACGTGAGCTTGACGGTGCCCTTGGGCACACCATTTTGGTCGGTGTCGGGAACTCGTTTCGTAGGGCAGTCTGTTGGTATTGCCTTAATAGGGCAGCTATCACTGTACACCTTTTCTAAGGAGACATGAAGGATGCGGTGTATCCCGTCAATAACGTCGGGGACAGCCTCCGGAATCCAAGGGAAACGGCCGAGTATGAATAAAGCCTCGGGTATGGCTCCAATAGTAAGGAGTTGAGTAAGAAGCGTAACTTTCTGCTCATGCGGATCGTCTGACTTGGGATCGTTGGTCTTCTTGGCGTCCGGTTTGGGCTCGGCTTCTGGGCGTTTTGCGTCCCTTCGTGCTGGTGCTGAGGGTGGTCCATCGTCATCTTGAGGCAATGCACCAGCCATAAGCAGCGCATTCATCTGGCCACCTCCACGAACCTTTCTCTCCTTCTCTTCCATCTCTTTGAGCTTCTGGTCGCGGACTTTGTCCATGTTGTCATCGGCTGGAGACAAGTGTGGCCAGAGATCAGCAAGAGAGATGAATCCGATTTTGATTAGAAGAGCAGCCAGATAGAGGAGGTTAGCAGGGAGCACGTCGGAGGGGTCTCTGGTGTCTGAGTAATAAAACAGAAGCTTGAAGCCAAGTAATTGAGCGGCAACGCGGTTGCCAACTGGTGGCATTGTCTTGGTTGCCTTCAACCATTCCATCTGGGAATCAAGCACGGCCTCTTCACCGCTGTCTCCGTTCGTGGTTGCCAGATCACGTTCGGATGAAGGCGAGGGTCGTCTTCCACCTAATTCGAAGAAGGCCTGGAGCTGAACCTCGCGGGCTCGATCCCAAAACGCAATATCTCGGGCCAGTCTCGACTGTGCATTCTTCGCTTCATCCTCCTCTGTGGTATTCCAGTCAGGGTATCCGGGAGTAGCCCAGGTGGGGAGGCCGCCAATAAACCCAGTGTCTGAGGCTTTCAAATGCGAGCGTGGCCACCAAGAACTAACCCGTAGCAGTTTAACAAAGAATCGAAACTGTTTAACTAAAACTGCGGCGGCCACGTCTAGGGTCACGTCGAGCACACGGCCAACGTCCAAATCAAAGGTTCCAATAAGACCCTTGATTTTTTCGAATGTCTGCACAGCCATGTCAACGGGAAGAACATCGCTGGTCGTATAAAGCTCGGTGATCAATTTGGAGTAGCCCTCTGTCTCCTCACGGAGGAGGTTGAAGTTGGATTGACGGTAGAGTAGGTTGGTGGTATGTCTGACCAAAGTTCTCTGGAAGATTGTACGGACTAGACCAAGCTGAGTCAATACTGGGCCTTCCAAGACTTGTCGCATGAGTGATACAGGAATTTCGGTTGCCTTGAGAAAGTCTGCGAGCGATGGCTGATACTCATTGGCGCCGATTTCCAAGATTATCGAAAGCGAGTCCAAGAAGAGCGAGTGGTTTGCGAAAGAATCAGCGTCCGCGGACTCTTCGCTAGGCTGTTGGCCCAGAATTTCCTTTACGCAAGCTCCTGCATCAGTAGGGTCCAGCCTGCCAGTGATGACGGAGTGAATAAATTCCTGGAAGACGCTAGACAGTTCTGTGATATCCTCGTCCTCACGCGACTGACAACCATGCTCGATGACTTCTGTTCGACCTCGCTCGGTCCATTCGCGGAGAATTTCGTCGGTTAAAGTGTTGTATCGGTATTCGACCGCAGAAAGCTTGGCTGTGTTGGGATCGGCTGTCGGTTCTGTAGCCGGGGCTGGGGTCTTCATGACTGGCTGTCCGAGTGATAAAGATGGAGGTGGCGATGTCGGTGGAGGGGGCATTGACTGTGAGGTCGAGTTGGATCGCCCCATGGTGGGAGACACGGCCTGCGGTGGAATGGTTGATCGTCCCATGACTGGTGAGCCGTTCTGAGATTGGTTGCGGGGGCCCCTGTGACTATGTTGCGACGAGTCGCGTCGGTTATTATAACCACCTCTTTGATTACCTCGACCACGGCTTCTTCCGCCGTTATCTTCTCTGTCATGCTGTCCGAGACCCGTGTCACCAGGCCGATGGGGTGAAGGTCGCCCGCCATCTGGGGCCCCAGAACGCTTTCGCTTTGGAGGCATCGTTTGCCAAAGAGTCGCTTTGTATGATGACTATATCATTGGTGATGATTGAAAGGAAGTGGGTGGAGGAGGCGATACTCCAAGGGATTACTTGTAGGATTTGTAGCTGCCAAGGCTTTGTCAGTTCCCGTGCCAAAACACACCAGGCCACGCGATCTGAGCACAGGCATGATGGGGAAAATATGAACATACATTGTTCTTGGGTGAGCGGAGTGATTGGGACAAAGAGTGATTCTGTGCGACAGCGACTAAAGACTGTCTTCGATTGAAGGATCGCCAAGTGGTGTTCGCCCTTGACGGGGATTGAAGTAAGGGTGGAAAATAAAAGAAAAGAACAAAGAAAAAGAAGAAGAGATGGAACTAGAGATAGTCGTTGAGGTACGCCGGGAACAACATGCAAGCTAGCCTTGGACGCGGTAGGCTTGCTGTGCTGGCGCCTTTGATAAATGTTCTTGCGATGGCAAGCATTGACGAGGCTTAGAGCAAAAGGTTGAAGCTTCACCACGTCCTTCGCGTATTACCTAAGCAGCTTGACCGTTCGGCGACGTGCCCCACCATTATTGGCGCCTGGGCAGCACCCCAGATCCTATTGTCGCACCGCCACAATAGCAAGATAACGGAGTCAGATTAACAGGCACTACATACAATACAGGTGTTTCTATTATAGCTTTCCAGGAGGCCACGATATTGATAGAGAATAGTCGATAATAAAAATCAGTCTTCGAGTGACCTTTAGACAGTTTTAGTCGTTATTACGCAATAGGAAGCAATGCTATATGACTGGCAGCCACGTTAATTCTGTCGAGGTGGCTTTGCAGGCCCTGTTTTTCTGACAGCTACTTTAGTGGCTGATGTCGGGTAGGTACATTCAGATATTGAGCCGCGTCGATGTGACAATGACATGCAACTCAAACAATAGTAGGCAGATGAGCGAGGCATCAATTGGCTGAACTCACCCCGTTTCCCCAGAATAAACGCATGACACAACTGCAATAAGCCCCATCTCTCTGAATGCCTCTCGGGATTGGAATGCAATGCCGTTGGACAATCTGCTGCCGAAAAAATGGCTCTCGCCTTGTCACTGGATTCAGTTTAGCGGGCTCCGATTGGACGCTGACTCACACGGTTGGCCGATTCGCGCTATGGCGCAATACAAGATCGGCTCGCTGCCCGCTCTCGACTTCAGCTAAATTCAATGAGATAAAACTTATCACGTGCGGGTGCATTCAGGATCAGAAGTTGTTCCTACTCCTAGAAGCCCTCCCAATTCATTGTTGAGCGCGGCCACTACTGGGGATCGAGACCGCACCTGCCACTTATAAAACTTTTGAGTTCAACCCTTCCCCCGTTCTCGGTGCGCTACAAAAATCAAGAATTGTCAAAATGGCAACTGATAATGGCCTGGCCTTGGGCCAAGACGGAAAGACAAAGTCATACGGTCAGTACCACATCTGCCTACCTCGCCACAAACGCGTATTCCCCTTTCCCCAACAGATTTCATCACATTATCTGAAAGACCGGTGACTGAATACCAGGAAGAAAGAATGCACTCACAGCCTGAGAACCCATTTGCTGCGTTAATCCCGGAGCAGAAGATAGCGATTATCCCAGAGTTCAAGCTCGAGTCTGGGGGGGTTCTCTACAATGTACCCGTGGCATACACCACCAGGGGCAAGTTGTCTCCAGAGGGAGACAATGCCATGGTGATATGTCATGCCCTGACCGGCAGCGCAGATGTTGCCGATTGGTGGGGCCCATTGCTGGGCAGAAATGGAAAAGCCTTTGATGAGACCAAATTTTTCATCATTTGTATGAACAGCTTGGGCAGCCCATATGGATCTGCCAGCCCAGTCACCGCAAGGGATGGAGATGCAACAAAGGGGCGATACGGACCTGAGTTTCCACTCACAACCATTCGAGATGATGTGAAGTAGGTTTCGACTTCTTTTGGACAGAATCAGAGCGGCACTAACATGTGTATTTAGCCTCCACAAACTTCTCCTTGATGATTTGGGAGTAAAGCAAATTGCGGCCGTTATCGGCGGCTCGCTGGGAGGCATGTTTGTTCTTGAGTGGGCTTACTTTGGGAAAGACTACATCCGTTGCATCGTTCCCATTGCCACATCTAGCCGGCACAGCGCCTGGGGAATCAGCTGGGGTGAGGCTCAGCGGCAGAGCATATATGCCGACCCCAAGTATGACGATGGCTACTATTTGCTTGATGACCCTCCTTCCACCGGTCTCGGCGCGGCACGCATGTCTGCTCTGCTTACATACCGAAGCCGCAACTCGTTCGAGTCTCGATTCGGCCGTAACATCCCGGACCCGGCCAAGGTTCAGACCATAAGTGGTCGGCCACGACCAAGCACACCGTCCGAGGCGCATTTCCACATTCACAACGATGGGCACAACGTCAAACGGACCTCGCTTTCGAGGAAGGGCAGCGAGACGGGAACAGACACCAGCCCGAACCCGGAGGACACGCCTGACCCACAGTTCCATGGCCCCCAGAAGACCGCTGAGGGGAGTCTCACCGGAGGTGATTCGTTCCCGACGTCGACCTACTTTTCCGCGCAATCCTATTTGCGGTATCAGGGCACTAAATTTGTCAAGCGATTTGACCCCAACTGCTACATTGCCATGACGCGCAAACTGGACACGCACGACGTGTCACGCAACAGGGCGGCTACCATCGGTGAGGCCCTGGAGATGATCGAGCAGCCCACGCTCGTCCTCGGGATCGAGAGTGACGGCCTGTTCACGTTCGCGGAGCAGGAAGAAATTGCCCAGCATGTCAAGAATTCCCGGCTGGAGCGCATCGACAGCCCCGAGGGGCACGACGCCTTCCTGCTGCAATTTGAGCAGGTCAACCGGTACGTGCTTGGATTCCTCCGCGAGGTCCTCCCGGACATTATGACCAGGGAGGGCGTTGTTCCCGAGGAGGCATCTGTCGGCACTCTTGCAAAGTCAAGCACTTTTGGTGAGGCTGAGGTGGATGATATTACGGCTTGGTAAGGAGGAACAGCGTTATTGCATTACGGAAACAAAAGTTCGATGAGACATATGTATATTTTACCTGCCTATGTCATAACTAGGTGTAAGCTTCAACACAAACATGGTTAAACAAGGATGGCCAGAATCACGAATCAGCGTTCAAGACGAGGTAGTGGGAAAAAAGATCCGCCGAGAAGAAAAATGGAGAACATAAACGGCCAAGGGTGGTCATCCCAAAAGGTGACCACGAAACGCGCATGTGTGAGGAAATCGCCCAGGTCGATCAGCCGCCTTATGTTCCAGGCTTCCTTAATAGGATGACTCCTCCGGGCCAGCCAATGCTCGCCAGGTGAGCCGGGCACATGGTCTTGGAGCAGTCCTTTTTGGGGATTTCGAAGACAGCCCTGCGTCAAGAGGGTCGCGGCACGGCCGGTGATTCGCCGAAGCCGAGAGTCATCCAATCTTACCCAACAGGCGATTATTCTCACCAGTCACAGTGCTTCTTCATACGAGGTGACGAGAGTGGGCTTTCCGGAATAGGGATTGTGTATGTAATAGTATTGGGTGCACTCGGGCAGAGCGCGCAAGGTTTCAGCAAGAATGGAAAATGCCCAGCACGTTTTCGCTCCTGGGTGCGCCTCGAAACACGTGCTGTCGCCCAAGACAAGTGCAGTGGATATATTGGGTAACTGGAGCTGCACAAAAGAGGTACGAACAGACTAGCGCATTCGTAAGTCCAGCAGTTGACTCGTTGGTTACAGGGCAACAGGGCTCTAGAAGGCGGCTCTGGAAGCCTTTAGCGCACGTCACTAGTTGAAATGCCTCCACCGAAAAATGAAGGAAACACCATGGTGATGAAGCAGGGGCGCCTTAGCTTTAGCCTCCCGCGCACTGGCGTGGACCAGGACAGCATTGAAGATTCGGTGCAGTCACATCTCAGATTAGGTAGCTTACCACACCCAGCTGCTGGGTAGGTAAGGCGCTGCAGAGGCGCCATGTCTCATCTTACCACCACTGGCAGCATGTAATACGATTCCAGCTGGGACTGATCTGCCTCAGGAGGACGCCCTGCCCGCTGTCTGGTCTCCCGAGTCCCGCTGCAAAGGCCCAGGGGAGTTCCACGCTAAAGCTGAAGCGGGAGGTGTGTGGCCCAGAAGCCGTGTTTGCCGGCTTCGATTTGCCTTCCACTCGTCGTCACAGCTTACTGTATGCCCACGCTTCCTCCAGGCATCCCCCCTCCCGCTCCATCCATACATGCGACTCTGCAGTGGTCGCATGAGGGGCTACAACCACTCGTTTGGCCCATGTGCCTGCCATTGCGGGCCCCAAGCCACTGCCTCTGGCTGGAATGTGCATGTCCACTCCCAGTTAGTAGACATTAATCCATCCCATTTAGCTTTATTTTCTTTCCTTCATTGACGTTTTGCCGTCTGAATCAACACTTTATTTTTACATCTGCTCGCGTGTCGCACATATTCGCCTTCGCAAATCTCTGGGTTGTTGTCTGTTCATCATCCCATCACCCCCGTCCATCGCGAAATCCAGACATCCTGCTGCGCTTCCTGACGGATCCATCTGCACGGCTCCAGCGGCGCATGCACCTCCACCAGGCGAAATTGCCGAACCTGAGACCGAACCACGGGCATATTTGATCTGGCCTCGCCAAACGACTCCCGTTTACATCGACGCCTGCCCGACCTCGACCGAGAAATCCATCGTTGCGCAAGTCGTGAAGGAGAAAGATCGTGGACCGCTAGGGTATATAGTTAGGACGGGCGACACCTGCAACCTTACCACTGACACCGTGGGAGGGAATCACCGACCGAATCGCGCGCAAGATCCGAGCCGTCGGCATTATTCTATCAACATCTCCATTTACATCTCGAGATCCAGGTCCACGGCTTCCGATGCAATTGTGAGGAGTGCCTCTGCACTTGGACGGCGACAACACTTCCCCCATCGCCTCATGTTGTCGCCGTGTGCCCCCATTCTTGTCGGCCTCACTCCTTAATATCGTCACTCGCTTCCAACATCCGGTACCATTCAATTACGATTATGCAAAATGTCGGCCTCTATAGATGAGATGCTCCCCGGGTCGGGAGTGTTTGTAAATCCCCAGCAACGACTTCGCAGTAATGGCGGAAATGGCGCCTTCCACAACTTCTATAACGACTACTCCCACATCCAAGACCCCAACCTTCGAAGACGATTAGCACTATCAGAAATCGACAAAGTTCCTTTTGGGAAGTACCGTATGTGCCCTTCTTTCATGCCAGGCTTGGCGTTCTCGTCTTGGCAATACTGACATTAGAGACCAATCAGATGTCCGTGCTGTCTTAGTAGCCGGTGTCGGTTTCTTCTTAGACTCTTACGATATCTTCGCAATTAACTTAATCACTACACTCCTCGGTTTGGTTTTCTGGGGAGGCGGTGATCCTTCCGATGGATACGGAGGTAATAATGGCCTATTGCCAGACCCAGTCAACCAGGCTCTGAAAGCTTCAACTAGTAGTGGCATCATTATTGGGCAGATCCTGTTTGGATGGATGGCCGAGTGAGTTACACCCGCTGCATCTGTTGTCTCTTTCTTTGTGTCTCATAATTAATTCGTTTTTAGCGCTTATGGCCGACGAAAAATGTATGGCTTTGAACTGGGTCTCATCATCTGGGGGACCTTTAGTTGCGCCATGGTTAGTTCTAGTCCCGCCATTAGTTCTACCGCTCTGATGATCTTTTGGAGAGTTGTAATGGGTATTGGAATTGGAGGCGACTATCCCCTTAGTTCAGTCATTACCGCCGAGTATGTGTCAATCACTAAACGTCACCTGCTTGCCTATCCTGGCTAACATTGTTGAACAGGTTTGCTCCAACTAGATGGCGAGGCGCCATGGTAGCAGCCGTCTTTTCAATGCAAGGAATGGGCCAGCTTATCTGTGCAATGGTTGCGCTAATCACCGCTGTTGGATTCAAGTCCCACTACGTCAATATCCCAAATGAGTCCTTGTGCGACAGTGCTTGTCGTCTGGCTGCCGACAGATCCTGGAGAATTATTGTTGGTGTTGGCGCTATCCCCGCCTGCCTTGCGCTCTATTATCGCATCACTATCCCTGAGACGCCTCGATACACCTTCGATGTGCAATTCGATGTGGAGAAGGCCGATGCTGATATACGGGCCTATATGTCAAGGAAATCTATAGACTCCGTCTCTGTCACTGGGGCAAGCCCTCTTGCAGCACATCAATTGCCCTCTCAGAAGCTCAACATGCCAAAAGCTTCATGGGCTGATCTCTATGAATACTTCAAGACCTGGCGCCATCTGAAGGTCCTCCTTGGCACTTCCCTCTCATGGTTCTTCTTGGTAGGTTCAGTTAACGCGGCTTTTATCTGGATCCCTAGCTAACCTCCTGAAGGATCTCGCATTTTACGGTCTCGGCCTCAATAACACTATTGTTCTTCATGCCATCGGACACGCTGAAGGCTCAAATCTCCACCAAAAGTTGTTTAACCAGGCTGTGGGTATGATTATCTTGGCGTGCGCGGGCTCGATACCTGGCTACTGGTTTGCCGTCTTCACCATCGATACATTTGGGCGCAAGTCACTCCAGATCATAGGCTTCCTTCTTCTCACAGTAGTATTCGCCATACTGGGATTTAAACTCCGCGATATGGGGGAGAACACGCTCCTCGCACTCTACATTGTTGGCCAGTTCTTGTTCAACGCTGGGCCTAATACCACTACTTTCATTGTGGCTGGTGAGTGCTTTCCCACACGCTACCGTTCGACGGCGCATGGCCTATCCGCAGCCATGGGGAAACTTGGTGCCATCATTGCACAAGTCATCAGTATCCCCATGCTCAACAAAGACTCTCCTCCAAACTGCAAGGGTAACGCGTGTTCTCCGCACCTCGACAAACTTCTTCAAATGTTTGCTCTCTTCATGTTGCTCGGAACATTGGTCTCCTTCCTAATTCCGGAAACAAAAGGCTACACTCTGGAGGAACTCGCCGGTGAACCGCGCACCAGCTATAACGCTGGCCGCAACGGTAGCATCAGCTTCGGCACTCACAGCCATCATTCCATGTGGAACCCGTTCGGTGGTGGCCAGCCCGCAGGATTCTTTTATCCTCGCTCCAAGGAGACTGTATTTACCACCAACGATGCCCCTACTAGCAGTGGTAACAACGACCGTCACCGCAGGCTCTCTCACAACACTATTACAAAACTGCCCCGTACCCTCGACAGCATCCGCCAACGCAAGTCACATCTTTGGTGGAGGAGACGGAGAAGCCAGCATGATGCGGGCAGGAATGAGGACATTACTCTCAGCAGCCGCAGTTCCTCTAATATCAGTCACCAGCACCATAATGTTGGCGTTGTGCCCGAGGAAATAAGCCCCACGTCTTCGCCTGCGGTACATCCCACGATACCTCCCGCACTTTCTCCAATCTCTCCAATCTCTCCAGTACAACAGCAGGCTGTGCCAACCTGGGGTGCAGGCTGGGGACGCATTGATCGAGGAAGACGACCTCCTCAGATCGATGAGGTGCAGCTGCAGGATGTCGGGTCTCTGCTCAACAAGAGCGTGTAAATACTAAAATTCGGTGTTTGTATGTATTCCTTTCTTGGGAGGACTTTTGATGATACGCGTTTGTTTTCTTGGTTTTCTTTTCGCGTTGGAGTTTAGGAAGATTCGTGTGGCAAGCCACATTGGGCCAGTATTTGTACAATGATACCTTATAGACAATGGGCGGGCTAGGTAGAGGCAGTAATGCACTCAGTGCATATGGATAACTCAATGAAGCAAAGATCTTATGAAATCGCAGCCAATCATGGTACTTCTTTTCGATGCAGGCTTTGTGAGTAAGGTTGCAACGCTGCTGCTGACCTGGCCCTTCCTGGGCAGATTCTTCCCCTCACCAACCGTCTGCAATCGCGGTCAGAATCGTCTGCTCAGAGGCACATCTTACTTGGTCCTTCCTTCCTTAGCGAATTCTTCTCCTTCCTTCCTCGGCAGATTCCTCCCCTCAACAACCCACCGCCAACATGGACAAAATCGTCTGCTCGGAGGCGCATCTGTGCGAATATTGCCTTGCATTTGCCAAGGCTATATCCTCACGTTCTAGCACTTTCACAGCCACTTCCTTGTCTGGATATCAAGGTCCAGGACTGTGGCCGTCCTCAATTACTTGTCACCTCTGCAAGATGCTTAACAGCGCCAACGCGACAAGAGGTGCACTATCATCAGGGTACCTCAAGATGTTTAAGAACGGCCCAACTTTAATCAGATATTTTCACAGAAATGACATGGTCGCTTCCAGTGGTCGAGGGCCTTTATCGGAGGTCAATATCTATACTAATCGCGGAACCCATATGCTCAGCATCCCTTTTGCTATTTGGTGCGACGATGGTAAGTCTCTGCCTTTCCTTCATTTTCGAAATATTTCATGTTGCTCATAAATACTAGATATCTTGGATATCGTACAGGATCCACCACTACCTTCGGATAATTGCCCAGAGGCCTTTGCTCTTGTCAAGAAATGGCTTCGGAAGTGTCGTTACCACCATCAGCAATGCTTACAGACCAGATCAGGCCTTCTTGTCAACGAAATCCATGGTCCAAAACTTCCTACGAGAGTGCTAGATGTTCGTAAACGAGACGAAGGGGTTGTATCTCTCATTGAGAGTAACGGTCTGAAAGAAAACTTCTGCGCCCTGAGTTACTGTTGGGGCAATCGACCCCAAAGCGTGGTCACAACCCGAGAGTCGATCGCGGACCACTGTGCTGGGATAGAAATCGACCGTCTCCCGCAGACTTTCAAGGATGCGATTCAGCTAACGTACGAAATTGGTATCAATTATCTTTGGATCGATAGCCTCTGTATTGTCCAGGATGACGACGACGACTGGGAAAAGGAAGCAGGTAACATGGCAAATGTTTACCAACATGCATTCTTGGTTATTTCAGCAGACGGGGCCTCTCACTCGGATGGGGGCTGTTTTGTGCGACAAGATATTTATCCCAGCGTTGTTAAAATACCGTTTTATGATGCCTCGGGCCAGATATGCAGTTCCTTCTGGCTTTCAAGGGAAATGGTGGGATATATCGACAAGTACCCCGAAGATAGCCCTTTACAAGAGCGAGCCTGGGCTTTCCAGGAAGCATTCCTTGCTCGTAGATCAATTCATTTTATGCCTGGAGGAATGAGTTGGAGATGCCAATGTATGAGTCTGGGTGAGAGAACTCGGATAACCAACGATATATATACCGAAAATTGGTACTTCGTTCTGAGAGACTACTCGCGCCGCAAGCTTACTTACAAAAAGGACCGCCTTCCTGCCATCGAAGGGCTGGCGAGCGTTTTAGGGAAAATAAAAGGGGTTGGATACCACTTGGGGATTCTTGATGTCGATATCGAAAAACAGCTTCTATGGATACTTAGAGAGTTTGCATCGCCATCAGACGCCTTGGATGACGTTCCTTCCTGGTGCTGGGCATCTCAAGGAGGACGGAAGGAATTACCCCCCACAACTTCAGGCATCCAGGGCCAACGCGCAAGCGAAGCCACAATGGATTTAGTGAAGGGGCTAAATGGGGTTGTTCGATTTACTGGCAATTTGGGTAAGTGTGATATTCAGGAACTTTCCCTCACGTTCGACTCGGATGAAGAAACAGTGGATGATGAAGACGGAGAAACATCTGAGGAAGAGGACGGAGAAGCATCCGAGGAAGAGGATAGAGAAGCATATGAGGAAGAGGACGGAGAAACATCTGAGGAAGAGGACAGAGAAGCATATGAGGAAGAGGATGGGGAGGCATCTGACGAAGAGGATGGGGAGGCATCCGAGGAAGAGGATGGAGAAGCATATGAGGAAGAGGATGGGGAGGCATCTGACGAAGAGGATGGGGAGGCATCTGACGAAGAGGATGGGGAGGCATCTGAGGAAGATGTTGGAGAAGAATTTGAGGATCCCCATAAGCGATACACTTCTCTGCTCGCTTGGCTCCTCGTCTCCTTTTTCAAAAGACGCGAATATCAAATCATGAATGGCAAAGATCCAACCCCGCAACCCATTGGCTTTGCCGCTCCTGATCAGCCTTACGTTGGGAATTGTTACACTGCCTTTCTTTGCGAAACAGAGTGGGATAGCATCAGTGACCTGTCCAATGAGTATAGCATTCAGCCCTCACATTAACAAGTCACTGACTGACATACCCTAGATTTGGAAGGCTTCATAAGTTCCCATCTCCCTCAAACCATCCAAGTCGCCGGGTACGTTTATGACAATATTCAGAGTGCAATGATTCTTCTGACTCAAAATACATTATTTAGCTGCATTGGGTACTGCTTTTGGCTCCTGCTTCCGAGCATGAGAATACGTTCCGGCGAGTCGGTGTCGGAGCTGTTTGGCGTGATCCTGAGGATGATGCCACGGCAGTACAGAAGGTTACGATTGACCTAGTGTAGGGATCAGCTTTGGAGTTGTCGGGCGTGATGAATGTCAATCCCAGTGGTGTAAATGTAGCTAATGTTCTGGGAGACAATGCCAAGAGCTAGCTGGGTAGTTGATCATTCGACGAATTAGGTCAGCAGACGCCAGTTTCGGACATCTTACACATAAATCTATGCCAATGTTCATCGATTTCCGGGATTTGTTATCGTGTGTTTAATCATGATCATGTGGTTTATATTTTGTTGATTGTTAATGTAATGCTTTATCTGTCACTTGAGTAACCAAGTGCCAGATAACTGAGCTAGGGGTCATCATCCTTCTAACGCCAGGCATCTACCACCACCAGAAAGTGTTTAGTTGCACACAAGAAGGGAGTCGTTACTTGCGTGCCATCTGTCTAGTGTGGTGGGTATTAAGCTTGGGAGTATACATTCAAAAAGTGGTGCTTCATGGTCATGCTCGTTTGCCGCTCAGCTGGCGCACTACCAACGAGCGCCTTGCCTACTCTTGGTAGGTCGTCGATGAAAGGGCCTCCATTTGGAAGCTTTCTTGGAAAGTCATTGCCAGCGTTGTTTTCCACTCGTCGCTCCAAGCGCCGTGAGTGAAGATCATGCCCGATGGAGCAACTGTCCCAGAAGCATATGGGCACTTGATTCTCGAACCCTGTCGGTAGGTCCGCTTAGAGTTGCAGTGGCTGGCACACTTGGCGCGGGGCACGAGTTTAATCGACATGGCCATTGATACAATGCCCTCTTGAACCACATGGCTATTCCATCAAACCCCTGGCCTTTTTCTTACCTGCTACAAGAAGAAAGGCACATGGCATCGCTTCGTCTCGCTCGTTGAGGAAGGGAGGCGCCATCTCAAGCCACCATATAACCCCTCCCTTCGCCTCGTCCATGCCACCATCTCGCTCGTTCTCTTGTCGCTGTACCCCCTGTCTCTGTGTTTAAATTAAGATTGAATACTTACAGGTGCGATTTGAACTCAAGGGTTTGTTCCGGACACCATAGCAGACATGATGATGTTACTATTCTACGGCCTCGTCGCTCTAGCAGCGGGAGTCTGCGCGCAAAGCACATGCAATGGCTACGAGGCGCTCTGTGATCGGAAATACAGCAGTATCACCTTCGCCGCGGCGCATAATGCTGCCTTTGTCGGCAGGGGGCCGTTCCATAACCAGTATCAGTACCCAGAGGTGGCCATGAGCAGTGGCATCCGCTACTTTACCACCCAAGTCCACATCCAGGATGGGCAAATCCGCCAGTGCCACACGGACTGCGCATTTCTCAATGTGGGAGCCTTCTCGGAGATTGTCACTTCGATCAAGACGTGGCTAGATGCCAATCCTCGGGAAGTGGTGACCCTGCTGATTGGGAACGGGGATGACGCAATCCAGATTGAGGAGTTCAAGCCTCATTTCGAGGCATCAGGAGCTCAGGATATTGCGTTTATCCCGGGGACCAAGCTGGGGCTCGATGACTGGCCGACTCTCGGAGAGATGATTGATTCTGGGAAGAGGCTTGTTGTATTCATGGGTAAGAACAAGAAGCCAGTTTGACAGGCAAACAATAGCAAAGAGCTAATACTGGTCAGACTATTACTCCGATACTTCCAAGGTTCCCTATATTCTTCCGCAGTTTGACTACTATGTGGAAACGCCTTTCAGTCCAACGGACGATAACTTCTTCAACTGTGATGTGGACCGGCCCAGCAAGGACACGCCCGCAGATGGGCGAATGGTCTTTGCAAACCACAATCTGAACGAGGAGATCGCAGGTATTCTGATTCCTGACCAACTACGTGCCTCGCAAACGAACTCGCAGGGCAATATTCGGCAGCAGACCGAGATTTGCGTGAGCAATTATGGGCGCAACCCGAACGTCGTCTTGGTATGTCCTCGATAACCCCAGCACAAGCAAGACATGAGTACTAACCAAATGTTTGATATAGCTGGACTTTGTCTCGGAGGGAGAGGTTATTGCTGCGCAGAAGACGCTGAATGGGCTTTGAGAACATTGTATTGGAATGATGATAGTATGAATTTACGATGGATGAATTGATTGCTGCTCAGTTGATTGATTGATGGTGGTCACGAGCAAGGGCATCACATGTCAGGTAGGCGCACGATGATAAGCCTACCTGATACAAGCACCTTGTCGCATGGTTCATCCCTGCGACAGCAATGGTTAAAAGCAACAGCAAAAAAATAACCCACTGCCCTCTCCGGCGAAGGTCGGATGCAGGAAGCATGAATCACACGATTAGAGCCAGCCGCCACTCTCTGTCCCCGTTTGGGGGAGTACAAATATTCCGCATATGCGCGGCTGTTGGCAAATCAAATGCGATGCGAGTAACTTCCATATCAGTTCGTCGCATCCGCGCTGGCGATGATCACGTTGATCGATGACGTTTACTTGGAGCTAACCAAGCTCTCGGGCCATCTTGGTGGGAAAAAGTTCAATAGCTCCCAAACATGGAAGTTGTAGCACTAGGGCGGGCATCTGGGCTGGTTGCCTGCCCAGCTGGAGCTGTTTCAGCTGGCAGGTTCACCCCACCCGAGGACCGGTTACGTAGTGGCTGGGCTAGCGCTGTGCTTCACACTGAGGGCGTCTTCAGGGCCACAGCCACCAGCCTAAAGATTGGTCGAGGGCTCCCGATTGCTCCCAGATCCAGGCCACAGTGCATGCGCCCAGGCCCTAGCTTAACTGCTGACCTCACCGCTGTCATCCATCTGCTTCTATTCAGTCACCTCCGCACCGTCATCCCTCTTTCCCTCCTCCAAATCCTCCGAAATACATACATACGCCCTCTTCTTGGCCCACCTCCGCTACCTCACCACGATACTCTTGTCGCCTCTTCCAAAGAATCTTTTGTACTCAGACTCGTTCAGCCATGGCTCCTCAGCCGAATCCCAACTTGCCGCTGCAGGAGCGGTTGCTCGCCTTGGCCAAGACCTTGCAGTGTACGTGGTCTCTTGCCCCTCCGAGGATGGGCTCTCCCACCACACCATTTCCCGCGCCGCAGATGTGTCGCGCATTTTTCAATTACTACAGACATTTCTATAGATTCACTAGCTAACATCTTCACTCTTCCAGTCGCTTGGTTCGCTGGGTAGGTTTCAGGCCTCTCTCTTTTTCTTTGTCCAGATATCCGACAACCTCAGCTCCAGCCGAACTTCCCCACAATCCCTCCGACCAGCCACCTTGCTCGGATTTGCGAAACACCCAAACACTCAGACCACGAGAATATTGGAAAGATGATCCCGCTGACTTGAAACCTTCCTGCTAGTCACTTCACGCTTATTCTTACAACCCTGCGCTACTCGCTCTCATGGCTGCGCATGAACTACTATGGCGGCATGGCCCAGTTCTGCTACCGCACCTCGTTTGTCGCCGCCGCCCTCACATACGGCATTGTTGTCTACAAGACCCAGCGCGCTCGTGCAAAGACCGGCAACAGGCCTCCTGGCGGCGCCATTGCTCTCCTCGCTGATGAGAATGTTCAATATCTGAGTGCGTTGCCCCTCATCACGCCAGCCGGGAACCCTGGCTAGGGTAATTGGTTATTTTGCTAACCAGGGATACGGATTATAGTTTTGGCCCTGATCTGGCTCTTCTCCCCCCAGTACCCCCTCGCTCTCCTTCCTTACTCCGTATACTCGATCTTCCACGTTGCGACCTACACACGTGCCAACCTGATCCCCGTCCTCCAGCCTCCCCCCGCTGCCGCTACCGCTGATGGTGCCTCCAAGCCCCGAGTTAGCAACCCTTGGGCTGATAGGATTGGCGCCTTTGTGAAGGAGTACTATGACTCCTCCATGTCTGTTGTCGCTCTCCTTGAGGTTCTCCTCTGGGGCCGCATCCTGCTAGCTGCTCTCCTCTTCCAGCGCAGGTCTTGGATCCTCATTGTTCTCTACACTGCATTCCTCCGCGCACGCTACGCCCAGAGCTCACACGTGCAGACTGCCTTCGTCCAGCTCTCCGCTCGCATCGACTCCGCAGTTGGGTCACAAAACACTCCCCCCGCTCTTCGCCAGACCTGGGACACCGTGAAGAACGTTGCGGTCCAGTTCCGCGACATCACCGATGCCAGCAAGTATCTGCAGGGCGCTCCCGCAAAGAAGACCTCGTAAGGGTCTTTGCCGACACAGGCCTTGCACGAACGAATACGTTGGTGCCATGGCCAGACGGTCTCAAGCTCAGTCATTCAACGAGGGGGCCTGGTGTTGGTTCTGACGGTTAATGATGAGTCGGAAGAGCGATAATGGATAACGCTTTCTTCGGAATTACGAGGCTAGGGACCAGGGATCAAACTACCCCGACCCCTGGCAGATTACGGGGAAACTCATTTCACGGAATGGTTTAATCATCAGAAGCCACCCATGGCTTTCTGGGCTTCTCCTGGGTCTCCCGGGACGGGCCGGAGGCCATGGGTGTCTCCTGTCGAGGGGTCTCTGCTTATTTTTACATTTACAATGGAAGGATCGAAATGAATAGGCGGTACAAGAATAATTATTTTCTTGGTGAAAACTGTATGTTACGGGGAAATTCAATGGGGAAAGGGCTGGGTGGAGAGGACAAAGGGCACTGTGGCTGTTACCTCTGTATCTGCTGTTTTGAGGTGTAGACGGGAAAAGGTACTGGGGAGCCTGACGACTCAATTTCCTGGCTGGTGTTGGTTGTTTTCTTGCTTTCCGGGGTTCCTATCAGCTAACGTCACCTTTTTTGTGTTTTGCGTCACCCGCCTCGTCTCGATTCTGTGCTTGCTCTACTCGTCGCTCCCTCTTGATGTGCCTTGTCCTCGTTTTTCTACTTTTTCCTTTCTTTTATTTTTCGCTGATGTGCGAGGCAATTTGTGGGAATGGAGGCGGAAACCTACCTGCATATGGAGCATGAATATAATTTCTGCAGCAACGAGAATCAACCAGCCAGCTCGCGTGTTTGGTGATCTTGGTGTGTGAAGATGGAGCCACATGCAACCTCAAGCTTGCCCTTGAAGTGGGGGCGCCCTCATGACGTCGTCTCTGTGGCAGTCTTGGGACTTCAGCTGGCGGTCGTGGGAGACACGACCGGAGTCTTATCAACCTAATTTCTATCTCAAGCTCGGTCGTAATCGATCGGTGATTGTATAACTGGGTCGTTGCATGCTGGACTTGCCGTGAAGAGTTCGTAGAGAGATGGCAGGCGGCAGTTGATTGCTCTTGCCGGTGAGCTCCTTGGCAGCTTGGCAAGGCAGGTGCAACCAGCCTAACTCATCGCATTTGTGATATGCCATGGAATGAGGCCTCGCCGGGTAACAAAGGGTGGCCTTGGCGATCTTGGTTACCTGCGCACATCTGCAATTATTAGATTTGTCCTACTACGCCTTCGTCTGGCTGACGGCCATTGCCACCATTGTTCAACACCCTGTGTCCCCATCGCTGTTGAATGTGGCAGTAATTGGCCCAGGTCAAGCATGTTCTCCACGCCCGCCAGCCGGATCTGATGTTAGCTCAGCTGCTCTCGCCCAAACCTGGCAAACCCCAACCCCAATCCCGTCATCCATTTCCTTCTTTCGAGGACCTTGCTTGCTTGCCAGCTGCATTGCTGGCTACGTATACGACTTACGCTCGCTGTGGCTCCTGCTCCTATCCGCCCTCAAATCAGCCTCATCAACCGTCGCTCTGCCTGGCAAACATATACAACTACCTATCCTCCGGCTACCCCCACACTCGGCTGCCTCCCAAGCTCCTAACCCGCCTGTCATTGTTCTCTTCATTTAGCCTCGCTTCTCCCTTTCCTTCGTCATTCGTCCACTCTCAAGCGCTCTCTCTTCTAGCCGGCGTCGCTATTTCCAGAATTAACTCAATCGGCACGCGACAACTTCAATTCGCCGGCTACTTTCACGGGAGTTGGCTCTGCGCCTGTTTGATTGTGTGCGTGCACGCATATCATCTATTATGTCATGGCCTCCATTCTCAGACAGATTGTCGCAGGCCCGAGAACCCGCCACCCTGAAGCCGACTTAGATCTATGCTATGTGACTGACAACATCATCGCGACGTAGGTGGCCCCCTTAAACTATTTTTCGGTATATCATAGAGATACCACATGCTTCCTTATCCTATTGGGCACACATTCGTGTTGCTTGATATTTCCAGCTATTGCCCCGCTTGCGCACTCATATCCATTTTGCCTGATCTCATCTGACATTCGCACCATCTGCTATAGATCTGGTCCTTCACAAACATACCCACAGCGGGCGTACCGCAACCCTCTAGACCAGCTAGTCAAGTTTCTGGATTCCAAGCATGGAGACGACTGGGCCATCTGGGAGTTCCGCGCCGAGGGGACCGGGTATCCCGACGAGGCCGTGTATGGTCGCGTGAGACATTATCCATGGCCGGATCACCACCCTCCGCCGTTCAGACTCATCCCTCTGATTATGGCCAGCATGAAGAATTGGTTCCGAGGAGGCGATTTGAATGACGAGTCTCCCGCCAAATCCGCCGCCAAAGATCAGCAGGGTCTGGCTGGTGAAAGCACCGACAAGACTACAACTGCTGCTACCACGGTTGTTGCTCCTGCGGCCAGTGATGGTAATTTAGAGGACAGGAAAAATAAAAGAGTGGTTGTTGTTCACTGCAAGGCCGGCAAGGGACGCAGCGGCACAGCGACTTGCAGCTACCTCATCTCTGAGGAAGGCTGGGACCCCGAGGAAGCCCTGACACGGTTCACGCAGCGACGGATGAGGCCCCAGTTTGGCGCGGGTGTGTCCATCCCCTCTCAGCTTCGATGGATTACCTATGTGGATCGGTGGACGCGTGGCGGCAAGAAATATTACGATAGGCCGATCGAGATTGTCGAGGTTCACGTGTGGGGTTTGCGGAACGGCGTCAAGATGGACATTGAAGGGTTCGAGAATGAGGGGAAGGATATCCATGTGTTCCACACCTTCTCCAGGGATGAGAGGTTGGTAGTGGAAGGAAATGCACCTGACGGCTATGGCTGGACCGACATGATGTGGGAGTTGGCTGGGTACTCTATGGACCCAAAAAGCCAGGACTCAGTAGAGGCACAGTTGCAACAGGCCTCTAATTCCGGAAAGAAGAATGGTGCAGCTCAAAAGGAGGAGCAATCTGCCACCGAGGGCGAACATCACCATCATCACACTCCCAGGCACGCTGCAAAGCGTACGGCAACACTCATCAAAATCGCCTCCGACACCTCGTTGCGCAAGCTCGGCAAAGACAAGGAGTCCAAGGTCAACACGGCACCAAAACGACCCAGTTCATTGAGAAAAAGCTCCTCCAGCTCCAGCTCCTCGTCTTCGTCTGAAGAGGATGAAGAAGAACCTGGTGGTATGGCTGTTATCCTCAAGCCCAAAACGCCTGTGATCATCCCTAATAGCGACGTCAACATCTCTGTCGAGCGGAGGAATCGAACGCGCAGGAGCCTTGGAATGACTATGGTGACGGCTGTTGGGCACGTCTGGTTTAACACCTTTTTCGAAGGCGGTGGGCCAGAGCAGGAGAACAAGCCCAATGAAAACGGTGTGTTCTCAATCAAATGGGACGATATGGATGGCATCAAGGGCACCAGCAGAAAGGGCACTAGAGCACTTGACCGCTTGGCAGTGGTTTGGAAATTCGCCGACACTCCAAGCACCCCAGGGGTATCCGGGCCTCTGGGCGAAGAAGTAGTTGAACCCGCTGAGGGAGCGCCTGTCCCTCAAACAAAACCCGCGGACTGGAAGGGCGCCAATGCGCCAAACCAGAACGTAGAGAGAAATCTCGGCCTACGAACGCAGAGCCCGGCAAGTGCAGACGTGAGCAAAGCTAGTAGTGTTGTGAGCGCTGATCTGCACACAGCCCAGACCACTGGCACTGCAGGAGTTAGAGACGGCGCAAAGGAGAAGCGAGTAGATAGTGACGATGATGAAGATTCGAAGTCTCTAGTTGGTGTCAAGAGCAGTGGGCCTGGAGGTGGCACATTATCCGATGACGAGGCTACGGCCAAAGCACAAGAGAAGGAAGAGAAACCAGTTGCCCCTGCGTTAGCTGTATTGGAGAATCCTGACCGCGCCGACGGTACCACCCAGCAAGGATCTGCTGAAGTCGTTGAGACCAAGAAATAAGCTGGCTGGCTATGGTAAGGACGGATAGATGAGTGGCTACGGCCGCTATGTTTGGTCATATGGTTCTAAGTAGGAGCCTAATATATATCTATCAAGATGATTACGATTTCTAAATTGTCGTCGATAGCGCATGTAGTGATTAGATCTAAACTCGACGCAAATTGCTTCACACCAAAGCACAACCCGAACTTCCTAGGTGTATATATATTCGCCGTCTAGAGATACTCGTTCTAGGATGCTTTTTCAGCAGAGGGTATCAGTCAGCCAGATAGACGAGACTGGTTCCATCAAATAATTATATCTTTTCGAAGATGTCGCCTTCAAACTGATATTAGACAGCAATTGTAGCCGAGTAAGTAATCGGCATCCGGCACGTGGATCGTATAGATCATTTCCCCATGAGGCAGGAGATGATGCCATCCCCAGGAACCGGCTACACTAACCGATATGGCCCGACTGATAAGCTGCGCTGTGTGACGTGAAGCGGTTGACTATCCCGAACAAGTCTTGTCTTCTTTGTCTTATTTATAATCCGACTCTACCCTTTCCATTCCTCCACCAGAGCATCCTATCTGCCTCCAACGGATGAACGCGTAGATCCAAGATGCGCTCTGCTGGGCTTTTACCTGTTGCCATTGGCTTTGCGGGGTTCGCAACGGCCCAGTTCCCGCCCAAGCCTGAAGGCCAGAAGATACTGCGGTCAAAGTTCCATGAGAACGTGACCATTACCTACAAAGAGGTATGTCTATTAGTCTTTTTAATTGATGATGCAATGAGATGAGATGAGATGCTGACGGCTTGTCCTGAATAGCCCAACATTTGCGAGCCCAGTTCCTCTGCACGCTCGTATGCTGGCTATGTCCATCTCCCTCCAGGTTTCCTGGATGATGTTGATGGAGAAAAGCAGGACTATCCTATAAATAGGTAAATTGCCCACCCATGCAACAGCCTTAAATGCCCTGCAAAGCTCTGTCTTCTGACTTAAGCTTACTTCTTGACAGTTTCTTCTGGTTCTTCGAGGCACGCAACTCTCCGCAGGATGCACCCCTTGCCATCTGGCTCAATGGTGGCCCTGGAGCGAGTTCGATGATTGGTCTCTTGAGTGAAAACGGCCCGTGTATCATCAATGCGGACTCTGAGACGACTCGGCCCAATCCCTGGAGTTGGAACTACCATGTGAACATGCTGTACATTGACCAGCCAAACCAGGTCGGCTTCTCCTACGACGAACCGACAAACGGAACCGCAGTCTACGACGACCAGCGCATCTACCCAGGAGAGTTTCCCGAGGGCGCCCCTGAAGGCAACTACACCCACCGACTGGGCACCTTTCCGAGCCAGAAGCCGTCTCACACGACCAACAGCACCGCCCAGGCTGCCCACGCCCTCTGGCACTTTGCCCAGACCTGGTTCACTGAGTTTCCCCATTACAAGCCTGTGGACGACAGGATCAGCCTTTGGGCCGAGAGCTACGGCGGGCACTACGGTCCTGGATTCGCACGGTTCTTCCAGGAGCAGAACGAGAAGATTGAGGATGGGACGATTGAGGACGAGAATGCGCATTACCTCCATCTTGACACGCTCGGTATTGTCAATGGCTTCATGGATTCCGTAATCCAGTCCGAATATTACATCGACTTTCCTTATAACAATGTGAGTGGGAGCTATATTCCAGATCCTTGAGACCATCAACTCTTTTCAACCAGAAAGACTCTAACATAACTTAGACATATGACATACAAGTCTTCAACCAATCCCTCTACGACGAGCTCAAGAGAAACTGGACCACTCCCGGCGGCTGCAAAGACCAGCTCACAACCTGCCAGGACCGCCTCTCCGCCTTCGACGTCAACACCGTCAACCGCGGCCACGTCCAGCCCGCCGACGTGTGCGACATCGCCCCCGAGTGCGACGACGCCGTTCCCCGGCTGTACGCCTCCCTCAACCACGGCTGGCTCGACATCGCCAACCCGGCCGCCGAGCCGTTCCCCGACCCTTACTTCTACGGCTACGCCGCCCAGGAATCCGTCCTCGCCGCCATCGGCTCCCCCGTAAACTTCACCTTCGAGTCCTTCACCGTCGCTTCAAACTTCGCCAGCACCCGCGACGAGATCCACGGCGGGTTCCTCGACGCCATCGCATACCTCCTCGACTCCGGGGTGAGTGTCCACATGATGTACGGCGACCGCGACTACGCCTGCAACTGGGTCGGCGGCGAGGCCGCCTCCCTCGCGGTGCCTTACTCACGTCAGGAGAAATTCGGCGCCGCGACGTACGCCAACTTCTCCGTTGAGGGGGCCGGGGTGGGCGGCATCACGCGCCAGCTGGGAAACTACTCCTTCACGCGGGTGTTTCAGGCCGGGCATATGGTCCCGTCGTACACCCCCCAGGCGGCGTACGAGATCTTCATGCGGGCGACGTTTGGGAGAGACATTTCGACGGGGACGGTACCCGTCCACGATGATCTGACTAACGGGGGTGAGGCGGTTGATAGGTGGGTTAGTAACGAGAAGCCGGCCGTGGCGGAGCCGCGGTGCTATGTTCTTGCGCCGGCGACCTGCACTCCCGAGGTATGGAAGAAGGTTAAGGAGGGCAAGGTTCTGGTCAAGGATTTCTTTGTTGTTGAGATTTATGATGATGAACATGTCGGCTATGATAGTTACGAAAAGGGGGGCGTAGTTGTGGAAGATATGGAGGGAAATGATGAGCTTTAGGAAGATGAGGTCGAGGAGGGAAAGATGCTGGTCAAGCATCTCCTTGTTGTTGAGATTTGTGATGATGGTTTGGATCACTTGCTAGCTATGACATGTACAAAAGGGGGAGGGGTTAACTACCTAGGTATGGCAAATACGGAAGAAGATGATGAGCTCTAGGAAGATAGTCGACAACCGGGAGCCACTGTCCAGTGAACTTGGATGATTCGTCCTTTCGAGTGTCAGCCTTGTATCTAGGATACGAAAAATTTACGTATCCTCTGGCCCTCCTATCGAATGTCCCCAGGATCTCACTGGTCTCCCTACTAAGCTCTACATCAAAGAGTCGGCCCTGTTCCTCCCTCCAGAGCCTCATCTGGTCGTCGTACCGTCCCCTAACGACATCCACACGCGTCATATACAGATCCGTGAGTTTATCCAGGTACACCCTGGCGTAGGCCGCATTGCTGCTCCTGGTCGGCGTGAGGTCGTCCACCGTCACCTCGCCCCGGGCGATGCTATCCGCCACTTCTCTGATGCTCGCTTCCAACTGCTCGAACAGGGGGGTGCACTCCGCCATGAGGGCCTCGCGCTCCTCGTGGGCGAACAAGCAGACGTGACTGAAGACGGGCGCGAAGTAGTGTGCGGCTTTCTGGTCGAAGAACCCCCGATCCCAGTACATGGGGTGATCGTCCAGCTGGATCTTGCCGTCGAGGGTTTTCCGCAAGATATCGGCCGTGGCCTTGGGCTGGGCAGTTGCCTCCGCGAGCATCTCCGGGAACGTTGCCGGTGCAAGCGGTTCTATCCCCACGTCGGCCATGGGTGGCCTAGACAGTATGCTAGAGTCTAGCATCAACTCGTCATTGTAAGTCGATATGTCGTAAAAGTAATTGTTGCTCTTGGTTTTAAGCCTGTTGAACCACTGGATAGGTTTCCTAAAACGATCCATTGTGGTGACTATATGAATTTGCTTTCTGGTTGCAAGCAAAGTGCAAGATATGTTCGACGAGAACGAATTACAAGTCGTAGTAGCTGCAAGAGCGATGAAGAAGATGGTAGGGAGGGAAGTGGGAAAACCAGAAGACTGACCTGGGCTGCCATATTTGTAAAGATATCACAGGAGCAGGAACCGCGCAGCACCTATCGAGCCCAGAGCTATGTCAACTCGACAGTCTTTGTCTTGTGAGGGCCTGTAGAAACGGATGTTGTTCTCAGATAGCGTAGAATAAGAAGGGGTGTGCCGGGTTGTCGGGCCTCGATCGAGGATATTGGAGAGGAGTAGAAACCACACAGCAGCTACCGAGTTCGGAGCCATTTCCACCCGACAGTCTTTGTCCTGTGAGCTCCTGTCGAGACTCATGTTGTTCTCAGATAGCGTAAAATAAGGAGGCTGTGTTGGGTTGCCAGCCTTCGGTGAAAGATATCTGCGGCCATCTTGGTATGTTCCCGGCGTTCTTCGTCCGAAAGGGTCGCGTCCCGCTCTTCGTCAATACTCTCGCAATGTTGGGTCATTGTAGAGCTACTAGCAGACGCGTCCAAAAACGTAGACGCAGCCAGTTTGAGAATTGAGCCCGATATCTCGCTCACAGTGTCAGGTGTCTGGAAAAGCCACACTGTCACACACCAGCAGCACATCCAACAAAGCACACCTGTATCTGTGGTAGACTGCTCGTCCGAAGGAAAGGATGGAGACCTTCCTCCCTTTTCCTTTTGCTTCTCCTCTCCTCCCCTTAGCTAGCTACCTTGGCCCTCCGTTGATTCCCGTCACTCATTGGTGCGTGGTCTTCACTTCTCATGCTACAATGGGTCTGGGGGACATCCCTGCCAGCGGCTGAACAATGGTGGACGCTAAAACGCTTTTGTATTTGACCTCATAAATATATTATACACTCAAGCCATTCCTTCATAATCACGCTCAATCTTGTTTTGCTTATGAATGAGGCAAAAGTTCGAAAATTGGAGAATTGTAGCCAAAGACGTTTTGCCAGCGGACTGTTGATTCAAGAAGGACGCATGCATTACTTTCCAACCTCCCTGTGAGTGGGAGTATTACCCAATATCATCTGGTACCTTGGGGTGAAAAATATATAATCGGGGCTTGAAGATGCCAAGACCCATGTCGTATGTGCAGTTGGCCACCGCTCATTACCAATTCGAGAGCTTTCCCGTCCATGCCGTGCTAACGCAGTAAACACGGCTTTCGTCCAAAAATGTATATATGATATGTATGTGAAGGTGAAGGTGGAACTCAGTTTGCGCCCCGCACCGTCTCCAGTATGCATGCTTTTGAGGTTTTCAACAAGCAACCCCCATCGTGATTTTCCATCCCTTCTTCTCATGCTGGGTGTGCATGAATCGTGTTCGTGTGAAATGCGCAACTCCATTTCCTGGTATCTCGAAAGCAAAGAAAAAAAAATGCAGAATAACCGACAAAATTATCAAAAGTCCTAACCCAGAGGCTGCCGTGTGTAATGGAACAGCGGAATGAAGTCGTGCGATCATGAGGCTCAAAGAGCCATCTAAAAAGAGAGATAGAGACTAGGAATAGAAATGCTTTCTCTGATCGTAGAGAAAGAGAATTAACGCTAGAATAGATCCAGCAGAGGAGAAGCGTGAGAGCTGATTACTCAGGGTCGGGGTTAGTCGCCCTTAAAACCTTCGGTTGTTGTATCCTCCTCGAATAATCATGATCGTCTCGGAGAGTGTTGATGCTTTCGTGACTCCCAGAGCGGGCGTATAGATTCTGCTTGAAAGGATCCATACGAGGGTCAATCTGCAACGTGCTGTTTCGATTACTATTTTGCGTGGGCGAAGCCGCAGATGCTCCTGTCATGCTCATCTCCGGGCGGATTGAGCTCATTCTTTCCGAGGAACTACCACGGACGCTCGGGTCGCCTTGGTAGTCAGCCTTGCTTTCGTTGTGTTTCCGGCGCCGGTAAAGGAAGAATGCCAGGCCCAGGCCAAACAATAGCGCAGCGACAATGCCGATGACAATCCCAGCAATCGCACCACCTGCAAGCTTGCTTGAACTGCCAGATGATCCCTGACTGCCACCCTCTAAATCGCCGGTAACGGTTGGCATAATAGTTACCGTCTTTATGATGCCTCCAGTATCAGTAGTAACGGTATGGATCATCGAGGTCTGTTGTATCGTCGATGTCGTTAGTGTTGATGAATCCACCTGTGAGTTAGTCAAGTTAGCTTGGAGTCTAAAGAAAATTTACGTATGACAATGAAACCACTGAAGAAAATCCGGTGTTCCTGGCGTTGAGTTGGACGTCGTGCGAATATTACATACAGTTGAGGTTTGGGACGACGAAGACGACGACGACGTGGTAGTTGTTGTGGAGGAAGTCGAAGATGAGGAACTAGCCACACTGCTGGTCTGCACGAGATGAGTTTCACATTACACCTGTTACTGAAAACGAAACATAACCACATAACGACGAATGACAATAACAGGTGAGGTGACTCGGCAGCAGTTTCATACTTGGGCGATCGAGGAGTACGCAGGCGGAGAACCAGGAAGATACGAAGCGCACAGGTGTCGGGCCAGGGTCAATGTAAAATAGGAGAAAATGCAACTTACAGTAGTACTTGAAGCAGAGCTGGAATCACTGCCTCTGGTGCCGGAAGGAAGATGAGCGTTAAGCTGGACGTAGCCGAAAACGCCCTTGCCGCCGCACTTTTCATCGGGATAAGCAGGACAGTTGATATTGCATTGGTTCATATCAACCTGATCGGATTTCGACGGCGTGTAGTTGGAACACCAGCAAAGCTGTTCCTGCGTGATCGCGTACGCATAGTCTTTCGTGCAAAAGTCTTTACAAAGTCCGTTCGTCTGGTAGATACTGGTGTCTATTTCCTCCATGTCAGCTACCGTCCTAAGAAATGATCTAGGTCGAGCCACTAGGCCATGCCAGCGGCAGGCATCCACATACTTCTTGGTGTCTCTGCAGTATTGAACTTGGCGCAGAGGTCCAGCGGGACTGAAGCAACAACAAGCTGGCTGGCGGCCAGTAGAAGGAGGCCGAAGCGGCCTAAGCCGAACCGTAATGAAGAAGGCATCATGAGCAACTATCCAAAGTTCGAATCTATAGGATATTAATTATTAGCAAATCTTTCGCTGTCAGTAATTTAAAGACAACGGTCGCGATGAAGATAAATCTAAAAACCAGGGTGCGAAGATTCCATCATAGCTCGAGTGCCTGGTTTTAGGAGACGGAGAATCCCTGGTAGGGAGACGAAACGACCGCTGAGAAAGTTGGCTGAGACTTACCGTCTCGGAACAAAGACCGTGTGGTTGTACAGATGGAGGCCGTTCACCAAAAGAATGGAACCAATTGACTGGGCTCGCCAGTTCACCGCATAACAAGCCGGGGCACAAAAGAAAAAGACAAGTGCAGAAATCAAGAGGCCAATTTCATTTCATGCCTGCCTCAATCCGTTTATTGACAGCTCGCGGTCGGCCCACCAAATGGTCCCTCAGCTGATGGGCGGCAACAATCGAAGACGACGCAGGCGGACAGTGTATAATCTTGTAGATGTGGAAAAAGTTCGAGATCCGTGAACGAGCGAGACAGGATACGGTGCCGGTGAAGCGCGGGAATCGGAGGAGCGTACTTCGACAGCAGGTCGTCAATGTTGGCTAGGTATGGTAGGACGAGAGCGGGCGAAGGCTGCGAGGTGCCCAAGAGAAGAGCAAGGCAAGAGAAGCTTGTCGTGCCGAATGTGCCGTGTCTGTCTCTTCCTTGTATCCAAAAGAGAATAGGGAAAGGATTTCTTCGCAGGCCCTTGTGTGCTCCCCGGGTCTATCTTGACCTTTCCTCGTGTGTTGCCTCGACCTAGTACAAACACAGCCTGGCAAAACAGAACAACTGGCCGGTGTTGTAGTGCAGCGAGGAATAAAAGTTGGTGTGAGAGGAGGGAATTGGGGAAGGCTGGATTGGAATGTTGACCGTACGCAAGCGTCGACAAGCTGGAGCCAGCAGCGGGATGCAAGGACAGCGAGGGAAGCAGTAGAAGGCCTATCCACGCCAAATCCGAAGGCAATCACACCAGCGAGAGTGGAAATGGGGGTTGGTCTTAGCTGACCCGTTTAGGTTGAAGAGGAGGGGGGGTGGGTGTGTGTGGAGAGAGATGGGAAACGAGGAAGGGCCTGTCTTTCGGGAAAAGCAGCCAGTGGCCGAGAGCCCCAGCAGCAGGTCGCAGGTAAAGTAGCTGGTACTAGGTGGCCTGCTAGTATCGTATAAAGAGCGGCAGCAGCGAGAGATACGAGCGCGCGGACCACAAGGAAGGGCAGCCAAGCCAGGCGACGACACAAGAGAGCGGACGAGCGAGAAGCTGGCCGCGAAGAAGGAGAGAAAACAAAGAAGCGCAAGATCCACCAGCGACGGGCTTGGAATGAAGATGAACAGCTTCCGGATAGCCAGATAAATGATCTGAGGAAGGGAGGCCAAGAGGCCTAAAAAAACTACAAACACGGCGAAATGACGGATGACGCTGGAGGTGGGTAACTGTGGATGCGGGACAATTACTGGTGGTACGTACCAGGTACTTTGCACCTTCCGGGCGCTTCCCAGAACCCGCAGACGAGGCAGTCGCAGCTGAACGCTCTTGCTGGCTGTGACTTGCACGGCAAGCGGGATGTGATCAGTGAAGTGAAGTGGAAGGAGCATCATGGATGGACAGGGCCGGTAATATGGGGTACACCCAGAGCCTGGAGGCCTGCACGTCCAGCGACTCGGCCGCCAACCACCAGTAACCAGCTCATCATCGCCATCCCAGCTTCCCTGGCCGATGATGTCGGGTCAACATCCATCGTCAAGCTACGTACCTCGAGGAAGAGCTAATCCTCCAGCTGTCGGTTCCCTCGAGAGGTGCAGCAGCTTCGCCAAAGTCTATTATTTACCTCGCGGCTGCAGCTTCACGGTGGAGTCCAGCCAGCTGCACGACGCAACCGCTTCCAAGCACCTCGGCATATCCTCATTCTGTATACCTTATGAGCTGCTGTTGAATATGCTGTGTGCGCTCTGACAGCAAGCGAGCCACGGACCTCCAGCTCCTCCAGAGCCCGCTACCAGCTCCAAGGGTTGGCATGGTCACAGCACAACCATCGTTCACTCTGGCGACCTGACTCCCTGATCCCCGCACCCCCCCTGCTTCTTTGGCCTTCAATGTTGCCTTGCTAACCTGGGCTAGCATTGGGTCCTTGGCCCATATCCCCTGCGCCGTGCAGGCAAGCTGTCGTCACTGGGTCTGGGTGGGTGTGGAGAGACTGGCGGGCCCCTGTTTAACCACACCAGAAGCTCAGCTCTCGTAGCAGCGCTAGCATCAATTATACGGACTTGGAGGCGCGAGATCGCAGCTTGGTAATCGGCATGTTGCTAGCCAGCACTGCATTACAGCCAGAATGGCAATCTGGTGATGGGCATGCTGGTTGCCCAAAGAGATGCACTCTCCATCGAAACCCACACGCGCACGGCCGGGCAGGCATGCTTAGTTCCCACAAGAATTGAGTTTTGCTTCTGCTCCAATCATGCCAGGCCCCAGTCATTTGGACCAACTTTGCAAAGGGGAGAATGGGAAAGGGAAGAAAAAGTCAAGACATGAGGGAAGGATGGAGCCTTGAGATATCAGCCGCCACCGTGCATGCTGGCGGGCTGCTCGGTGTTTTGTCTCCCTGCACAGCGGCATATCGGCTCCATGGCCAGACTTCCTATCTGGGAATCAGATCATCGCCGTCGCCAATGTCACAGTCGCAGTCGCAATGGCAGTCACGAAGGCTGGTAGATCCGATAAGAGAACGGAAAGGTCGTCTGCTGGTCCTCATCAAAATCCATTGCGCTACCTGCGGAGTAGGTTTCAACCACAAGTGCCTGTCTGAGCTGATCTGCCCCTCCATCACGCATGGTAAACACATGTTATAATCAGGGCTGTTCATTGCAACGATTTGTGGCTAGCTGGCACCGATCCCGCATCCAGCCTGGGTTCACATGCCCATGTTCTATACGAGCAGCACTCTGTCCCGAGCAAAGAAAAGGTTAAACTCAATAGCACCGAATGCTGTCCTAGCTTCCATCTCCAATTGCCAAGTTGCCATCGGGAGTCGGCCGTAGAATTGGCCACACACACTCACGGACACGACACACACACACCCAAAAGGTACCATCGCAACCAACAAGCCATCCAATTTTGCCCGCGCCGGCGGCACAGCTTGGCTTGGTTGGGTTTGGTTCTCCCAGATCCCGCGACCCAGCACGAGCTAGGCTTAAAATGTGTTTGGCGCCAGTTCGTCTTAAGAGTGAGAAAAAAAGCCATGGGATCGCGCCAGCTGGGATCATGGATGATGCATTTTGTGCAGCTGGAGAGGAATTGATGAGGATCTGCCCAAGGCGTGCCCGTAGGTAAGTGCACGGCTCCTTTCCTCTTGATGAGAATATTAAAATGTGTATTTTGGGCTACGGACTGTTGCTGGAGTTATTTACCGTGCCGCCCGCACTCCTCCAATCTTGCCGTCGCTCGCTTAAGTATCAGATTCTGCAATGGCCTGATGCAAAACAATGGTTTGCCATCATCTCATTCCTGGAATTCATGCTCCTGATTGCGATGCCCGCTTTCCACCAGCACCGAGTAGGTATGGACATATTCCTGCTAGTGCGTGGGTGGGGAGCTACAAAGCAATAGTCCAGCCCAGTAGCATGCAAATGCAATCTCATTCATCAGTTGAAATCAAGCCTGGTGTCTTCAACGGTCGACCTGCTCCGTGTGCTGCCTCAGTCCAACTCAGTCTAGGCCCCTTCTCAGCCACGAGAGCAGCCATCGTGACTTACAAGAGCGACGCCACTATATTCATCCACTCAACCGTTTGCTTGCCTCGCGGCCAGTAGTAGGGCTCCGAATGACCATGAGCCAGCTATCGCCGTATCGGCCGAGGCACCGGAGGCAGGCATACCGACGTGCTTCCGCGATATGATACATACATATGCACATGTCAGCCTGCATGAGCCAGAGAGCATGTCGTGGAGTTATGCAGCACATGATTGATGGGTATAGCATAGAAATGTGCAGGAATAGTTTACTAGAAACCCGACTATTGCCAAAGCTTATGTATACCCAAACTGTATGAAGCAGACCAAGCAAAAAAGACCCTCATAGACGATGATATCACCACTGCTGAACCATCCAGGGACATCACGGAACGAGGCAAAGCAACTTAATCCAATCAAGGCCAAACCAACGTGGTACAGTAGCAACCCGCACATGTCTCACCCTGAGCCCGGTGCGATTGGCGAGCTTAACCCTCACACCCGCTTGCGAGCTGGCCCCCATCCTGCCGGAATTGTCTGGCCAGATGCAGAGTCGGCACCTCGCGTACTGCTAGGCGACAATGAAGCCCTTTCGCCCTACTCAGTGCGCTACGTCGCGGACATGTCGATCAGGCATTGACGGCGCGATCGAGCGCAGGTCCTAATTTAACGGACGGAAAACCCCTTTCCCACGCCACACAAAGGAAAATCACAATAATCCAGGCACACCGCTTGCCTCAGCCGGCTGGATCCGTCTCTAAAACGGCCCGCCAAGGGGTCGGGCGTGCCTTGCCAGCTTGCGTGAGGGAGCAACACGACGATTAGCATGAATCCCGATCCGATCGCAGGCCGCTGGGTCTTGGCCACGTAGTTGTATTATACATGGCTGGATATATGACCACCAGCACCGGAGTCATGCCATTGCCATGTGCGCCTGAAGGAAGAAGCTGGAGCCCTGGGGAGTATTCGAACTGAGTCAGGCCTACTCCGTAAACGATGCGTATCGCAATTTACGAAAAAGAAAATGCATCTTGGCTGCGCGCCCGGCCGACCCGAGAGACGCGTCTGCGGGCTTTGTTTGTATGAATACTGGGCCTCAATCTACATCTAAGGTATGTAATTACAGGCTGATCAGATCAGACCAGACTGAAATCCTGCCAAGGATCCGAGGCGGGTTCCAACCATTCATGGGAAAGGCGGGATCTTTGTTTCTCGGGACACGAGATTCCTTTTGCTCCCCAAACCCAGATTCGCTCGCTCTCGCTCCCCTGAGTCTCTGACACGGAGCCTGTGCATCTGTGCAAATCTTTACCCGCGATGCCAAGAGGGCGCGTCCAAGATCCAGTCGACGATCCACCAGTCACCAGCATGACCAGGGTGTTGACGGTAATCTAGCCCAGGAGTCAACGGACCTCGCTCTGATCCCACGTGCCCACCATCGGTCAGCTTCGCGAAGTCTTAATAACGCGCAAAATCGAAGCTAAGCCCAGGTCCACGATGCCACTTGAATGCGCGCCTTGCCTTAGCCTGGCTCCTTCGTCGGCGCTAGCAGCGCGAATCGCCCGAAAAGATGGGATATTCGTCGGTGAATGAGTTTCGTGCTGATGTTCTCATCGCTCGATCGAGCGATGAGTCCTCCACGGCTGGCTGCCTGCTCAGATGGGGCACACGACAGGTGCGGACTGGAATGGACCAAACTTGCTTGTCCAAGGTTACACTAGTACGGGAGAGACACAGCTGTTCACTTGCGATTGGCGCGACGATTGAAGCATGTATACATGCTTGTTGTTAGCATTTTACATCTGGCACCAAATCTCCGGCAGGAATCCAACTCATCACCTCTTGTATAGCAGATGGTCTTGACAATCCTCCTCTACATACAGATGGCTGCCCTATACACGTTCAGCTCGTGTTATCAAACAAGTACCCAGATGAGCCGTCTCAGTCTGGGCCAAGACACACCCGACTGATTCCTGCTCATCCACCGTCGCAGCCCTAGTGAGCGCGTGGCATCTCAACCGAAGCTCGTACATCATCACACCATCTTGTAGTTCCAGCATGGAACAGACACTCGAAGACATGCACAGCACCAGCACGCAAGCTTCGTCCCATGTCGGCACTCACACCCTGAGGCTCTGCTGATGTGCTTCTGGCATGTGGATCAAGCCTGTGTGATGCAGTGCTGGAGCCAACCGTTTACCGCCCTAAGCGAAGGCCTCACATCTGACTTTATACAGCCAATGAAAGTATCCAAGTGAGTACTTTGTAAAGTACTGGAAGTGCTTTCCGGCTCACGGTACGTCGTCAGACCCGTGGAAAGATGGGAGAGACTCGGCCAAGCTACTCAATGATTTCGCCAGCGGCCGCGACATGAGGACGAAATATTCAAAACAGGACCTCAGCTCACAACGTGATACCAGGCTTTGCTTCCCACTCCGCTTCCTGCAAGTGCTATGTCCGTTGTTTTAACACCTCCGATTGCTAAAGCCGGTCCCATCAAACTTATCATAACGCCGCCCCTTTTCCCTACAAAGCAGCGCCAACCTCCTCGGCGGTGTTGTGTGGCATCTTTAATCGCGAGGGAAGAAAAACCCCCACATGATGCCGGCCAAGATAGTCAGCCGTCAAGTTATGTTGTATTCGCTCGTATCCTATCTACCAGAAGGGAGCCTCTGCGCCCAATACGACGCATGTGTGTATGATCAGGTCGCGGGACCCTCTGCGAGGCAGTCCCAGGCCAATATCACCCGACTTGTAAGCACGCTTCTCGATAATTCGAAGCCATCGACACATTTTCCATTGCTTGAGCTTATCGAGCTACCCTTAGGCCAACCCCCACGAGGCAGTCCCCCCACTCCCAACAGGCCTCGCGAGGTCCGTCATAGGATCACAATTGAGGTTCATACGAGGCTCTGTAGATATGTATGTGCCCTCCCGCTTAACCCGGAACTGAAGTCCCAAGCGGACCCTTGATGTTCATGTAGATGATTATTATTTTCCTAATAATTTTCCCCTCCTTGCAACCATCTGATATGCCGGACGTGGTATGTCATTGCCAAGCTCGTCCAGCATGGCGCTGACGTCCAAGGCACCCCCGTATTGCAACTTCGTATCCACCTCTGCTGCCACCACCCATCCGCCCGGTAGGGACAAAAAGCAGGGAAGAGCGAGACAAGAACCAAGAAAGTAGAAAGCTACGGTGTGTCGATAAGATCCTAGGAGCGGCGCAAATGGCGGGATGAGGTGGTTGGACTCCCTCGAGATGGGGAATTGAGAATCTGCAGATGCCCATCCCAGCCCTTTGCATGCAGGCCGCTCACGCCATAGTGAGGAAACATCAATTCTTCAAGCTGCTACCCGGCCACCTCCTTCAGTTTTTCCCCACCCCGATGATGTGCGTGGTGCATCTCTCGCTTGGCGACCCTGCGAACCCCTCAGATAGAGGCGAGACACAGCACACACTCGGCCACGGGCATCGTATTTGCCCCTCCTCCCTCCGGTCAGGTTCCATCGTGTAGAGGCACTCCCTCACTCCATCTTGTGGGTTGAGGAAGGTCTACGAGCTGCAGCGTAGCGTGCATGGGTGAGTGGGTTTACTGTTTTCTGGTGTCCGGGCCTGTCAACATCCACACACGGACCTCGCCTCTTTTCTGCTTGGCCTCCCGGTCCGGGGGATGGCTCACCGCTGGGCTGGGTGGCACGGCCATGCCGGATTCAAGAGACGACCGCGCTTATCTGCGGTGGCCTCTTGTGCATATGCAGGCTCTGCCCGGCCCCTCCACCGTCATGGTGGCAGATGCTAGTGCCATAGGTGGTGTAGATATCCATACCTATGTGCTTGGAGTCTGTTCTCTGGCTGGGATAAAGGTAGCCGCAAGCAGTGATTCTGGCGTTCTCTCGCCAACTTGAATCCTGGTTATGTACCTCAGGAATAGAGTAAGTACAGGAAGCAACAATATTTGCAACTTGCCACCCGTAATTCAACTAACTAGGTAGGCGGGCTTTAATTTTGATTCAATGACAGTATGCAGTCTCTAAGCGGACATTTACTCATGGTCCGCTTAGGTAGGCTACATCACTCCAACATACCGTAATTGTAGAATTTCTGTGCTAGATGGGGTTTTTTTTTTTACAATGTCGATCACTCGGTGGTATGCAAAGCTGGCTTCAATCCATGACTATGATATCACTCCCTGGAATCTTTCGAACTTCAATTTTAAAGTCATTGAATCCCAGGGGTAGATTTACGTTGGCCAATGGCTGTACAAAGGCAGGGGCAGGCCTGTAAGAACAAAGGAGCACTGTTGGTGCTAAGTAGTGAAAAGACACATCAGTTGTCTTCCCTTTCTCCATAGTGATGACATTGCCCGGGATATCATTAAGATCAACAATTATCACTTGGTTGGGAAAGGAATTCGGTAGCCACTAGACTTGTCAAGAGCCATGAGTCCAGCAGCTTCAACGCCACCAATGCAACATCAAAAGAAACGGGTGGCAAAACACCTGTGGCTTATCCGCTCATAAGCAGGATAGATCTGATAAAGACTGTGTGCATTGTATATCTTGCTGGGGGGCTGATGACTTCGATTCCAGAGCTATACATAGCAATTACCGAAGGGCTGACAGGGTTGAGAACCTCCAATGGCCGGGGACGTGGCGTAAAGAAGTAGAACCATTCGATGATCCCTTGTAAATGTGATGCCAAGACCGACGCTTTCAGCCGCGGCTGGGCCTTGGACTCGATCAAAGAGCAAGGCTCCGTGAAGAGACATATTCATACTCACGGGATATACCACTCACATTGGTCACAAGACCAGTTTCAGTTTGCTAGAGTTATCCGTTGGCCAATATTACTCATGCAAGGAAATGTGAAAGAAGTAAGGCTGATTCTTTGATATGAAGCAGCCTACTCCCCCTTCCTTGTACCCTCGATGTCTACGATATCCAACTAGCTCACCTATTCACCTATCTGCGCCGTGCTATTCACAAGGATGTATTCTTATAGATGCTTTTTCAGAGGTCAGTTCTTACTTTACCCGGCAATTATATCGCAAAGTCAATTCCAAATTCCAGGTACGCCTGATTCCACGTGGTCATGAATCCACACATGTCATCAGGGCGCCGGAAGCTGAACACGTTGTGGCGCTCCCACCACACCATCTTTTGCGGCGAGCTGAAGGAAATTCCATTTACACCGCTGACCAAACCATAGTTCGCGCACCATATTGCTTATCCTGGGCTAGTTGGCGAGCTTTCTTAGATCCCAGTATAGCTGAAACGTGAAATCCATCTGTATTGAGCTGAGAGAGATAGAGCCTGGAGCCTGTCTTCCTCACAATAGACTGGGATGTTTACAGTCCAACAAGGCTGCATCTTGTATTCTTAGTAATGTAACCATCTGCAGCCATAAATCGACATTAAGAGGTTGGCGCGCGAAGGGCTGAGAAAGCGTAGATGTATGAAAATGTATAAGAAGCACAAAGACGGGAACTACTGTTGAGATATGCAAGGCCAGCAAGCCTCAAGCCACCGACTGCTTCCATCAGCCCGTTTCTCAAAAGCCATGTCTGCCTCTCCTCCAATCGAGACCGAGAGGATCCCCTTGGAGGACCAAGCTAATGCCGCAGCTGGTTCCTCGGACACGCTGAATGGACGCCCATCGAGCCCGCCCACGCAGGAACAAGCACCGTCGATCCGATGGCGGGATCTAAAGCGTAAACTACGCCCGCTCCGAGGCGTGATCCTCGCCTGGGTGGCCTTTTCTGTGTTTTCCGTCATCTTCTCTGCATTTGTTGTGTACGTCCTGCTGCGTGGCAATGTCCGGGTCGGCGGTGTTACCTTTGACGCCTCGACCTCGAACCTGTTGGTCTCTATATTCTCGCAGATATCAGTTATTCTCGGGGACGCCCTGATCCGGGATCTTCTGGGCGTGATACGCCTTGCTCTTGCCAAGCGAGATAGAGGCGTCTCGGCCTTGACGTACTTTGTTATTGGTCCTGCGTCGGCGTGGACCGAGGCGGCCAGGCATGCCGTCTTGACGAAGTTCTACAGGTTGAATCTCTGGTGTGATTTTAGGTTAGTTTACTTCCAGACAGATAGCCGTCGAAAAGAATCCAACTATTTGGAAGTCCACGATGTGAACTAAACATGCCTGAAGGGTCGTGCTTCCGATCATGGGTCTCGCTCTAGGCTCGGTGATAAAATGTAAGAAACCAGCTCCGATTATACAGAAATCTAAATCAAAGAGATCCCATCTTATTTGACGCCAGTTCAGGCCCAATTTGACTATCACTTTGCCCCGACGAATACCAACATGACCGTCTACGCTGGGTTGATCCCCATCCGGATTATGGTTGTCGATTCGCCGCTCTTGACGACCGCAGACCTAAGCATGTATTTCTATTCTCTCACATCCAGTCTTCTCCTTGATTCTCGCTACGCAATCCAACATCGGTTTCCCGGATGTTCTCAGGAAGGTTGTAGGTCGATACTGTTACCGGGGGGGTTGGAAACGGCCAGGCGATACGATCCCTTGTTAAAGCATACTGTCTTTGAAGGCGGCATGTTCGACGGTGCAGACTCGATCCAGATTGAGCATGCTCCAGGAATGCTGGCCACGTTTGAGAGACTGCCGGCAAACTTCAGCTTCGACCCGGCCGGGTGTACGTATGCCGGGGAGCGGATCAACAACACGCTGGTGATGTGTGCTCAGCAACTAGGCCAGTCGCTAGCTGTAGGTACGTTAGATTTCCTCCGCTCTTCACCCTCCCGTACCAAGCAAGGGTGAAGGAATCATGGCCGCTATTAACTGTGATGTTTCCAGGCTGGGCCGCATGTCCCATCAAGGAATACTCAGCCCGTCACTGCAGCCCCGAAGTGACGTGGACCTCTGGTCCCATCCAGTACAGCACAAACGTCTCCGTCTTTGAGCAATACACGCGGACGACGTACAACCGCAACAACTTCTCGATCGTCAACACCGAGCTGACCTCCCCCGTCGGCGAGTCCCAGATAACCCTGAAGGAGGACGAGTACCGCAGGATATTCCGCAAGGTCCTCAACGCCAACACGACGAGGCGCTCGGATCTCAGTAACATGGACGCTCTCGTGCACTCCATCACGTGGCTGCACAGGACCTACGATAACAGCTTTCCCGACGACCAGCAGAGCGTCCTAACGAGCCTACATAACTTCATCGGCGTTTCGTTGCAGTTCATGGTGACGGCGGTCCAGTTTGCAAACTACACTGTCAACGTTGGAGGGGGTACCGATACCACGTTGGCACTGCCGGACAAGATGGTCACCTCGGCCGTGAGCGGCCGGTCCATGCAGAAGCTCAGCATCCAACCCTGGACGGGTGTCATCTTCATCGTCACCGAGGGGCTCATCATCGTGTTTACTGCGTTGGCCATTTTCCTGATCCTCTGGGGGGTGGAGCGCCTCCCGGACAAGTCAGCGACTGCAGAGATCGACATCCTCAGGAACACGAACGAGATGCGGGCAGCACCGCAGCGGAATATACGGCGCTGGGGCTGGTGGCCGTTTCGGGGAGCAAGGAATGAAGTTGAGCCTAGTGTGCCGGACCTGGAAGAGAGGGAACGGTTTCTGGATATGGCCCAGAGCTTGGCACAGAATGAGCCATCTCCAATTCAACCTAGGTCATTTTGGGGTCGATTTCGTCGTGTTTTTAGGCATACGATGGATAAAGAACGGGATTTGCTCCAATGGGTGGTCTTTTTGCCTGATACTCCAGATATAGAGACTGAGGTTGAAGTGGTGGAGGTTGAGGATAGTCATGAGATTCTTGAGGATGGGTTGTCTCAACCTCTTCAAGCTGAGAGGACGGTCTCCTCAATATCATAATTCTAATTAAATTACTACTGATTTTCGACTTATATGTACACGAATGTATTTTCGATCTAACTTATTAATAATAATTTGTACCTAAATTAATTTGCGAACATATCCTAGATACAATGTCAATACCTATCATGGGTGTAGGGTAGGTCGAAGCTGTAGAGAGCTTGGTCGCCGATTACATCATAGGCAAGGCACGATAACGATATGCTTGTCAACAGCTTTTTGATGAACGGCTGACGAGATCATGGTTCTGATTCCGAATTTCCGCGTGTCTTGTAGATTGATGAATTGTGATCCGTGGATGATCTGATGAGTTGACTGATAGGTTTGCCCATTTCACATGTGATAGTCGATCGCCATGATTGATGGCTACTTCTTCCCCCACCATTTGTACGGAGCTCGCTTCTACTCTACATCATCGCCTCGTAGTCGACCCGGGCCCTCCGGCCAGCGTCTCCCACCCCCAGGCTCAACACCATCTTTATTGGAGATTGATTGATCCTCCCATTCGAGCAGCCCGCAAGCCCTCGCCATGCCTAAGTTGACCGATTCCCTCCCGAAGCCTCCCTGGCGCCAGGGGTCGTTTCGGCTCCGTCGCATGCCCATCTTGCTCGCTATGTCGAGCATCTTCGCCATGGCGCTGTTCTACGTCCTCATCTCCATGTCGCCGTGCATGGTAGGCTCTCAGAGATGCTACAAAGGATACACGTCCGCATACAGCTTCGACGCCTACCACGCGCACCATCCGCGATGGATGACTGCGATCCCCGACGACGTCAACCTCACCTCGCTCAGTATCCCCGGCACTCACGATACGATGACATACGGCATGCCCGAAAACGAAAATCTCCAGTGCCAGATCTGGAACCTGACCACCCAGCTGAACGCTGGCCTACGATACTTTGACATCCGCGCGAGGCTGCAGGACGACGAGCTCAAGATATACCACGCCAGTGGCTTCACGGGCTTCAGTTACACTGACGTCCTGGTCGCCATGTTTGATTTCCTCGACGAGAATCCTAGAGAGACTATCATAATGCGGCTCAAGGAGGAAGGCGTGCCCATCGGAGACCATAACACCATCTCCTTCGAGGACGCTCTGATCAAGCACCACGAGTCCTCCCCCGTCACCTCGCCCGGCGCATCCAAGCACTTATACCACTTCAACCAGACCGAACCCCTCCCAAATCTCGGCGCCCTCCGCTCGCGCATCTTTCTCCTGCAGAATTTCGTCTCCAAAGACCAGGAGAAGAGCCCCTACGGTCTCATATGGGAGGGCCCCCAGATGGCCCTGGAAGATCTATGGATCATCCCCGATATCCACCACCTCGTGGACAAGTGGAACGCCATCCGCGGCGCCCTCGAGGCCGCCACCCGGGCTCCGCTCAACAACACTCTACTGTACCTGGCGCACATCTCGGCCTCGGTGGGCGTGCTCCCTATCGAGGCGGCCGCGGGGCCGAAGAACAAGGCGGTTGTGGGCATGAACGACCTGACGGGGCAGTGGCTTAGAGACTTTTCCGCTCACAGGGATGTTTCTGCCAGGACGGGTGTTGTCATTATCGATTTCCCTGGGAAGAAGCTGATTGATGCCGTGCTGAGGTGGAATGAGCATTTGACGAAATAGTCGGATAATTGGGATCTTTCTTCTCTCTATGCCTCATCGATACAAACGAGAGAAGACCATTGTATCATATCCCTTCAATTGTATATATTCACATAAGTACATAGACACCCCCTGTAACTATAGGTATATTCTTGGATAGAAATGTAATCACGTTGAAATCAACAATTCGTGTTGTCAATCAGACTTTCACAATAAATAGCTATATAAGATATATCTATACATATTGTATCCAACTTCCCTGGCCATATACGATCCAGTACTCGCCCCCTTCTCCCTCTCCACGAATAAAATAAACAAGTCCATATAACCAGATCTGGTCCTTTCCCAGGTAAAACTCCCTATTGCTCCCCCCTTTCCCAAGGTAAATAAACAAGAACATCCAGAAACATTCACTCCAGTAGCCACTGAAGAAAGGTATCCCATATATCCGTCAGCTTCCCCCTTAAGCCAGGCACCTTCATACACGCATTTCTCTTTTTACATATATATCCCCCAGACATTACTCCCGCTTCTGCCGACTGGGACTCGGGCTCGACCGCGGGCTGTTGGCTACGCTGTTCGCGCTCTCGATGCTCTCCACCATACGAAGCACTCTGGACCTCGGCTTCTCCGGCGTCGACGGCGTCCCCTCGGGGATGATGTCCGGGCTATGGTGAAGGATCCTGTGCTGCGGCGGCTTCTCCATCCTCACCTCCTCGGCCGTCGCCAGTACCGGACTCCCGGGCCCCATGGTCGAGTGGCTCCTCCGCCTGTCGTCCACCTCGACGGGGCTCAACAACGATGGACTCAGCAGCGACGGGCTCAGCAGTGACACCTCCTGTCTGTCTTCTACTTCCGCGTCACTGGGACTCAGCAGCGACACCTCCTGCTCGTCCGTCTCCTTCTCCGCGCTCATGCCCATGTCGATGCCCACGCCCCCGTCCTCGGTGTGGTAGCTCTTGCGGCTGGCGCTGTCCATCATCTTCACGCCGTCCTCCGTGGCGTAGCTGCGTCGTTTGCTGCTGGCATTGTCGAACTTGACGCCGCCGTCTTCAGTCGCGTAGCTCCGCCGCTTGCTGCTGGCATTGTCGAACTTGACACCGCCGTCCTCCGTCATGTAGCTCCGGCGGTGGCTGCTGCTCGCGTTGTCCATCCTCACGCCACCGTCGTAGCTCCGCCGTATACTACTGCTGTTATCCCCCCGCGGCGCAGGTCCAGGCCCAGCAACACCACCAAGGTCCGACTCGGCCGTCATCGCCCGCCGCAGACTGTCCCCCTCGCCCTCCGGGTCGACCAGCTCCGCCGTCTGCGCCATCTCCTCGTCGACGGGGTTCTCCTCGTCCCCGTTCACCACCCGCAGCCGCTCCTTGGGCACCGTGAACATGACCTGCACGAGCCGCTGCTCCACCGCCCGCTCAATGTCCCACTGGTCCTCCTCCCCGCTGTCGTGCTCCCAGTCGCGCCGCCCCTGCTTCCGCCTCAGCAGCTCGCCGTTGAGCCCGACCAGCCGCGAGGGGGGCTCCATGTCCCCGCTGCTGTGCTGGTCCCACGAGTGCGGGCTCTGCGCGTACTCGCGCGACTCCGTCGACGAGGGCGTCACGCTGCGGCCAGACGTCGAGAAGACCCGGCGCAGGGAGCCCAGCCACCCCCGTCGCGGCTTCGACTTGGAGGGGGAACCGGGCATCTGCACGTCCTCGGCGATGGCCCTCGCGTCCAGCTCCTCGTCGGTCGGTCCCAGTAGTCCTTGTCCTCCCGTCGTGCCTCCTAGTAGCAGGCTCGGCCCCTCCTGCTGCAGCGCGTTGAACGACGACTTGGCCGTGTTGTAGCTGCTGCTCGACGAGCTGCCCGGCTTGTTCTCCAGCGCGGGGATTCCCGCCATGGCGTTGGCCACGTTGGTGCGCCGCGCCGCGCTGCGGTTGGATACTTCTGACAGGCCGGAGCCCACGATGGATTCGTCGTCGCGGGGTCCTCCGGTCGAGCGGTAGGATGCCCGGCGCGTGGGCGAGACCTTGCCGCGGGTGCTGTTGATTCTATCAAGCAGGCCCTCCGCGGCGTCGACCTCGGATACCCAGTCCTGGACCTCTGAGTCATATCGCCGCACGCTCTCTGGGCTTATTGCGCCGCTGTTTGGTCTGCTGAAGAGAGGCGCGGGAACTGGGTTGATCGGGGTTATAAAGGGGTCGGATGGCACGTCCGACGTGGGTGTATGGGGGATGTCGTCGGCGGCCTTGGCGACGTGTACGTGATGCAGATGCTCGTCCTCGTCGTCTTCCAGGATGGGGTGGATGCCTCCGGGGCCATTGATGAACTGATTATATAGGCCCCTCGGCTGTCGGGGCACGGGCTTCCGGACGATGGAGGGAACGCCCATCATGTACCCGGCCCCATAGTCCTGCGGTGAGCCGCTGCCCTGGGATCCTCGTAGGCTCTCATACCCGAGAGATCGATCCTGCTGCCCGGGTGGGCGGTAGGGCTGGTCCAAGGCACCGGATGCGAACCACCCCCCTCGTCCCCATGTCGCGAAGAAGTCGTCTCGCTCCGCCATCTCATCATCACCGTCGTGTATAAAGTTCTTCGAGTCCTGCACCAGAGCAGCAACAGCTGCATCGCGAGACTTGCGGTTCTTGGACTTCCAGATACAGAATATAATCATGGAGATTATCAGTATCAAACCTAGACCGAGTCCCAGTCCAAGTCCTAGTCCCAATCTCATCGGCGTCGAAGAGTCGGTGCTCCCGTTAGGCGCATCCGGCCCCCCAGTGCTGCTACTCGTTGTCGGGTTCGTATAACTCGTAGCCCAGGACATGTCCGTCAAGTTGAGATATCTCGGCGAGGACAAGCCGGCCGCCTGCCTCTTCGCCTTCCTACTCGACGACGACGAGGACCCAATCCCCCGTCCGCCGTAGACGACCATGACGTTGCCCGGAAGCACCGCAGCCCCGTGCCCGTACACGGCGCCAAAGTCGGGCTGCTGGGTCGGGATCTTCCACCTCCACCCGCTGTACGCCTGGCTCATCTCCAGCACGGCGAGCTGCGGATCCGCGGCGGTGTTCACGTCGCCGACCCAGCCCCCAAGCACGGTGATGGACTTGCCGTCCTCGTTGAGCACGGCCGTGTGCCCGCTCCGGGGCGTGACCTCGGTGCTGGCGCGTTCGTAGATGGCCGAGAGCTCCGTGGGGCCCTCGACTTTGGGCGCCTGGATGTTGATGTACGTCCACGACTCGTCGGGGAGGCCCCAGAGCACGGCGTTGCTCATGTTGATGAAGGCCGTGGACGTGTGGCCCCCGAGGAGCACCCACCTGGCCTGCTGCGTGATGGTGCCCGACACGTTCGCCAGGCTGTGCGGGAGCTGCGTCTTCGTGAACCCGGCCATGGGCGCCCTCGGTCCTCCAGTGAGCGCCGTGTTACTAGCCACCTCTTTATCACCGTCCGGCGCGATCTTGAGCATCGACTTGGTGTAGTTGGCCGACCACTGCCACGACTCCACCGTCTCCGCCGACGAGTTGGGGCACATGCCCCCGTACACATAGAACGACGGCTTGTCCATCTCGGGCGCCAGCTTCGTCGAGAACGCCATCGCCGCGCCCAGGTAGTGCGGCCCCTGAACGACATCCCCGCTGCTCTGGACCTCCCCTTCCTGCCACCCGCCGCCGGCCGTGTACGTCCACAGCTTGCCCCGGACGCCGCACTCGCCCGCGTACGCCATCAGGCGCCCATCGTTTGCGCGCGCGGCGCTGTACGGCGCCCCGAACGGCAGACCCGGTTGGCCCTCGAGCTCGCCCGGGGACTCGCCGTCGGGTACCTGCTCCGTGTAGTTGATGGCGAGGAACTTGTCGCCGTCGAGGACGTAGGCCAGCCCGGCGCCATCGCACGCCGACTCGTTGAAGCACGCGGGCGCGAGGACCTGCGTGGGCGTGTAGGGGAGGGTCTGTGCCGTCACGGCCGCGGGGGAGGCGGCCTGCAGTAGTAGTTGTAGTAGCGCCAATCGCCGGAGGACCGACCTCGTTGTTGATTTCGGCATCGTTTTTTTGGTCTGGGCTTTGTTTCCTTTGTTCTCTTTACTTTTTTTCCCGGCCTCTTGGCCCGTCTCTTTTGACGTCGTCCGCCGCCCCTTCGGTATTCCCCAGCGCTTGGGTGAAAGAGGGGGAAGAACAATGGTTGTAGGTAGTTGGCCGTATCGTTCGTAGGTTTGGAATAGCTCTCCTCCGACTAAGTCATGGCTAAGTTCCTCCCTCTCGCTTGTTGTGCCTTGTTGCGCCCTCGATATAGTCCGTCGCCGTCGAATAAGTTGGCCCGTCTGATCTCTGTCGCAGCAGCTTGGGCCAGGTAATGAACGGCGCTGGTCGAATCTCAAGTGTAGCGGCTCAAGGAAGGAATCGAGGTATAGCCGCGCTCTCTCTCACTCTCTCGTGAAGCTTCCCAAAAACAGAAGACAATGGCAATAGTGTCGCAAAGGAGTGCAAGAAGCTGTGCGCGGGGAGTGATGCGCAAGAAGAAAGCAACAAAGAAGGAAGGGTCTTGCGCCGCAGTTCGCTATCCAGCCTGTCTCCCCTCTCTCTCTAGCTGGACGGATGAACCATGCAGCTAATCAAGCACACCCGCACACCACCACCAGAAAGTAAACAGGGGACCAGTCACTTGCCCATCAACCAGCAGGGGTATGGGGTTTGGAGGGCACTGCAGCTGCGAACTAAAAGAAGCTCCGCGAGGGATACCTGCGCGTGAGAGGGAAAGCTTCCTACCCAGAACAGGGAAGGGGAGCCGCCAAAGGAGCCAATGGACGCCTTGTGTTGCGTCTTTGGTGATGTGCCAAGTCCCGTCAGTTTGGTGGTGGGGGCTGTCTCTGTTTACTGCAACAACGTCGCCATGGCAACCACCGCAACTATTTCCAAGCACCCAATGAGAGGACATGCCCGAGACGAGCAGCCCGAAAGGAAGAAGCACAAAGCACATGTGCCGCGCGGATCTGAGACTAGTGCTGCCGACTGGCCAGACCAAAGGGCAGATACCCTTGGCTAGCAGACCGTCACCGTACTCACTACGACTCGAACAGGCCGAACAATGGGATTGTCATTTGCGCGGTGGTCTACCGTTGTTGTCCCCATATCGTAGACATGAACCAAAATCAACTGCGGATTCAGCTAGCTAATGGGCTGTCTGTAATGTCGCGGCAAATCCAGCCGCCGGTTCCTGCATGTCCCATATCACAGCTCCCAATATCACAATCATGCCGTGAACCAACAACCCATGCAATCCTACCCACAAAATAGCATTCTGCTGCCCCTCCAACCAGACAGCACCATCAGCCAATATTTGCGATCACGCTCTCGGTTCGCCCCTGTGCAGCGCCACCACACTTAGCCGCATATACCCAGCACCATATCATATAATTCGGCCCTTACCAAATCATACTCGAACCAGTTTGACTTCAAGGTCCAGACACCACCCCTGTTTCCACAGCAGCCATGGCACGATTGAGGGGCGGCTCTTCCCGAGTGACAGGCCATTATCATACCAAGACGCTACTCGATATCGCTGTCAGCCATACTAAGATGCCAATCTGCAGCAAATTCAATCGACTCGTTCTGGGCCTTGGGAGCAAGCCGAGTATGACCTATACTAAGATCACCACTTTGTACTGCTCGTGATCCGAAACAGGTTGCGCCACAGACGAGACGGAAAAAGCAAAACCGGACACACTGACAAATCGTTGGATAGGTACTCGTACGTGAAGAAACAAGTGCGCTACAAGTTCCGAGTCAGTCTCACTCTCTGTGACATTAATTTCTGAAGTTGTTATCTATGGATACCTAGTAATTTGAATTGTGCAACTCGAAACAAGAATACTCATGATGACCATGGTGTACGACAGCCACTTGACAGCATGCAGCTAATGAGAATTAATATTGTGGCACACGAGTTCGAAACGCTCAAGTATCTAATCTCAATATCACGAGTCAAGTTCGAGGCCAAAACATTTCAAAGTGGTATCAATTGTAATTACGCGAACTCAACAGCCAGACGTTATTTCAAAGTCTCCCGTAAAGACACGGTATAACACATCATTACACATATTGGTTCTCTCAAAGGCAGTCCGTGCTGAATCTCCGGTTCCGTTCCGTCTATCCAACTATGACTCCTTGCCATCATACATCATCCAAAAATGTAGTCCAAAAGGTATTAAACCTCGAGGATGCTAAGACACCCAATGGATCCCAAGAATATTAAACAAATAGAGATAAGAGAAAAAAAATTTAGGGGGTATCAATCACAGGAACTTAATAGTAAATCTTCTCATTCCAGATGGGCGGGCGGGCACCCTCAACGTCCCACTCCAGCTTGTTCTTGTCGCTCAGAGTGCAGCCCTCGTCGGAGATGGCGATAACCTTGCTTGTCAGGGCAATTTCTTGCTTGGACACACCGGCAGGATCCTCGGGAATCCAAAGGACTGGCGCAGTCTTGGTGACTGAGGGTGGGAGGTAAGCTGTAGCTGAGATCTCGTCACTGTACTCGTGAGAACCAAGGGAGTCATCCTGAGGAACCATCTTGCGAAGTGTTTCGTAATCGGAGTAGATCCAGGGCTTGAGCCATTTCTGAAGGAAATTACCCTTCTTAGGAGCCACCTCTTCGACGCGGGGAGAAGAACCAGATCCAGATGCCTTGGTCTGGCCGTGACCGTTGGTGTCAGACACGACCTTGTCTTGCCGCTCAGCGTCAGAGAGTCGCGCCTGGATCAGCTCCTCCTCAACCTGGAGAGTGCGGGGCAGGTTGTACAGCAGGGGATCCAGAGCGCGGAGCATGGTGAATTGGAACAGAATTGTGAAGACCAAGAAGACTGCCATGAGAGCAGCAGGCCCAGCAGCCTTGGAGACGGCGAACATGCCCACCATGCAGATCTCAGCAAGATAGATACCTGCAAAGAGCTGCTTCAAAGCGCGAGGGTAGAAGAGACCTCGGGTGTCAACAGCGGTGTCGGTCACGAAGAGGACGTTGTAACGATAGGCCAGGTAGAAAAGACCCAGTCCGATAGTAGCCCAGAAAAGCATGATGGGGGCAATCACGGCGTACGTGATACCTAGACCAAATTAGCATCAATACTCCAGACGTCAACTGTAGGCAGTTGTTCAAACATACTAATGACAGCGATGGCAGTGTACACGGGAAGGACGCTTCCCCACATGATGGCACTCAGGCTTGTCCACTTGTTATACATGGCTCGGGGTGTGCCAGTAAGGAATCGGTACAGAATATTGAAGATGACGCAGCCAACAACCTGGGTGAGGACGCTGATGGCGATTGTCAATCCCTGCACGATGAAGTAGGAAATGTAGAAGTTGGAAGAGGTAGGGAGAGCTGAAGAAAGAATGCTGAAGACCGATGATGGGTCGTTGGCAATCTGCACGACAGCAGTCGAGGCTGTGTCGGTCAGTGTGCGGATAAGGAAGACCTGGATAAGCTGGAAAGCGAAGTAGGCATTCTGAGTATACAACTCAACCCTGGAAAGAGTGACTTCACCAGAGAGTCTAGCAAACAGTCGCATGAAGACAGGAACCAAGCTCATCAAGATGGACAGTGCCACAGACGGGAGGAGACCAGAAACGACACCGAGAATAATCTAGATTAATACAAGTCAGTAATGTGAAGACAGAGAGACGTCGATACAGTGACTCTTACGTCGGGGATTTTCGCAATCCAAGTGAGGCCGGGCAGTGTCTTGAGAGTGTTGACCTGAGCAATGATACCGACAACACCAACAGGGATGGCCCAGAAGATAATAAGAACGGCGACACCGAAGATGGCGACATAACGGCGAATGATTTTCTGCCACCAAGGAATAGCCAAGTTGCTCCAGACAATTTCCTCGGGCCGCACGCCAATATAACGAGGGGCCATGTGAAGAGCATGGTGGTGCGTGACGACCTGGAATGCGGCCTGGGCATCGGACTGGTGGTAGAATTCGACAAAGACAGCGCGGACCTTCTTATAGTTTCCGGCACGATACTCAGCTTGGGCAGCCTCGGTCTGAGGAACCAGCTTCTGGAGCTCGGCCCTTCCCCACTCGATCGTGTCAACCTTCTTTCCAACAAGACCCAAGAAGCCAAGACGGTGACTGGGTCGCTTCTTATCAGTGATCCAGCGAGACGCAATGTTGCCAGTCTCACTATCCAGAGCAGGTTCACCTGCAGGTTGCGATTTCTTGCCAGACTTGACTCGTTCCTTGTTGACAGCCTTGAGCAGCTTGATCTCGCCCTTTTCGAGGGTCAGGGCCGCCTTATCACGCTCCTCGACCAGCTTATCGAGCTCCTTGGTCTCTCCGTGAATCCAAACATTCTTGACAGCATCATTGCTGAAGATCTGGCGGATGCGAGCTTCGTCGAGGAAATCGTCAGAGACGGCCGTGAACAGGACGGTACGCGAAGAAATGCGCCGAGCCGACTGAGGCGTAAGGAGGTAGGCCTGACGGATGTTGATGTAGAAGATGCACTCGCGCGTGATGGTATACATGAGGAAACCGTAAACGAGCCATGCCACGAAGGTGTGCGCATAGAATCGGTTCTTCTGCGTATCAAGGTTGATGTTGCTGTAACTAATGACCTCGAGCTGGCTCAGGTTGTTGCCACCTGTGGCATTGACAGGGAAGAGGATTGGCCAGGTGATGCAGAGCGAAACAAATGTTATCGTGCAGCAGATTCGGAGGAAGCGCAGGAACAGATAGGCATCGAGACTCTGGTGTTTGAGAGCATACGCATCGGGAATCTTCCAAAATGCGGCAAACCAGTTCAACACTCCCCTAGGGAGCTCAGGGCTCCGTTCACTATGAAAACGTTAGCACCTATCTTCGTGATGTACAGCCATCATGAGCTGTTGCGAGTGGCTACGTACTTCTCGCGCAGGGAGCCTAGATATGTACGCGGGGCATAGAATCGCCTTTGCGATACTCTGAAAATGAGGAAGATCACAAGGTAAATACTACTGATTACCAAGACAGGGACCAGTGTGCTGATCATGCCTGCGCATAATAGTTAGTTCGTCCATTCAAGCTGACCATGAACTGTTCACCACCGCCTCCTCCATGGGCGACTTACCAGACAGCGACTGAGGCTGGGTTGCTCTGGCCTCGCCAATGCTGTCATCTTTGCCAGGAGAATTCTCCGTGAGCCAACTGATGAAATTGCCCATATTGACGACTCAATGGCAGGGAGTTCGTCGGGGAATTGGTCTCTTGGTCGATCCGTATCTTATGCGCGAGCCCGGCTTCGTGCCCTTTATGCTTGGTTAGAGATCGAGACGGAACAAGAGAGTCGAGAGGGAGTGTCTAAGGTGGGCTACCGTAGATATTATTGAGCCCTGTCGATTCAAGGTGCCGCAATCCTTGGCGCGCGCGATTCGCAGCTAAAGGAGATGTGGAGATGCGACTGGCAGGGGAAATTAAGGATCCCGGCGGACGGGCGAAACAGAAGAAAAAGTCAAAGAAAAACTGGGTGACAGGTGAAACTAGCTGGCCCAGGCGGCAACAGCAAGGGGTGCTAGGACTGGCGGTCGGGACCTTGACTTTGCATGAAGATACAGACGAATTGATCTGGGATGCCGTCGGGCCTGTGGCGTGGAGCGGGCGAAGTACGGCCGCACCGTGGCAACGGGGATGGTGGTGTCAGTCGGGTGGGAGGGATGAGATTGGGACGCAGATTACCTCTGGCCATTGCCGTCGGCGATCAGCGCAATGGGCTCTACATATATGCGGCCGTCTGCGGTGGTGGTGGTGATGGTGGGACGCCTTCAGCTTGCCAATTGGCAGTGGATGCTACCAAGATTGGTGTTGACGTAAGGACAGAAGGTTAGAGCTCCAGCAATTGAGTGGCAGCTGCGACCACGCGTCCGTAGTGCCACTGCTAGCATCAAGGAGCTAGACGCTGGGCCCAGGCCCTGGCCGTGTTAGGCTCTGGGACAGGAGGCCGCTGGGAATAATCATGCTTTGGCGTGGCCGAAACACATGTTGCATGACGCTATGGTTGGAGGGTTGGCGTGAAGATCCCTGTCCGGCTGGAAAGCTCTTTCCTACGACTTCATAGTGCATGCTAGGCCTTGGAAGGAGCCACTTACCAGATGTGGCCCGAGGTGGGGCCACCAGAGACGTACCCACGAGCCTCCACTATCTCCAAGATGCCTCTGAGACAGGCTCTCCAGAGCAGCTGTCCCGTCTGGCTGGGCTGGTCTCTCGGCACAACAGAGTTTCCTCCAGGAATGCACCCTTGGGCAGGCACATTTTCCTTTAGCGTTGAACATCAACAATGATCAACAGCAAATCTCGTTAGCCGGTCTGGTAGCGACCACAAGCAGCCTGCAGGAGGGGGTCATTGACCTGATTTGGGCGCTAGCTTGACCCGAGAGTTCTTACCGTTGCCAGCCACAGGCGAAGCGTTGTAACACACTGATATCATTCTCATCTTTGAAGCCCGGCACATGCCCCCCTGGCCGTGCAGGTTGCATTGGCTTGATTCCTGCTGCCCTGCCACCGGATACTAGCTGGGAGCCCCGAGTCGAGACAAGCATTCAGGGAAACACGAGGAGGAACGGCGACACATGCAGACAGGCATGAGAGCACCTACTGGTACCAGACATGATTTGCCGACCCTTGTCATTATCGTGGTCGGCAGGCAATAATGCTCTCGGCTAGCGCGATCTGTCTGGCCCCCCAGTCGCAAATTGCTGCTATTTTTTATGCACAAGCTTTTTCATTATGGGGCCATTTATTGCTTCAGAGAGCCATTGGCCTGTTCGCTTCCATGTCAGGGACAACTTCTACCATTGCCAATGCAACAGAGCAAACGCTGGAATGCGATGGATGTTCTTCAGCTTCGAACACCAGAGGCGTTCAGGTTCTCGGTAGCTTGCAGCCTCCCCGCGCTCGTTTGGGCGCATAATGCAGGCTGCACAGCGCCTAGTTGAGATAGTACATACACCGTCGCCCTAGATAGAAGTCTGTGATGTCAGGCAACGACGATCTGATCAGTGAACTCAGCGAACTCAGTGATGCCTTAATATTAAACGATGAACACTAATATTATCCCGGCCGGACGGATCAGACTAGCAAAGTCGGTCTAATCACTATTTTGTTCCTCTCATCAGACACGGTTGATCAGAGACAGCAACTGAGGACTCACGATCGCTTCTAATTGTCGATTGGCGGCCTCTCACCTGTCTTATCACCATGTTCCATATTGAGTATCTCCACTCTGTCACGATCGCCTCTGTCTCTCTCAACACTGCCCATCGCTGAGTGCTCTGCGACGCAGGTGCTGCAGATTTGGGCGACACGCGTTTCAACCTCACAAAGAAACTTCCCTCTCGTCGTCACTACCCGCTGCTCGCGTCCCATGTGACCTGTCAATCACAGCGCCGTCGAGGGAGGATGGACCACACCCAATATTAGGTGGCCACCAAGTGGGGTCTCGCTCGTGCCGACCTAACCTAGACCCCAAAGCAGCTGAAAACTCGCCATGTTTGTTCAAACACAGTCCAGTTCAGAGCCACACGGGCACCGCCACCCGCCAGTGTCCGAAAACTCGCGGGATGGGTCATCGTGGACCAGTTTTCCAGGGCTGCAAGGTCCAGTTCAGGTGTTTGCCGTTGTGATGTCTCATTATATTTCCGGTCTCGTGGCTATAGTTAGTTAACAGCCACAGACATGGAACCTGCTGTCAGAATCTCACAGGCAGGAATAGCTGGGAAATGTGCCAGCGAGCTGAGCAAGGACGAGCCGAGACATGGTGCTGTCCTTGTTGATGTGACCTCCTCCTCCCACCACAATAGCACAGATTCTGGTTTTGGTAGCTTGGTCCTGCAAGGGATGAATCTTCTGGGTGATGCTTGCACAATGATGCTGGCTGTTGCTTATCTGCGGCTTTGTTGCGATTGCCAAGCAACCTTTCTTTGTTTGACAAACAAAGTGTCCATGGTTGAAAATAAAATGAGCCACGACGGACCAATCATCACTCGCGAGTATCTTTTGTGCAATCTTCAGCGTGGATGGAATGACGCCGCTCACTATGCCAGCAAAGACAACAAGATGAACAAGAGAAGAAAGGACCACGCACTGACTGGTCAGTAAACTACTTCTATGCGAGCAACGTCTCTATCTATGAAAGTCCCCGTTGAATCTCCATCATCTTCTTGCATACCTCTGCTGCTAGATTGAACCTCTGCGTAGTTTTGCCCTTGCTGCCTCACAATGTCACAAGAACAACAACCTCAAAAATTGTCCCATGACATGGAAGTGAACCCGTACCTTGCTTCAACAATTATCTCTAACCCTCAACGACGTATCGATGACACGCCCTGGTCGACATCATTCGAATGCGACCTCATCGACACCAGCAATGGCATCTTCACGCAGGAAGACCTACGACTCCTCGCACATGTCAATTGCTCCTATCTCTCATCCGGCAAAGCTCCCACGCTGAAATCTCTGAAGCAACATGCACAGAGCCTGGCTATTCTAATAAAGAAGATCTCTGTTTCCACCAGCCATGTATTCATCGGGGATAACGCCCCTATTGTTGAGAATGAAGCGTTCGACTGGCTGGCGGACCTCAGCAAGCCCTACGAGAACACCGACGCCTCCCATAACATCGATCTACATGCCCTACAGAACCAGATCTCGAGCGAAATCGAGGTCACGGGCATCATCCATCACTGCCCTTTGACCATAAGGAAGAACATGGGCGCCTCGGCAAGAGGTCGTCCGAGACTCCCGCCGTACGAGTCGGGCCACGGACTTCTCATGCACGCAAACGAGTGTCTAGAGCTGCTCGATGATGACTTCGGCGAGACGGGCGGGCTGCTATCCATGCTCCCGTCCAACAGTGAAGCCGATTCGCAGCAGATGGCTTCTGCTAGGAACACGCTGGTCGGCCAGTGGCTGATCCATCACCAGCACCTCGCATTCAGACAGCGCGAGCTCGAGGTTGATTTGGCCAATATGACCGACATCCTAGCCAAGGAAGCTAGTATACCGCATCAACTCGTACATTACCCCCCGCAGGAAAACGACCAGAGCACGGAGCGACAAGACCGGTATATCCTCACCAACATTGGAGACGACGTGACTGATTTTATCCACGACCTTCTCGATAAGGAAGAGGCAAAGGACCAGGACCACTTGAGCCTATGTGAAGCTCGAGGCGTCCATTCGAGGGGCCATGTCAAGGGCATAGTCCAACAGGATGTTACCTCACGAGTGTCCCGGATCAAGGGACACGGAAGAAAATCCCCGATTTTCATACTCCCCTGCTCGGAGCAGCATCCAGGTGTTCGAGCCACGCGCAAGGTGGAGAGGAAGACTCCCGAGATACGTCTCGTAGCACGGAAACCGAGCAAGGGGGTGGAAAGGCGTCTGGCCCATGAAAGGGAAATGGCGGACGAAAACGCGAATGAGCTAGATTCGCTGCGTCGCCAATACGCTGCACTACAACAGCATTGTCAGCTGCAGCAAGCTTGGATAATGGCGAGAGTAAACGGACCAGATGGAGGTGAATAAGACAGGAAGGGGGGAGAGTTGGTGGCGTGCATAATATCAAGGAAGAACACCATGATGATGCACAACTCCGGGGCTAGAACTACTTTGAATAAAACAAATTGAGTTGATACATCTTAATGATACTGAGCCGTTTGCACTGGAATCGAGATTAAGAGAAGAAAATCAAAGTGCTCACTGGGTACCTAGGTTTGAGGGAGCAGGTACAGGGTAGGTCAAGCTGAATTACCGAGGAAGGAGTGACGGAGAGTGTAAATGCCCCTCAACCAATGGCAAGCCGCCAATTTCCCATTTCCTCATCAACATATATCCATCCTACTATCGAGTTCTCCAGCGTTGCGATGAGACTGGAACAAGCAAGGGCTCAGTGAATATGCTGAGATTCTTGATTCAAACGCATGGCTCACGGCTCGCATCTAGAGGCCACCCTGCTCGCGGTCAAGCGACCCGGCGATGCCTCCACCTGGCCCCCCCATTCTTGCTGGACGACTACGTGCCGAGATATCAAATGCTCTCCGCGAGAGACTCGGCCATGAAGCGCTCCAAGGCATACGCTCATTTGCGCAACTGCAACTTGTGCCCGCGTCTTTGTGGTGTGAACCGATACGAGAGATCTGGCATGTGCCTGATAGGCGAGAAAGCCAAGGTCAATGTCATAGCTCCTCATTTCGGAGAAGGTATGCTGCCCTGCGCGTCTCTTCCAAGCCAATTCTTTCCTAGTCGGTCCATCGCGTGAGCCCGTGCATTTGTCGGTTTTGACTTTTCCCCGGGTTCCCTCGCCAAACTCACCCCCTTGCTTCTTGGTGGAAGTGGTAGCTCCAAGCCCAACGCCGCCACTTTCCACTTCTTTCCCCCTTGGAAGGGAAGACATGCGTTAACATGACAATTAGAGCCTTGCATTCAGGGCCATAATGGGAGCGGGTCTGTATTCATGAGCGGCTGCAATCTAAGATGTACCTTTTGCCAGAACCATGACATCTCCCACCAGCGGAATGGAATGGATCTCAGCCCGGAGGAGCTTGCTGATTGGTACATGAAGCTTCAGGAGACGGGCGGTGTCCACAACATCAATATTGTCACCCCCGAGCATGTGGTGCCCCAGGTGGCGTTGAGCATCCTTCATGCGAGGGATCTCGGCCTCAGGATTCCGATCGTGTACAACACATCGAGCTTTGACTCGCTGGAATCCCTCCAATTGATGGACGGATTGGTGGACATTTACCTCGCCGATTTTAAGGTGTGGTCACCCCACACTTCCAAGCGGCTTCTCAAGGCGGACGACTACGCCGCCACTGCTAGGGAGAGCATCAAGGCCATGCAGGAGCAGGTTGGTGATCTATGCTTTACAGGAGACGGCATCGCCAAGAGGGGCCTGCTGGTGAGACACTTGGTAATGCCAGGCAAAGAGGCTGAGGGAGCAGAGATTATGAAGTTCTTGGCCAACGAGGTCTCCCGCGATTGCTTTGTCAATATCATGGAGCAGTACCATCCCCGCGCCCATGTCGGCAAGAAGAGGCGTCGCAGAACAACAAACGAAGGTGAACCCGAGGAGGAAGTTCGATATGCGGAGATAAACAGGGCTGTCACTGACACAGAAGTTTCCTCGATCCACCAGGCGGCTATCGATGCCGGGCTTTGGCGTTTCAATGAGCCACCCAAACACGATGGGTTTGCTATCTGAATGGGCAAATCGGCGAGCCTAGGCTATCTTGGAACGATTCCATCGCTAGCTAAATCGATTGTTGTACACACCACCCCGAATAGAGTAGAGAGGCATCGAACAAGGCTGGTTAGCCCAAGATCTGGACGCTAAACCTCTGCCTTGGTCCCTCCATCTGGTCATGGCTTGTTTCGCCCCAATAGCTTGGCAGGTCATGTGGCTTCCATTCGATTTTGTGGTCTCTATCGTCCGAACAATATCCTACTGTTGCTGGCCTAGGGCTATTCAGTCCTCAATGGCAGCGGAAGCCCCGATCGCCCCCGATCATGTTTGGATGCTATCAATCAGGGGAGGCAACCGGTCCCGAACTTCAGTATATTACCACCGGCGAATTTCGGTATATGTTGATTCCATACGACGCATTCATGCAGGCGTGCCGTGACCATCACCGGGACAAAGCTCCGGGAGTATTGGCGAAAATCATTTGTTCTGGATTTTCTTTATCCATCTATTTTCTCAGAAGGATCTAGGCTTTGCTTGCACAAACCAACAGCCCTTCTCAAGTCAGTGTAAACGAGGTCGGCACATATCTTGCATATCTACCTGCATAAGTTCGTCCTGGCATAAGACAAACAACAGCATCTATCTCCGTCGACTATATACGTAAACAACAAACATGGATTCTTGTTATTTTTCTGCTCAACCGGGGATGCCTGATCCCATCCCGGCTATGACACCCCCTCCTGATTACTTGGAATACTCGGAACCCGGGCCAATACTCGAGTTGCCAACAGGCCAGCCGGAAACTCCCGACTCACTGCCCAGCACCCTCCATGAGAAGCCCCCGCGGATGCACCTCACCATCCCTCAAAACCAATACAGCCGACCAGGGACTCGACGGCGATCGTCGTCGAGCCTTTCCGGCTCGGAACAGATGTTCTCAGCCCGGCCCCAGGAGGATTTAGTCAACGAGAGCGCCTACCTCGAGTTCGGCCTCAGGACCCAGTACTTGAAAAAGCTGTCCGTGTACCAGGAGTATGCTGCGACGGAAGCAAAACTTCAGACGGTAGAGACCGCCCAGCAGAGGCGTAGCCTGAGGAAACGCCTCAGCGCCCTCCGGAGCCGGCGCTACAGCATAGAGAACCAGGAAAAGGCTCTCGAGGCAGGGTTATGCACGCTGCGAATCGAGATGCGCAACACCCTTGCCTGGAACCTGGCTCGGAGCCAGAGCTGCTGTCCCTCGCCTGTATGGGACCCGCCTCGTCCTGATACACCCCTTGACGCCACATCACCCCCGTTCGTGCCCCGATGGGGATTCTTCAGTGATTGGAAGGACGGGGCCAAGCTCGAGAAGGTTGACGAGACTGGCGAGGAGTCTGGTAACGAATGCAAGGGGACACAGTTCGATGGAGGAATGGGCCAAGGATCTGAGGAGTGTGTGAGCCCGTCGGCTCAAGTACCAAGCATGCCAGATACAGATGAGGACATCCAAGAACCATCGAGGCGAAGGTCGTTTGATGACGGGACCTTGAGCCTCGCGGAGAGGAGGTTAAGCCTCCCATACATCCCCACGGAGTGGGTTTAGCTCCAAAGCAGATTGGTTTCTATTTTTATTTTCTGTTTCGGACTAATCGTGTAATATCTTTGTATATTCTGCCGATAAAAAGTCACATAGCTTCTTAGGCATTTCATGGACTGTTGTCTTTTTTTCTCATTGGTGTAATTCTTAAAGGAGCTTGATCCTTGGTTTTTTCCCCGGCTTGATCATGTAATATCGATTGCTTGTTTGTATAATCTGCAGTTAAAAACACATAGTTTCTTAGGCATTCGACGGACTTTTGTCTCTTTTCTCATTGATGTAAGTGTGTCTAGAAGTATCGCATTGCCTGCTCATTATTATCAAGTTCAGCGCTAGCATCCGCCTCGAGAGTTCGCCATTTGTTCAGTTTGGTTCTATTATATACAGATGGAAAAGATATAAAAAGAGGAGTGAAAAATATGGGATAGTCCAAAACGGGGACACTGTTTCCTGGTATCCCGCTACGTGGAAAATAAAGAAAAAGAAAAGAAATAAACAAAAAAAGGCTATGCGAATTCACCGAATTTACCATCATCAAAGCCCAATTCTTGTGCCGACATCCTCTTCCTGCGCCTGGCCTCGTCCGCGGTAGGCGGGGGAGCGAGGGCGAAGCCGCCAGACTTGTTGCTGTTCATGCTCGAGCTGCTGCTACTAGGGGGAGGGGGCAGGGCAAAGGACTGCAGGTCGACGGGCCCATTGTTTGAAGGCTGCTCCTGCTGCGCCCTCCGGCGGCCGATGCCCGTGTTGCCGATGTTGACGGTGATGGTCTCGCCCTCCTTCAAGCTGTAGTCCTTCTCCGGGTCGTCCTTCTTGGCGGGCCCGGTGAGCGCCTGGGGCCCTTCCCACCCCAGGCCCCTCCTCGCCTCCTGGAGGGCGACGCCAAAGTCGAATGATTCGCTGCGGTCCTCGAAGCCGATGCCGAGGAAGGCCTTCCTGCCCTGGGGGTCGCGGACGGTCACGGCGAAGAAGCGGCTGCTGTCGAGGACGGGCTCGACGGTGCTGTTGGACTGGTAGGGGGCGGCGGCGAAGAGGGCGCCGGTCTTGGGGTCCTCGAGGATGACGTCGACCTTGAGGTTGGAGCTGTTGTAGGCGGAGGTGTCGATGGCAGCGTTGCGCGGGGAGGCGAGGCTGTCGGAGGGGGAGGGGAGGGGCAGGGAGGTCTCGAGGATGCGGAGGCGGGCGGTAAAGATCTGACGGGCTGGGTCGGTGGTCCAGGCGGCGGCGACATGACCTTTTGTGGAGGGACGTGGGGGGATGTTGTAGACATGGACGTTGGGCGCGATGAAGAGGATGCGCTGGATGGCGTCGGAGGGGAGGGGGGTGCCGGTGGCGGGGTCGAGGAGCTCCATGGTGATTGATGGAGAAGAGAGAGGGAGTCGGAGAGGGAGAAAATATCACAGACAGAGGGAAGACTGTCTTAATGGGCGAGAGAGAGGAGGAGAGGGAAGAAGAAGGACGAATTGAGGGGTATCAATAGAAATTGGAAGGGACCCGGTCAGTAGGCGGGTGATGGCCGATTGATATGCGATCTTGGCCTAGGAGCCGGGCTGTTGGAGAATTGGCCGTGGGACTATTGGGGCATGCTGATTTAGAAATGGGAAGGATTGCCTCGAGTAGATTGTTTGATGCTGGAGAAACGGAACCGAGTGCGGGAGGCTGGTAGTAGCAGCAGAGTAGTTAGTTCCTGGTGGGCGGCATGTCCCCGCCAGTCGCAGTGGAGGGCGAAGGTGCGGGGCAGGAGCTGATTGCCCAATACCGTCGAGGCAGCTTCAACCAAAGTCCAAGACCAAAGTCCAAAGTAACGGGCTGCTGTCTCTGCCACTCAGCCTGCTACGGTGCGACGGTCCCAGTCTCGTTGCACCACCGGCCAGGACGCTGGTTGGCTGTCCGTCCTATCGGCTGTCCCTTCCCACGACGGGGATCGAGTCACATGTGGCTGCTCCGCGGCAGGATTGGTCTGGCGGCTTGAAACAGCCGGTCGGCGTCACTCTCCCAGCAGTATTGGCTAGCCTCAAGGGCTCTTTTACTCATTATTAATAACCTCCAGCTGCCTGATTGACGAGACATGACGGATGTGCTTGTCGCCGTGAATCACAGCTCTCCCCTGCACGCCGTTTATGTCACGGTACCATCCTCGGCCAGCCGGATTGTGGGGGATGATAGATAGCCTGCTTTGCGTGCTGGAGGCCCTGCTGCGTGGCATGATGACCAGCATCGTGCTGTTGATCACGGCCATGTGCAAAGTGCCGGGCCCACTCAGTTATGCATACTCTTCCCGTCTTGTGAGAGGCAAGTTATGGACGGATTTATGTATCAAGGCACGATATGCAATAAGTATTAATTATTGACGATTGTGCTGGCAGCTATTTCATGCTCGCCCTGACTTACAGAGCAACAATAGCTGCAAGAGAGCTCCCACCCAATCGGTGCAATCGGATCCTTCCCTCCCTGAACGGAACAACAGTTCTTCTCGATGGAGCGAGCCTGTTGGGGATGAACTGCTGGATGACTCAAACGGCACCCACAGTCTATTGCTTGGCAGACCGGTAGACGGGGAACGCTGTTTTAGCCAAGGTGGCTATGTATGGAAATATGACACGCAATGGGTTACTGGTTTGGTCGCAGGATTCCAGCCAGCGGGAACAGCCTACTGCCGGCTGAGGGACGTGCTCAAGTTCCCGTATGCTATGAATATCTTACATGATCTCCGCCTTGGAAAGGCGATATGCCGGAATAAGCTGGGCCACTGACAGCTTGCCCAGACACTGTAGCGACTGTTGCAAACCGGCCCATCCTGTTTTTGTTCACGAGGACAGTAATATCACTCCAGATATCCGTCAGCACCGGCGTCCGCTCAGTTTCAACGCAACAACCGGAGACCACACTGGCCCCATTGTTTGGTTTCGTTTCATATCAGGGCCATTTTTAACTTAACCTTCAACTCAGCCCGGCATCTTCGCGCTTATGCCCACAGCTGTGTACAGTTGTTCCTTGGCTATAAGAAGAGCAGTCGACCAGGTCAGCACTATCTCCCGGTTGCATTCTTAAATTACCTGTCCTTATATTTTTACGACCCGCAATTGTTCTTTGATTATATTCTACCTACCCCAATTACTCGCCACGAGCAGCTAGTGTAGATATCCTTGGCTCTGAACCAACTCATCCTACCCCGGCATATTACCAAAACCAGCACAATGACTCAGTTTGTTGGACGGGACATCCTGAAGCAGATGGAGACATTTCTTCTGGAAAATGAAGCCATCAAGCAAGTCAGGATCGTCGACGTGGCTGATGCAGGTGCACCATACCAAGACCTTGTACTTGGCTACGTCCTCAGCGATTCCGTCAGCGGTGACGACGACGAGCCCATCCGGTTGGCATATGAGGGACTGATCGCCAAGATGCAGGAGGCGGGCGGCGCGCGAGTTGTGCCCGAGACGTGGAGGCGCTGCGACATCTTCCCGCTGGATGCCTCGGGCGAGATTGACGAGGAAGCGCTGCGGGTTGCCCTGAGCCAGAACGGCGGCCAGGAAGTCCCCTATGAGACGGACGAGGACAAGATCCTGCGCATCGTCGCCTCGGTGCTGCAGGTTTCCCAGGACAAGCTCAACCGTTCCAAGTCCTTCTTCCAGAATGGCGGTAACGCGGATCTTGCCAAGGCTGTCTCCAGCCAGCTCATGATGCTGGACGTTGCGCTCCAGGTGCCCCAGATTGTGCACGCAGAGTCGCTCGACGAGCTGCCCTCGCTCGTCATCGCCAAGCAGCCTTCGCCCATGGTCACCTTTCCGCCTACGCCACTGACTGCTCGCATGCGCCAGATCGGAATCTAAGAGGTCTGGCTTCCGCGAGGCTGAAGTTGGGCATATATTCACGTGTCTTTGGACCATACCCTGACTAGGTCTCTTCCCGTTTCTTCTCCATTCCCATTTTCTTTTGACGACTTTTCTTTCATTTCTTATGCTATTCTCCCTTTTCTTTTTTTTTCTTTTTTTTTTTTTCTTTCTATTTCTTCTTTTTTCTTATTCTTTGTCCTCTCTTCCATTTTAGATGCATATCATTAGCACTCGCATTTTCGGTGTTTGCGAATTTAAACATCATTTGGGTCATGGACATTCAAGGCACGCAGCGTAGCATATTTCCTTTCGGAGCAGTATTCTCTTCATTCCAAAAATATTTGATTTCATTCAATTCAATGTAGCATCCAGAATTTATTTACCGTGCAGTTCTCTCGTCTCTTTAAAAGTGGTGCAAATGGAAAGATGGACCTGTGATCCACGATGCATATCCTGCTGGACTTCATGGCTCGAAGGCAGGCTCAAGAAGGAAGATGAGAAGCTGCGATTCGTGCGTTAGGCTAATGCCTCCCATTAACCCAAAAGCTGAGGCGTGTGCGATTGCAGCCTGCTCGTTTCAAGGGAGCGTGCTTGCCACACTTGTTGTGTTGATGGCCACCAAGCTCCAGGCAGATGGCTCCTTCCTCTGTTGTGTCAATCATAAGAGAAGGAAACAAAATGCCTTCTTTCTCTTCAAAAGTGAATCTCTTTCTTGTTTACTCACCACCATCTCACCACCTTCGAGAATCCAAGACATACTTTTACAATTACACCTACGTGGAAAACAACCTCTACTTGCATCATTCAAATATCATCAGACCTACCACAACCTACCTTGCTCGCGAGAATATGCCCTCTGAGCCTACAAAGCAAGCCAATCCATCTTCTGAGCCAACACAACAGCCCAATCCATCTTCCGAGGACCAAACAACCACAAAACAGACCTTCCTCCCCATCTTCGAAAATGACCCTCCCGCCCCAAAACACACCGAAAAGCGAGTGGCTGAGCCTGAAGAACAAGGCAAGCCCAAGACGGCTCAGGTTTTCCTCAGCAACTCTGATGAAGAGGATCAAGCCCCGCCCAAGGAGCCAGAGCCGGAAGCCATCTCGGAGGCAGAGCATCATGAACCGGCTGAGCCGCTTCCGCAACAAGGGAAGAGTGAGAATTGATCCGCCTTCCTAATCCCTGTCTAAGAAGTGGACGCTATGCTTGCCTCTTCGCATGGGTTGTTCTGTGTTTTGGAGGTGGGATGAATCGATATTAGGGACTCCTGGGGTGGCATTGACCGTGGTATTACAAAACGCTGGGGGTTTCTTTGGAATGGCATACAAAAACCTATCAAAATTCAACTAATCAAATCAAGGTTTCTTCAAGGAAATTCAAAATGTGCCCTGGGTGAAGCTTGTGGTGATGCTTGGAGGCTATGGTGGGGCGGTTTCCGTAAAGTACCAGATGGAATATGCGGGGCGGTGGATGACATAAAACATGATACACCTTTGTTACTGCGACTACCTCTCGTATGGAATTACAGGCTCTAATATCCTTTTTATGCGGTAATGGCGATAAAGCCGAGTGATTAAGCAACTATTGACTTTGAAGATTGCACCGAATTTGTGTGTTAATGTATGGTGCGTGCTTGATAATCTGTTGAAATCAGCGGCGGTGTCTCTCCATTTATGTCACCCTTATGCGGGATGTGCTGGTGCCCCGCGTCAACTTTTTGAGTCACCACCTCAAATTTATCGCCAGCCGGCAACTTCTACCTTACTTCGCTTGCATACCTGCTCAGAGTCGACCAAATTGGACTTCCGTTGCTTCATTTCCAGTACATTTGTATCAAATCAGCACTCTCAGCAAATATGGCTACTGCAGAAGCTTCTGGTAAGCTGCAGCCCACCCAGATGGAACTGCGACCGACCGATTGACTGACCACTTCCAGCCCAGGAGCAGGCTCCCACAACCGAGCTGCCCATTCGTTCCGGCTCCGACAGTACAGACTTCGAGTATGAATACCCATTATCAGACCAGACCGACCAGCAGGCGAGCTAACCCGCGTAATCCAGCATCGTCGCCACGTACCACAGCCTGCTCAAGTCCGACCCCGACCTCACCAAGCCCGTGGCGGCCATCAACGCCCTCATCGCCCTCCTTAACACGGTACCGTCGACGACAGTGTACGAGACCCTCGACATCATCAAGGCCCACTCGGAGCGCCTCAAGGCGTCCGTCGAGAACCCCATCCCCCTCGCCGCGGGGACCGACCTGTTCAACCAGTACATCATGTCGTCGCTCAAGCAGCAGGACGGCTCCTTCGACGCCGTGCGGCAGCACCTCCTCCGCAACGGGCGCCTGTTCGCCCAGCGCGCCGTCGAGGCCCGCAACGGCGTCGCCGAGGCCGGCTGGCGCTACGTGAGCGAGGGCAGCACCGTTCTTACTCATGGCGCGAGCAGGTCCGTCACGGGGCTCCTCGCCCGGGCGGCCAGGTCGAGGCCGGGCAAGTTCAAGGTCGTCTACGTGCGGGACGAGTGGCGTCCGAAAGAGAGCGACCGCGTCGTCGGCGAGCTGCGGCAGCTGGGGATCCCCACGGCGGAGATTGACCTCGCGAGCGTCGCGCACGTCATGGCATCGCTGCGGAAGGTGTCCATGGTCATCGTGGGCGCCGAGGTCGTCACGCAGAGCGGCGGCATCATCTCGCGCATGGGCTCGTACCAGATCGCCAAGTTGGCCAAGTCGTCCAACATTCCGTTCTACGTCGCCGGGGAGACGCACAAGTTCAGCCGCATCTTTTTGCATGACCAGAACAAGCTTGGGTTCAAGCAGTCTGTACTGGATTTCAGACTCGAGGGGTCGAGCAGCCATCTGGAGAACCCCGTCGATTTCACGGTAAGTCGGACATATAGATGAACTTCGAAGACATGGGGATGTAGCATACTGACCGAGATAGCCACCCGATCTGATCAGCCAGCTCATCACGGAAAACGGCGTCAAGCTCCCCAGCTACGTGGTTGAGCAGATCCTCGATATCTACGGTAGCCTGAACGGTTAGGCACTCGAACGGGCCGCGGCTGGAACAGCAGCGGAGGACCTTAGCAATCGACCGGATCTCTCTACCGAAATTTACTACGAATCCTAGACATCCTTCCCCTACTGCAAAGCTACTAGTCCCGAGATACATGGCTTTCAATGTGAACGAACGACACATGGTGGGGAGGATGGAAGAACTCATGAGTAAACTGCTGTGGCCCTGGTTCTTGTGAAGCAATTTACGATTTTCCGACTAGGCGGTGTTTCTGGCGTTTAAAGGAGGATAAAAATCCTTGTTTACGAGGGAGGGATGATGAACAAGCACCAAGCATGATGGAGGAGTTTGTTTTTTTGAAGGTTCATGTTTACTTGTAGCAGGTAGCAAAAAAAGAGTTGGCCCAAGGCCGGAAATATTCATCATATTTTCCCTTGAGTGGAGTAATTCGTGAGATGCTAGCTCAATCTATCACAGGAACTTGCTGTGGTAGATTTGAGGTATCATGGTTACTGAAAGGATTGGCACACCTTGAGAGGTGATAGATAGTCAGGGGTAGTTGCACAATCTGGTCCTGACAATAAAACAAGAACAAAGAAAAAGAATGAAAATCTCCGCCTCGTGTAGGAGGAGATGCCCTTACCCAACATTCTCAACCTTTCAACTTCTCCCTCCCCCCCTCGCCCCCTTTGCTCGACAAAACCTCACAGAACTCTTTACTCCTGCACATCCCGGACGAGTCTGGCACCGACCCAGGCATAGGGGTACTTCCTCTGATACCAGTTAACGAAGCTCTTCCTCCCGGCGATGCGCGGGTGCGTGGCCCACGACCCGCCGAGGACGACGTTGTGGCGCCCGTCGAAGAAGTCGGCCGTGTACAAGGGGTACAGGGACGTGGGCTCAAACCCGGGCTGGGGGCTCAGGGTGGTGCTCGTCCACTCCCAGACGCCGCCGAGATCGGACTGGCCGGCGAGGCGGGCGCCGTGGGGGGTGACGGGGGTGGGGTGCCAGTTGCGGAAGCCGACGTTGCAGGAGTTGAGGTCGGCGAAGAGGGGGTTCTCGACGGCGGAGGACGGGCGCTTGGCCTCGTCGTCGTCGAGGGAGAGAGGGGGGGAGGGTGGCGGGGTCTCCTGGACGCCGTCGTTGACGAGATGACTGGAAAAGGAAGTTAGCTTCTATATATGTTAAGGAAAGGGGAAAGGAGGGGGGTTACGAACCCATTGACGGCGGGGACCTTGTTGGCGAGCTTGCTCTTGAGGAGGTCCTTCTTCAGTCTGTCCGCGTAGGCGTAGATGCTCCTCGCCTCCTCAAAGGTGGGGATGCGGCCGCCCATCCAGGCGGCGCAGGGGGCGAGCTCGTCGTAGGAGGCGAAGACGGGCCAGTCGAGGGCGAGGTTGAGCGGGACGGGGCCGTAGACGGTGCGGACGAACTTGCCCTCGAGGAAGGACTCGAATGGCTCGTCCGGGGTGATGGGCCGGGCCTCGGGGACGAACCAAGAGGCGGGGGCTTGTTCAAGCTTTGAGGCAATCATATACTTGGCGTACTGGTTCTTGTTAGCATTGGCAAAAACTAAGATGTGGAATGGACCAGTGGGCACCTCTTCATTAGTGATGGGACGACCTTTTGCCTGGAAGGCATGGACAGTCTCCTCTCGAGCGGGCTTCTCATTGTCCCTTCCGACAGTGTTAGTTATTTCTTCTATCTGAAATAGTTAGGCATTGTTGTGTCAACTTACCAACCATAGTGTACTTCGTGGTCAGTTCCCTCCTCGGGGTCGTCCAGACCGATGGTGATTGCCTGTGAGGGAACGTCAAACCATTCATTCTCAACTCTAGCCTTGACCGCCGCCTCAGCGAGCTTCTCAAAGTTGGGGTGCTCTCGATGCGGCGGGGGCAGCGTCTTGGAGCTCTGCAGCATCATGTACAGCAGCGTCTCAATGTGCATGATCTCGTGCTCGAAGCCCAGCCAGATGGCGCGCCCCACGCCCCTGACGATGTTCTCCTCTCCATTCTTGTAAAGGGAGATGAGCCGGGCCCGGACGCGCTCTTGGTAGGCGAGGATGTCCTGGACCTGGGGCCACTCGCTGGGGATCTCGGAGTGCTGGTGGCAGAGCTCCGGGTTGTCGACGTCCGGGTCGACGCCCCGCTCAAAGATGGTGTAGTAGGACGCGGGATCGGTGGGCGCCGTGCCGGTGGTCTTGGTGAGCTGGATGTCCAGGAAGGTGGGGATGTGTCCAAGGTAAAAGACGCAGGCGTTGCGGAGCTTGATGGGCTTCTCGTGCAGGTCCTGGTCCGGGAGCATGCGGCGGGTGACGATCTCCCACGCGGCCCACAGGGCGGTCCAGTCGTGGACCGAGGGGAGGGCGTGTGCGGCGTACAGGGACGGGTGTAGAGGGAAATCAAGGGATTCCTTGCGGAGCATGTGAATACCTAAGAGATCATCATTAGTTTCGAGTCCGTTGTGATCGAGTTGGAAGGGATCTCGAGGTTATCATACCGTATTCATCACCAAGAGTCCAGCGGTGCGCCTCGACAAGACCTGCGGCTTTCCAGAGCTTGATGCTACCGGAAGAGCTGTATTTCAAACTCTGCTCGATCTTGATGCGCTCAAAAGCCTTGATCTGCTGGCCGAGCACCACCGTTTCACGGATGGGTGCTACAAACGCCTGGTGGCGCCCGCCATCTTCGTCATAGACGTACTCGCCGATCACCTTCCAGTCAGGGATGCGGAATACTTCATATCCAAAGAGAGTGTTGGCGTTCTCAAGCCCGTTAAGAATGAACCTGGAGTATAAGGTTAGAACGTGTGTACTCAGGGAATTGCGAATGCACCACATACTGATGTGTGATGCCCTTGTGATCTGGCAAATGAATCTCTGTGAGCTTATGACAAAACGAACTGATTTTCCATCTGATAACTCTTACCGTTGTACGCATGGCTTTGTGCAACGTCAGTACCACCCACTCAATTTGAGGAAGAAGAGTCACATACTATACTTTGTCAGGGCGGATGCACGAGTCCACGCCGACAAACATGCAATCTCCCGATCCCATGATCCGTCCGAACCCCTCCAAGAACTTGGCAGCGTCATCACGATGGAAGTTTCCTGTTTAAATCATCTCTGTAAGTTAACCGCTCAAGTGGGCTGGGGTCTGTGAAACAAAGGGATTCCCACCAATGCTCGATCCCATGTGAAGGACACACTTGGGGCGGTCCTTCAGAGTAGCCAGCCAGTCCCTTCCGTCATCGTACGTCCCGTGCAGGCCGCGGCATGTGACGTTCTGGAAAGCAGGGAGCTGGGACAAGGTGCGCTCCAGCTCGCGGTGGTCAAGGTCGAGCGCATAGTAGTCAATGACCTTACCGGCGTCCTCAAACGCTTGCAGAAGGAGCCGGATCTTTCGCAGGTTTCTTTTATGCACACAAACGGCGGTTAGGGAGAAACAAACACATTATCAAAGCTTCGCAGGCAGGACAGGAAAGAAAGGAAAGGAAAGGAAAAAGAACGATCAGGTGCGTTGCGGGCGAGAAAGAAAACTAACCCACTACCCAGCTCGACCACAATGGCACCCGATGGGACGTTGCTCGCCATGTCGGTGGCAGAGGTCTTCAGGACGTCGATCTCATAGTTTGTCAAGTAGTACTCGTCGAGGTAGGTAATCTAAGGGGTTTTTTTATAAGTCTTCTCCTCTCTCCATCATCTGGGCAAATTGGAACGGCATTTGGCCATGGCCAGGGACCAAGTGTGGGCATACATCCTCAAAGAGCTGGAGTCCCTTTTCGTCATACAGGAGCAATGTCGGGAGCATGCGGGGTCCTTCCTTGGGACCAAGCATGGCCTTGACCTCATTTTTGAGGTCGATTTCCACGGCATCACTGCGGATGTCTATGATCTCGGCAGTGGTGTCGCGGTCGACAAGCTCATGTTGTTTGACGGCAGGCATGGTCGCAGAGCAATAGACGGGTAAAGGCGCGGGAACAGATAGCGTGTAAAGGTGTATATTCAGCTTCAGCCAGCTAGACTGACTGCCTTGAGGACAGACGAGGAGTAGTCTCGAGGGACTAGAGAACAAAATAGGAGGACGGGAGCAGAAGGGCCGGTGTATTTAAACCAATGCGGAAGCGAAGCCATGTGGAAGAAGAGCGGCCGGTGAGCCCTTTGGATGGCATCCTGCATGTAGTATGACATAAAGCACCCAGGAACGAATGGAGCACGCCCCGATACTTAGTGTGGAGAGAGGGAGGATGGGCGGGAAATGTAACTCGCCCCTTTCATCGTTGCCAGGTACTTTGAGAGAGACGAGCTCTAGGGCTGATCAGGTGCCTGACGAAGTGCTTACCTACCTTTGAGGCAACTAGTCGCCCAAGCGTCAACTCAAAGCAACCAGCTGCATACACAGTCGACGGCGTGGACGGATGCGTATGGGGCCAGACTACGGTACATGACACATACAGCCGTCCATTCAGTTGGGCAGGGACCCGCCCGTGGCATTCCGAGGGACCGAGAACCAGTTGTGGACGTTAGTAAGAAAGCTGGGGAAAGCTCGAACTGTCATGGTGCATGCAGCTCGTGGTTCCAGCGTGACGGACTGGCTGGCAAATCAAAGGGGCGAGTGTGCGTGGATGATGCTTGGGGGTCTTATGCCCCCGCTGTTGACGACTGCGCCTTACTAAAACAGCCGAGTCAAAGAGGTCAACGTGTGCATTTCTGTGAGGGCAATGTGTGTTCTCCTTCACGGGGGAACAGGGCCAAGATCGACGAAGGTGATGGCACTGTGACACAAGGGGGCCGAAGGGAGCCGAGGTGGGCTCGACGGCACGGAGTGTCATGCCTGGACTGGGGCCAAGGACGCAGTAATCACAATTCCCAGGACGGGGAAAGCATGCTCAGTAACACGGAGCCTCCGTCGGAACGTGGTTGAATAATGGGTGGGCAGACATTGGATGGAACCAGCCGATGACGAGTACATGGCGGGCTAATTTCTAACATGTACCTCCATTTAGTAACGCCTGAGAGGGGCTTTGCGGGATTTGAGTTAGGCGCCTTCCAACAGGTATTGGTAAGACTCTCGGTCGTTCTCTCGCGCACGCTCTAGACCATGGCCTGTTGGGGATGAACGGGTAGATTAGATCGTGGATGGAGCGAATCATCTGGCCCTGATCGTCACTGGCCTGAGCAAGGTTTGATGGTGCTTCCGATAGCTTGGGTGCCCTTGCGAGATATAGGGTAGGTGTATTTAGACATGCCTATTGTCTTTACCTATTGATGACTGGCTGTTGGGGTTACTATACCTAGTTACGTATAAATACAATGTGGATAGAATATGCAATTAATAACCGAAAGACTAATCTTTTAGCAAGAAATCGGGAGGAATTCGGCAAAAATAGTTGATGGTTCAGCTATTCAATTTGGTACACAGCAAGTGTACCACCTCTAGAAGAGGCTTCGCCAGGACCCAAGCTTTCTCTCAAAAACTAGCCAATCAAAAGTGAGATATAATTTCTTCTATTTGAATAAAAGTCTCTGTTCCATTCCATAACGCATGGATAGATGCACGGTGCTTAAGGGAGAGCAAGGTATTATCCACTACCTACCTTCATGTTGAAGGCACTCTAACATACGTATCGTACATCATAGATCTAGGTGATAAGATATCATTTTCCCTAAGCTCCGGTATTTTTTTTTTACTTTCAAAAAAGAAGAGCCAACCAAAACTCTACAAAAGTTGCTGAAGCAGGTCATCTGCTATCTCCGTCCTGGGTGCACTATAGATACCATCTTGCATTTTGGTCATCCTAGTAGATGTTTCCTTTTCGCTTTTTGGCCAAGTATTTTCTCACACCTGGTTTAAGGAACACTTAATTCAGTTACTGGGGACTCATTCCATGGTAGATACGAAAATAGTCGCCAAGTGTAAGGCATGGCATCAGAAGCGAGCCTTACGTGTTTAGTATGTTATGCAGACTTTCCACCTTATCCTAAGTAATACTAGATGAGGCTAGTACGAACAGCATTTGATATGCTGGCGGCCATGGATGAATAAATGAAGGGATTCCTCGATTTGTATCTGTTGGCCAAATTTACACAACACTCCCATTCAGTGTACTCGTGAGGGTTTTGGTGATTGAAGTATCCTCTTCAGCTATAGAAGTGCGAAACTATTTTACATAAACATCATAAACCCTCGGAAACGAATCAAAACAAAGCCAACGGCCAGAAAGATTGGAACAAGGATCGTGATTACTCCGGCAAGAACCCAAGGATTGGATAACATGCGTGCAATGAACATCCCAAGCAACAGCCACAACCCGATCCCGATCATCTCCTTGTCCGAGTATTCCCTTGCGCGGACATGTTTCAGATATCCGCCACCCTCGTAGTTCATGATGGCGACGAGCAGAACGAGGGCAACAAATATAGTTATCGCGTCAAAGACGAGGATAGGACTTGTTCCCCAACCCCAAGGCTCGTCAGTCTTAACAGCAACAACGGTGGATAGAATGCCAAGAATCATTGAGAGAAATATGACACAAGCTAGGGCGATCCCGATTTTCTTTGCTGTCGAATGATTAATTGGTTTGTCGATTGTCTCCCGACACGTCTGAATTACAGGGTCGGTCGAATTGAATTGATCAATGTCCTCAAGGACAGCCTGCGCCAGGTTGAGGTCTGGTGGGAAGTGGCCGCTGCAGGTAACTTCGCTATCAAAGACTCTGCAGACACCTATTCTGACATGTGAGTATAGAGCTTCTCTCGCTCGCATCAGGCATAGCAAGATCTCTGTCGCGAACAGAAAATTACCTGAAGATCCCATCTTGTAAAGATTAGGAATAAACTCCGAAGTGGCGTCGGTGCACTCTTGGCCCCAGATCAGTGTCAACATCTTGGTATTCCAGTTGATGAGGCTATAGTTATTCTCAGCAGGGCTTCGACAACCAGCGAGAACACAGATCGCCAGAGCAAATATTCCTGTTCAAAATCGGGTTTAGCAAAGAACTTGCAGACGTGAAGAGATTGAGCATTATTCGTGAGGAGCATACCGAGATTCAAGAAACAGAGCCATATTAAACGGAACATCTTGGATATGGCAAGCACAGAATCTCGTATTGGAAAGGTCGTTCAACTTTTTCTGGCGAATTCCAACACTGAAGTTGCTCTGATCGTCCCGGAAAATAAGAATAAGAATAAACATGGCATGGCTGCCCACTATATAAGCTGTCTTATCAGACTGTTTCCATTATCAAGGCAGATTCAGCCCAAGAATACCCCTGATTGTTGCCTTAGGGCAACTGCAAGCTCACGGACATAATGCCCACTTGGGTGAATGAGATTTTTGCAGATCTTAGCTCTCAAGTCATATCTCAAGGCGCTTAAGCCCCCCTCAATTTCCGTTGATTGGGAGAGTAGACGATAGCTAGCTGCAGCTAGCAACGGCTGAACGTTGATGGATCGCGTACCCCTGCCAGCTGAACGCGGGCGAGATGCAGGTCACTCAACGCTCAAGGCGGTCAAGTCCTCTCTCACATTACGAATTGCTCAATCGCCACGGCCCATCAGAACCTTAAGCAGGCAGGGCTGAGCCTGAAACCCAATGTCTAATTGCTTTGCAGCTGGAATGAGGTGGGCCAAGTCTCTTCTTTGGTATCTACACGGCATTCGAATCTCGACTTTTGTGAGTGCCGGAAGTGAACATGCTACTGCCAAAGACTGGGCTATGGTTGCTTCACTTTTCCAATTCTTTTTCCATGCGCTTCCCTTTCCTAGTATTTCTCTTGAACACTTACGTTGGCCCAGTAAGAGCTTGAAGAACTGGCTACGACAAGCCCCAAGCCAACGATGCCAGAATCATAGCTCTATCCTGAAATGCATCTTGGTGCTGGTGGATGCCTTGGTAGTCTTAATAATTGGACTACCGGCAGGATGTATAAAAATAGTCATTTATATTTTGAGAGAGGGGAAAAGGCGAGGACTACTGAGTCGGTTTTCAGAAACATGGTGTAGGACAGCGCCCACTACTCTGCAGGCCAAAGATTGGCATTGTATCATCGTCGGCCAATCCCAAAAAGCCCCCAATAGAGTAGTAGAAAGCGTAGCAACAGAGTGGTCATCTTTTACGTCTTTCCCTGAGGTAACATTCGGTAGGATGGAGCTCCGTGATAGCTCAAGACATGTCCGCTGACCATACCAACAGTGCTTGTTCGTGAGTGGAACATCAGGCAACTTGCGTCGTATTGATTGAAATAATGAGTGAATGAATGTCGACTGGCCTATTGATCTCTCCAGCAAACGCCTACTATGTAGTATCCGGCTTTGCTCCCGGAAAACAATTTATGCAACGGGCGACCACCAACATGCCACCCGACCATGCAGGTTTCTTGTCACCAACATAGCTGTGTGGGCTGAGGTGAACCAGTGTCAGTGCGCGATTTCAGGCTAAGACACAACTGATGGGTCAAGATTGGGCAGTATAGAACATCCTGTCAAGTTTGGCGAGCACATCAGAGCGAGACACCTGCCAACCTGTGACTTTACCTTGCTTGCCGGCATTTGGTCCTGGCCAATGGTGATTGTCTAGAATGAGAGCGCCCCGCTCGGCAGAAGCTCATGTGGTAGCCATTCTCAATACGACCAAGCGAGTTGGTTGATGGTCTGTGGCCAGAATATCTCGACCAACAAATACAGGGGCAAGTAGTAGGTCCACCTTTGCCACAATGATCGGCAGTGCACCGCCACATGTGGCTGGAGAATCTGTGTGGCGTAGATGGGCAATCGATGACGCAGGGGTCGCATGAAGGTTCATGGGAACGAAACGGGCCATGCGACACCCGTTTGTCTCGAATTCAATCTCGGGGTAGTCACCAGCTCTCACAGCGCACTGAGGGACCCGGATAGCTCACGAGACTCTCCTGCCCGGGTGGCCTCCGCTGGCACTTGACGGCATTGACTGCTCAGCCACCCTCGCATCCCAATTTTAAGCGCTGGACGAGGAAGGAGGAGGAGGCATCCATGGCGAATGGCCCCTCCATCACATCCAATAGCCCCCACCACAGCACAACAATGAGCCAAGGGCCAGCCGAGCGAGACCACTAACATTTCAAGCTTTTAGGCGCCGCCCGCGAGCAAGTACCCGCAGCATCTTTAAGCTTGGTTGCCACAGCCAGTTACGTAGCTGATCCGTTGCAGCTCCAATATGGCGGCGGCCGTCATGCCCCTCCCTGGCGCGCAGTCACACCAGGATCACAACGCCATCTCGTATGGAGGGTGATCATCACCTCAACCCCCTTTCGCTTTCTTCCTGATATACCGCAGCCTCTCCTTGAATCGATTGTGGCTGGCGCCTTTCTTCCAACACTCTCCCTCCTCCCTGCGCCCCGTTGTCCAAATCTTGCAGCTGTCGAAGCAAGACGCTGAGCCCGCCTTCACACTACGTTGACCAAGATGGCCTCATCACAAAGCGTGTGTTCCCCTCTCATCTTGCGCCTTTTGATAGGACGCATAAGCGCTGACTTGTATGCAACTGCTAGGATCCCAGGCTTCTCTATGCCATCGAGGGCATCAGAGCCTACATCATCTCGAATGGTGTAGAGCAGTCTCTCACACCCACAGGGCCCCAGACCCTCTCCCTGCTCATGGTACCGACAGCATCCGGCTTTGCAGACCCATCAAGTGTCAACACCGAAGAAGATTTCTACCTCCACCTACACCTACCCCCCGAGCTCGACCTCCCCCTACCCGCGACCACTCAGATCTACCACCAACCTCCGCGAAGCTACTTGATCCCCAGGTGGGACCTTGGCCCAGACAGCGGTACTTTTACACGAATTGAGTTCCCCGAGTTTGGCAGCAGACAGAACATCCAGGAAGATGTCGATACTTTCGAGACCATTCTCGCACAGGGAACTTCGTTCCTAGAGCGCACACCAGCTCCCGCTCCGGCGTCGAGCAAGCAACAAGAGGCGGCGCAGTCTGCCGGCGCACAAGCCAAGGCCAGGGAGGCCGCCGGCGAGGAGCTTCCCCCATATAACCCCGCAGACTACGGCCCGGACGAGGCGTATGCGTCGGGAAGTCATGTACCAGCTGGCACTACGGCGGGAGGTAGAATCGTGCTGGTCGATGAGACGGATGGTAGTGTCATCGGTGAGATCGGGGAGGGCTACAACGTCGTGGAGGACACCGGAGTGAAGCCTGGTTCCAAGGGTGAGTTTCTTTCATTCTACTGGCCTTTGCTTTTAGATGCTGTCGTCGAGCAATTTCAAAGACCAAGGTAACTGACCGAGATTCCCTTTCTGTAGACCCCGTTGTGGTGGCGTTGCCTGAGGACGGGAAGACTAGCATTTCCGTCAAGCCTGCACCTTTGGAATATGAATCTATCAATATGCACCCGGCTTACAAGAAGTCAACACTCGTCAACAAAGCCACCCAGGCTTCCCAGTTGCTCGTGACCACCTCCGACCTTGTCACGCGCACTCTCTTGTCACAGGCAGATAACTTCACCAAGTCGACCAAGCCCGTCAAACCCGTTACGTTTACGCCCACCGCACACAAGAATATCCGCCGCATTAACACATTCTCGACCCAAGCCGCAGGCCTGTCCTCAGCTGCCGTTGGCACTGTTAGCAAGTATGCCCAGAACATTGGTGCCAACATCACGAAGCGCAAGAATGGTAATGCGCGAGGTTTTGATAAGGACGGAAACCCAATCGAGACTTATAAGCCTGGCGTCCTGAACAAGAGTCTGATGGCTTTCAACACCGTCTTTGATGGTGTGGAGCAAGCTGGCCGCAACCTCCTGGCTGGCGGCGCTGACAGCGTGAGCACTGTTGTTGGCCATCGCTGGGGCGCAGAGGCTGGAGAGGTCGCTGCCCATCTTGGCGGCGGAGTGAGGAACGTGGGCCTGGTCTACATCGATGTGACTGGAGTCTCGCGCCGAGCCATCCTCAAGAGCGTTGCCAAGGGTATGGTGGTCGGTGAGGTCAAGGGAGGAGGCCGGGTTATTGTTGGTGGCCAGGGTGACGAGAATATCTCTGTGACAGGTGGGAACGGCACTGGGGACAACTTTGATGCCGGGAGCATCAACAGCGCGCGGCCGCTCAAGGATGGAGGCGCAGGTCCGTCAAAGGGACGCTATACATAAAGCCCAAGAACAAAAGAAGGCGGAGATGCGAATCAAGCAGGACGGACAGATAGTGGAGGAACGTACATGGGCTGCATCACCTCGAATGTCACTTCCCCTAATTATTCAGTTGATTGTATGTAGTAGAATCAGATGAGGTGCAGTATTGTGACCTCATAATGATATCAAATAATGCGCACAACTCCTCAATAAGCTGCGGAGCTGTAAGTCTTGCTCATCTTAATAGGTGCTAGATTGAATGTCAAATGATTAATTATGGCGTTCGCCTCTGTTGAGATTGCTTCAGCGGCTTGTAAGAGCTCCGGGGTCAACTAATGGAAGCTGCCCCGCAAAAGGCGCGTCGCGCCTGCTCTACACCACTTTTAGACCCCGCGTCTCTCTACAGCTGCCCAAATCCTCGACTTTTTACAATACGATCAAACCCTCCTCAACAAAGCTGCACACCCAATCCGCTTCTTGGTTGTCTAGCCGCAAACCCTTGGATGACATAGAACCACGATTCTCGACCCGTTTCTCTGACGACCGTCTTGATATGCGAAAGGTTCCGGGCGCAGCCTGACCCCCAGGCCGACAGCCAGCCCGTTGCCGACACCACGTCGACTACACCCCCTCCGCCCTACGCTACCGATAGATGTGTCGCTTCGAGCCGCTCGGATCAATTATTCTTATGTTTAGAAATATCGGTCGCCTCCTTAGACCCAAGCAGCCATGCTACACGAGATCCTGCTCTCCCTCTCGGGACACCCATCCCCCCTCCTGCGCTCCGCACCAACCTCCTCCGAATCCTACTCTCATGCAGGCATCACACCCCCCGAGCGAGAACTGCTCGCCCAGATTGCCCACCTCAGCGAGCTCCATGTCAAGCTCATGACCTCGACCGCAGATGTCGCCTCCCAGCACCCTTCTGCTGTCTGCCGAGCTGTTGCTACTGCCATCGATTCGATCCACCTACACGCCTTTCAACGCAAGGTTCTCGAGGTGGAGAGGGGAATCCTGAATAACGACACGGAATATGTCGGTGCTTATAACATTGTGCCTCTTACTGCTGTGGTGGCAGAGTTCACGCCTTGGACGAGACGGATCGAGTGGCTCTGGGAATTGGTCAAGTTCATCACCTCCAAAGGCTCGGATGGGTCGACATGTCATGCTGCCAAAATCATGAATCATCTGCGGAGTGAGATCCAGAGCGGTCATAGAGACATTGAGGAGACGGCTCTGAGTCTTGTTACTGCCGCTGAATCAGCGTGGTTGAAGCAAGTTTCTGCATGGATACTGTACGGGAGGCTCCCGAGTTTTGGCGGCAGCGACTTCTTCGTACAAAAGGCCCGGGTGGCGGGCGGCGACGAGTTCCATAGCGTTCCTCGGTTCTTGCCCTCCTTCGTGTCACCCAAGGCAGCTTTGTCGATGCTATTCATTGGCAGATCACTCAATCACGTCCGTGTCAAGAGCTCCATTGATTCAGAGCTCCGTGGACTCGACCATCTATCGTCCAAGCTAAGGGAGCTTTCCAGCCTCAGCTTCCCGCTGGACTCGGCAACTTTTTCTAGAACAATCACTTCCATCCGTCTATCCTTATCTGAAAACACTCTTCAAAAGATCTTACCATTGTCTAAGGTCATTGAAATGCTGCAATTACTCAGGGAGTTTTTCCTTCTCCGTCGGGGCGAGTTCGCCATGGCGCTTACTCACGAGGCTGACGACAAGCTTCGCGAAAGATGGAAGGCTGCCGAAAACCTGGCTCATGAACAGGTTGGGGTAAGCCTTCGTGGAATAACTGTCAAGGAAGGCGAGGTGGCGGCCGTTTTGGCCAGAACGTGGGCGTTTCTTGCTTCCATGCAAGGCCGACATGCCGATGAAGACGAGCAGCTGGAACTGGCCCGTGATCTTCTAAGGCTTCATCTGGTCAAGTCCGAAGCCCCATCCCCGTTAGCACCTGGTCCTGGACTCAGAGTCAAAGTCATCAAAACACTCAATTCGTCCCCATTCCGAACCCTGCTCTTCACCGTACCTGCAACCTTGTCCATGCAGCTACCCTCCCCTCTCGACATGGTATTCTCTCCGGCGGATCTCTATCTATACTCGTGCATAAACTCGTATCTACTCTCGATGCGCCGTGCTCATATCAGGCTCACCAATCTGTGGAAAATTTCATCTCTACGACGACATCACCCTGCGCCTAGCGGAGCTGATGAGACGACTGTCGAGCTGCGAGAAAGATGGTCGGCGCGGACTACCTCAATGAGAAGTTCCTGGACGACAGCGAGTGCCGCCATTTTCCTACTGGCAGAAACTGAGGCTTTCCTGCAGACTGATATTGTCGAGGCGCTTTGGGTTCATTTCCATGCATGGTTAACTTCGTCATCAGGTAATGCAAATACTACAACAAGTACCCTAGGCAAAGATTCCGATAACGATCGTGATGGCACGGATGGTGCAGATGAACTTGAAGAAGAGTCTGATGGGGAGGACGATATTTGGCTACAGGAAAGTCAATCCCCATCTCGTTCCAGAAACCAGCGCGACCAGAGAGACACAAATCCAGCCCCTAAAAGTCATCCGCCTCATGATCCTCAATCTTTGGCCACCGCTCACGCCCTCTATCTTCGCACGTTAGCACATCGCATCCTCCTCACTGAGGTTACATTCACGGAGGCACTCTATTCTCTCCTTGTTCATGTCGATCACTTGGTCGCCCACACCCATCGGCTCCACTCTATATTTATTGCCCTTGACCTTGAGTCGGACGCGGGCGTGGTGGATGCATTTGTAGATTTACACTCCGAGGAAGCCGAGGTCACGGCTTTACTTCGAGGCGTAGAGCGAAAGGTTCAGCGAGGAATAGGAGACGTTGTCTCAGCTCTAAGATCCCTTGAGAACGATCCCGAATTCATTGCAGCCTGGGAAGGTGATACCTCCAGAGACGAGGCAGCGAGCGACGAGCATGACATGTCTTTTGGGGATGACAGTCTGGGGTATCGGCCCCCTCGGCTGGGAAGTATCACTAGACTTTTGATGAAGTTGGATTTCGGCACCTGGCTTGGCCCCCAGTCGGATTGATGCCATGACCAAGCAGCTTTCTCCTTCTAACTTGGAATTCCATGCTGATGGTGGTAGAAGCTATATTACGATTTGTCACGAATTATGAACAATAATACCCTATTTAGAAACATCCCTTGCCCACTCTGCTTGCCATTATTTCTAGAGTCTTTGTTGCCTTGGGGTATCAAAAACCTCGGCTGGTAGGCGCTTACAAATTCCAAGCCGATGTAACAAGACTGGACCTATGAAATCTCGCAGCGACAACATATGTGACAATGATGATACGTCGTGCAGAGTCGTATCGTGAGGGGAAATATTGAATGTGGCCGGACATGCATGGCTTATACATTCGACGCGCATAACAATATCACCCACCTCGGCATTTGACAGGTCGATGGTGAGATCATCCAGCGTCATGTTTGACAACGGCATAACGCATGAGAGACGGGGTAGCGTGGTATTGGACCGAAGGGATACGCGTTATGGTTGATGTAGCATCGAGACTGGCCAATCTGCTTCCATCCTCACCTTCGTTGTCTGGCACCGTTAATGCGGCTTGTCATTCACCGGGTGTGTTTTCCGAGCTTTATTTGATGCAACTGCAGTCGTTGCCTATCTCGATACTATCTCCTAGAGCATGTAATCCATCCTATCCTGATATCAATACATTGTAGAGAAACAGGCACAGACATCAACATGTCAGAGATCAAACCATTCACCATCGCCGTGCCGGAGACGGCGATCCGGACCCTCCATGCTAAGCTGGATCTCGCGACGTTCCCCGAGGAGGCCAGCTTCCTGGAGGACTGGGGATCGGGCGTGCCCCTCGGCGAGATCAAGCGTCTTGCGCGGTACTGGCGGGAGGGGTTCAGCTGGCGCGAGCAGGAGGCCCGGCTGAACGAGCTGGCTCATTTCACGACTGATGTCTCGGTCGAGGGGTTCGGGGACATTAACGTCCATTTCGTGCATGCGAAGAGCACGAGGCCGGGGAGCATCCCGCTGCTCTTCTGCCATGGATGTACGTACTTCATCAATGGTTAATCATGCAAGTATTAACTCGACTCGCAGGGCCTGGGTGCTTTCTCGAGGCCATCAAGATCATTCCGCTGCTCACCGAGCCCAGGGACGAGAAAGACCCTTCGTTCCATGTGGTCGTTCCATCGCTGCCCAACTTTGGCTTCTCTCAGATCGTCTCGAAGCCCGGGTTCAGCGGCCCTCAGTATGCCGAGACCATGCACAAGATTATGCTGAAGCTGGGATACAACCAATACGGTATGAGACTCAACCCACAACCTGCTTCACAAATTCATCAAAACTCACCGTGTACTCTGCAGTGACCCAAGGCGGCGACTGGGGCTTCCTCATCACCCGCCTCATGGCAATCCAGTACCCATCCCACTGCCTGGCCACGCACATCAACACCGTCATGGCCAGCCGCCCATCCCTCAAGACGCCCCTCCAGTACCTCCTCCACGCCATCCTCCCCTACTCAAAGGAGGAGAAGGCCGGCCTGGCGCGCACGGCGCAGTTCCAGGTCACGGGAACCGGCTACAGCACCGAGCAGGGCACCAAGCCCTCCACGCTCGGCCTCTCCCTCGCCGACTCCCCGCTGGGCCTGCTCGCGTGGATCTACGAGAAGCTGCACGACTGGTCCGACGCCTACCCGTGGACCGACGACGAGATCCTCACATGGATCTCCATCTACCAGTTCTCGCGCGCGGGGCCCGCCGCCAGCGTGCGCATCTACCTCGAGGCGCGAGGCCTGCTCAAGGACGGCGGGGACCTGCGGAGTAAGGCGGCCGAGTACGTTCCTGGCGTGAAGCTCGGGCTCAGCTACTTCCCGCGGGAGCTGCTGGTGCTGCCGCTGCGGTGGGGGAGGACGCTGGGACCCGTGGTGTACGAGGCGAGGCACGAGGCTGGGGGGCACTTTGCCGCCTATGAGAGGCCCGAGGAGCTGGCGGGGGATGTGAAGAGGATGTTTGGGCGGGAGAAGGGGGGCGCAAGGGAGGTGACGAGGCGGTTTGCCGTGAGGACGGAGGCGAGGCTGTGAGTAGGTAGTTTGAGATATGTCCAGGCTGGTTTATTATGAGGGCCCATCTTACAAGGGGCTCTTATAATTCAGATAAGATGAGTGAAGCTTCGAGGCTAAATCGCTTCAGTGCTAGTCGCTGTGAGCTGGATTGCCGTTTTGGGAGAAACGCACCGTCTGACAGCCCGCCGGAATTTGAGGTAGCATCTTATAAGTCCAGTCCAGGTGTCATCGTAAACCGTATCTCAGCCGCATTCTCATTCCTCTTGCTCCTTTTTCACATCTTCTGCAGGTATCGCCATTGCCAGTATGACAAAGTCAAGCGGCTCCATCCTGCTCACAGGCGCCAGCGGCACCATCGGCAGCGCAATCGTATCCCGGATCGCATCAAACCCTGCGCTCTCAGCCGAATATCACGGCCTCTACACAGCTCGCAAGGCAGAGACGGCATCGGAGCTGAAGAGCGCGCTGTACAGATCTCACTCGTCGTCCGGATCGACGTCCCCTCACCCCCACGACATCCTCAGCCTCGATCTCTCCAACCTCTCCGCCGTGCGTGACGTCGCGGCCAAGATCAACGCCCGTGTGGCCTCTGGGGACATCCCGCCCCTTCGCGCCCTGATCCTCAACGCGGGCTATCTCGAGTTCACCGAGCAGAGATGGACCGAGGACGGCTTCGACATGACCTTTGCAACCAACTACCTCGGCCACTGGCTCCTGGCCATGCTGCTCCTCCAGAGCATGGATAAGGAATCGGGACGCATCGTGTTTGTGACCAGCGAGTCTTACGAGTGAGTCATCTACATCTACTCCGCCTTACCATGTTTCTCTTTTGTTAAATGTTCAAAGCCCTCTTAACCCAAAGAACGCACACGCCGGCTTCGCCAACAAGAAATGGCACCAGTTCATCACATCCGGCACCTTCGAGCCCATCGCAAGGGGCACATGGAGCAGCTCGGCGGACGACCCATCCCCGGAAGGCGGCTACCGACGCTACGGAGCCTCCAAGTTCTGCCAGGCTCTCACAATGTACGTAACAACTACCCTATCATACAAACTTGCTAGGTCTAACTCACAGAATTATAGAGGCGAGCTACAACGCCGCCTAGACGCCGACCCGGCCCTCGCAAACATCTGCGTCCTCGGCCTAGACCCGGGCACCGTCCCGACCAACATCACCCGCCGCGGGCCCTGGCTCATCCGCGTCTTCGTGCCCCTCTTCATCATCAGCGTCGTCGGGCCGCTGATGACGTGGTTCAACCGCAACGGGGCGCTGCGCACCGTGGCGCTCGCGTCCGAGGACCTGGTCGACGCCGCGTTGGGCACCGCCGCCGCCGCGCCGTTTGGGGGCAAGCCCAAGGGTCTGTTCCTGTACGGGTCGAGGGTGGAGGAGATGACGGCCGAGGCGCGGGACGAGGAGAAGAGGCGGCTGCTGTGGCGGGAGACACTGGGGTATACGCAGTTGAAGAAGGACGAGACGGTGCTTGACTTTTCGGGATAGTGTCTAGTCTAGTCTTTGGGATCCCAAGAACCTGGATATACATAGTATCCGCTTGGGTTGAGATGCAAGGGAGCGGAGCCAACTTCCAAGGAGTTTAAAAACGTGGGTTTGTCATATATCATTACCGGAAGCGCCTTCTCGCGTGCCGGGCGGGCCAGTCGGGCAATGCCTGTCGGGAAAAGCCTTTTTCTTGCCAGGGGGAAGAAGAGAAGTCTCCAGGCTCCTGGATCGGTACCCAAGTCATAATGGCGGTGAGCGCGACATAGGGGATGGGTTTCGTCATTGGAGGCGATACGTGTACGTAGCTATCGAGATTTCTTCCAAGGCGATGGGGCAGCAGCCTCGGGCTCTTGTGCAACCATGTCGTTCCTGGGATGGGCGACCTGAGACTTGGTTTTGGGCAGGCTTCATGTGAAACTCGACAGGCTCAACAGGTGGATGAAGGTTTGCCACGTGAGACGAGCCACGCGACGTGTGTGTTCAGGAAGCGAAAGAATCAAACCCTTGCCCTCTGGTTAAGGCTGATTCTGAGATTTGCTCAATTTAAGAGACCGCTGTCGTTGCAATGAATTAGCTGCGACGTCGTGAAGTTGAAAATTATGTATGTAGATTGATTCACAATATTTGCAATCTCGAATCCAAGACCCATTACCTGGGACCCCCTGAAACGGGAAGAAAGAGAATGAAAAGTCAGAATAAGAATGAGGCGCTTCAAAATCTCGCGCTGGGGTCTGTGTCCTTGCCCCGTTCGTTGCATTCTCTATCGCCATGAAAGCATGCTCCCGTGATCTGTGAAAACCAATCATTATGAAAAACCAAAAACATTCCCTGCTTGCAGTCTAGAAACCATGCAACTCCCAATTGACGCCCGATTCCCGGCACCAGGCCAAGATGAATGAACAAAACGAATTATGTTTCAGGAAACTCCAGCCTGATCGACGCGCCATTATTCAAATCCATCAATGCAATCGATATGCTCCACTCGAACATCATGTAGCCAGGCAGTAGATGCTGCTCCCGACTTGATTCGCCTCCCAAATGCCGCTCGTACTCAGCTGAAATAAAATGAAAAGCAAAGAAAAAATATCGCTGTCAAATAGACGCGGATAAAAGTAAAATGTTATAGCAATATGTCCATAGAATGGAATGATGTGAGGAAAAAGCCTTGAAACCAAAAAGGTAGATAAAAAGTATACATCGAAGCGAAGTGAGGATAATCAGGTAGTCTTTTCAATCATGAACAAGGAGGTATACTTCTTCTCCTAAAGCCGTTTCCTAGGCTCGCCGTATTTTGTGCCATTGCAGTTTCATCAGCTGCTTTTTTTTTTCAGCTAATCGTGCTCTCATTGTTGTTGTTTCTTAGTGTTTCCCTCTTTGGGGATTTTCCGATGTCATCAATCTGACTTCGTAAGGTTCAAGCGTGGTGCCTGAAAGATAAGATCTGGCAAGGCTAATTTTTCCCTTGCCACGTAGCTTATGGGTCATTCACACCTGCGTGGCATGACCGAATAAACGAACTTGGCAGCGGGTCCGTTCAGTAGGCAGCAACCAGACGCCTGTGCTGTTCTGAATGTCTCCTGTGAAGAATCTCTTGGACAAGAGAGCGGCGACGAGTGTGAGTCAAATCATTTGACTTGGACCGTGCCATCTTGGGCTGCTTCTTTGCATGCCAGCGGTTCTTGATACAGTCATCGACCAGGGCAATCAAGCCAGTGGCGACAATCACGCTGTTGGGGATCGAGTTAGCTTCAATAAACGGTTCATGTGTGAAAACGGGATGACTTACTCAGCCACATCAGTAGCAGCATTCACGATGGACGGGTCGCTGATCCACATGTGACATGGAGGGATCCAGCCACCGGCCCATTCTTCCTCTTGGATTTGGTTGGGGCTCCTCATCTCAGGAGTAATGTGGGCAACAGCCATGCCGTGGCCGTCTCGCATGAGGTGGTAGGAGACCACGCTGAGGTCCTTGTCGAGAACGCGCTTCCACGAGTACTTGTGGCCCCACCACTCAAAGTCGTAGTGGTGCACCTTGTGGTGGTTGTTCCTGGATATGTCGACGCGCGCATAGTTGCTAAACTCGAGCTTGACCGTATTGGTGGGGACGAGGCAGGACGGTGAGGGGAGTGGCTTGTCGCTGGTGAAAGAGTCCCGGCGGATTCGCATAGAGCGAAGAGATATTGCATCCCAAGACGACGATGCAGAGCTGGTGCCGGCTAGACTCTTGCCCTGCTGGGACTGTGAAGTATGGTGGTGTATATGAAAGGGGAGTCCTTTGACGGATCGCATGACCGAGGAGAATGACCGTTGAAGCCCAGGGCGTGTAGTCGGTCCCGGTTCAGCATAGGCTCGCTTCGAGTTGCAGACTTCTCGACCAGAGTCACGGCAGTAACGGCGGAGCGAGAACTCTCGGCGACCCAGGTCGTGCATTCGCAAGTGGAAGAGCTGCACGGTGAGAGGACGGCGACCATTTCTCCCCGGAACAACTGTGTCGACTCTGAGATTCATGTTACCATCAGGTGTCAGGTCGTCATGACGAATCGACAAGCGATCCATCGAAGGGAACAGCCTCCCGAAGGCATCTGGCGTCGATGGCCTGACAAAGGGATCGACTATGGAGGCACGGTACTGAGGTAATACGGCGGGGATATCGTCATCTGTGGGCAGGATAGTCTGGTGGTCATTCTCGTTGTCTTCCTCTTCGGACTCGCTCTCCTCCGAGAAGACAGAATTGTAGGTTTCCGTCGAGCTCCTAGGGTCCTCAGTCTTGAACTTGTAGCCGAACGTAGCTGCCATGTCCTTGTCCTTCTGAATGACGATTGGTTTTAACTGTTGCTTCTGGGGGGTTTTGGACGAGCGCAGAGACGTCGAGGCAGTGGACTTTGATTCTACTGAAGAGTGAGAGCCTTGCTCGTAGCTGGATAATACCGAGGAATTGTCGTCGTCCTGGTCGTAGTGTGGAGAGTTGTCGAAGCGTTTTAGGGGTAACATAGCTTCGCTTGCTTGCGAGTTGCTCTCCATGGCAACGCTTTTATAGTTGTGTATGTGTAGAGATGTAGATAGATGCAGATCGTGGTGCGGAATATGATGTGGTATAAGTGATGCGCTGGTAGGGGAGGTGGGGCGTTATGAATTGTACTCAAGGCTCACAAGCGTATCGTACAATGGAAGGGTAGATGCAAGGGATAAGTAAATTGCCTCTGTCAGGCAGTAAGGGTAGTCATTTGCAAAGATTAGGCAGAATATTCAATGATGGGGAAATCTAGAGGCAGAGCGGAACCCATGTGAGGTGGGATGGAGGTTGGGCATGTTCTGATATATTCATAGCCATAGGCGCGACTACTCATCCATACCGTGCCATGCCACGGGACAACCCATCCAGGCGGGTACTACATTAAGCCAAGTCTGTAAAAATTCATCAGATCAGGTATGGCAGGCAGCATGGTACGTAGTGCCGGAAGTTCAAGGGATCATTGCCCCCCCATGTCGGTGGCAGGGCATGGGATAGCAGCAGGCTAGTGATGTGGTGTGTGGTGTCGACCGGAGTGGACTGGGCGGGCCTCGGGAGCTCCCATCTTGGTGGAAAAAAAGAAACCCAAGCCAGCCGTCGCTTGTTTGCCTGATGTGATGCGGCGTGCGGCGTGCTGAGTGAGGGCCAAGCAGCAAGGTAGCAACTGGCGCCCTGCATGTCGGCCGCACTCCCGCGCGTGGGCCATGGCCGACGAGTCATCCAACCAGATCAGCCTCGTCTGCATACGAGCACATTGTTGCATGCACTGATGCTTCCACAATGTGTGGGGGAGTCGAGGGGGCGCAGAGACCTCGACGTGAAGGAAAAAAAGATCCATCCCAGGCCACAGTGAGTAATGCAGTCACGCCACCAGTGACCAGCCAGGATCGTGGAGAACCGACAGGGGGTATACGGCGGTGATGCGACCATCCCACAGCATGCACTCCCTGCCGAGGGGCTCTTTGGTTGCTAATCAGGTCGGTTATTTTCGTTTGGGCACACCCACGGGCTCGGCGAAAGCAGGGCCTAACGGCGCTCAGCAGTTGAGTTGGCCTTTTGTGTGTAGGAAGGTGGTTAAAGCCTTCATTGGCACGGGCGTGCCGTGAGAGTGTGAACGCCCCAGCAGCATCTAGAATCAGCACCGAAAGACGGCAAGTACTCAGATCGAGGCACACTGCCAGCTTGGTCATGCCAGCGTGTTAGCGTTAGCAGAGACACAGTCTAGCAAAGCTGGGCTGGATCTCAGGTGAGCACATGGGCAAGGCTTGTGTCGTGCTCCCTGAGCTGGTTAGCCTGTCGGTCACGGACAGATGAAACGAAATACACAACACAGCACAGGTCATCATTCCTCGAGCCTGGAGGAATCTACCCAGTCTTGCCAGTCTCCATAGATGGCTGTTTGATGAGATCAACAGCAAGACACTGGCAGACGATATCCAAGTGCGGGGCTCTTTGACTCTTCCGCGGTCATCCACTTACTGGCAACCCGCAACGAGGAGAAGAGCGATTGAAGATCATCCGCGGTCTGAAAAAGCAATCGGCAAATTTCATCATCATGGGCAGGATGTAGCCTCAGTGGGAACAGGAAGTTTCGAGATGGCCTGACTGTGGCCTTTTCGGTGGTCTTGTTCCTCGCGCATGGCATCGTTCCTTCCGACTTCTCCCGGGACTCACAGTCTTTTCCTGCGTGTCACGTGCGGCGGGTGAACCTTTGCTCCGGGTAATTGTCTGCCACACGTCAACCGCGCCTGGCCTCGCCTATCTCAGGGTGCTTAGGGAGCTGTTATAGCAGGTGACCTGCGCTGAACCGGTTTCGATCTCCTCTAAGCCGTTCCATCTGACCACTATGACTTGCTACTTGCCGCTATGAATGGCAGCAAACCTCCCAATTCTCGATAGCGCACCTCAATCTTGGAAATCTCCCCATCTCCCCAGGCCACAGCTTCCAAATCGATTGATTTTCCATCTTTCATCGCCCCTCCTTCTC